TCTTTCATTCACTAAATATACAATCAGTCATTGAGTCTGCACCCATCATACTATAACCTTACACGTTTCTTCCATATTTACATCCGAGTAATGACCCCAGCACACAGAAATCATGCAAACTGTAGCCAATAGTTCTCTTTAGCATGCAGCCAATAAGCATCTGCAGCAGCTGTAGCCTCTTCCCCTGCCTGCGACCATCATAGCATCTCTCCCTAAACCCACTGCTCTCATTTTGGGGCCTTTCATGACCTCCTCAAAAGTGAAATGTCCCAGTTTATCATGAAGGCACCATCCATCAATAGCCTCAGCTGCGCAGACACCTGCCCACCGCTGTGTCCCTTCTGATCCACGCACCCATCCAAAGAGGTGGGGTGCTGCTGTTCAATCAATCGCCTCCAATTGTGTGTTTATTTAATCTCCCGAGCGTCACACCGCGATGAAAACGAACGCACATCTTAAATAAGGAGACATATGTGGCGTGTGCTATGCGCGTATGTCGGATTCAACACTGAAAAAAACCCTATTCTGTGTCGCTCCACAGACAATTTATGGCTAATCACACCCTCTCTGGAGCACCAGGCCTTTTCCCCACTCGGGTTTCCCCTTTCCACACACGGAAACACGAGCAATCTCCTCACCCAAAGCCTCCTTTAACTCCTGTTTACGACAATATACATATGCCATGATGTGCGGATCCCTCAAAACGCGAGTGGTTTGACGCGTAAAAATGGATGGAGCCTTGGACACACACACCGTGCAAAGATGCGGCCCAGCTCCTTGACAGCTAAGCACCTCCATTACACCGCGAGCAAAGCAAGGAATCCCGCTTTGAAAGACACGCGTTGGCCTCCCTGGACAAGATGCATATATGGGGGACATACCTGAAATGTGCCAATACGCTTATCCAATTTGGAGGATTTCGGCTTGACTCCACCCAACACACACACATACACACACAGCCACACGCGCGCACACGAGTTGATCTGTCAAAAAAATAATTATATCAAAAGCAGAGGAATTCCCAAGATTTTTTTTGTTGTTTTTTGGCTACAGCGATAGATCCCGATGGTTGGATTCAGCACGGAGCGACTCGCCTCTTTGCGCGTAAAATGTTGTGGAGAAAAAAAGGCGGCGTTTGGATTGGATTGAGCTCCACGCATGCACCAAGGGGGGAAACCTCTGTGTGACGAGCAGCAAGCACGGGCTGAGGGGCAGGGAGCACTCAGCGGAGGAGAAAGCGCTCGTAGAGAGAGATGCTGCCGTTAACGCACTACCTATAGAGCCCGTGAACGCACCAATATTGTTATTGTTTATGATGAGATGCCATAATAGGTCGCGTTTTGGTTTATTGAAGAAGAGACAAGAGATATGCAGGCTTCCCCATTTCATTTTTACATCAGTTTTGACATCACTGGGTCCCCCTTCAGTTTATCAAGGGCCTATGCATCCCCTTTTGAGCTGCCTTTAAAGATGGGATACTCGATTTTTTGGGGTTTCATAGATATATAATACATCTTGTTTGTCCCAAAAGAAAGAGGCTGGTAAATTATACACACACAAAACATACTGTAGTCATCTCATGTGTGTACGTGTAAGAAAGAGCCCTATAAATTGTTTTCATTCCATTTTTCTGTCTGGTAAATCTGATCTAAAGATGACAGAAACACATGCATGTGAAAAATAGTAATGGAAGAAAACTGTTTTGAGAGCGAGACACTCTGGATATTACTGTGTATTTCTATTGTTGTGGTTTGAAAGTTAGGTTCCCCAGCTTTAATTGCAGTGGACTGTACTCAATTTAGCACTAACGTACATTTCCATTATTTTGGAACTATAATCTATAAAGTGCTTTTGTTCGGCATTCTAGCCATAAATTGTGAGCTATATTCACTTATCTCCACACCTGGATGTAAAAATTTGTTATTCTGTCAATGTTAGTTTATATAAAGGTCTATATTGTGTGTTTTCGATGGCTTCTTTGACCATTTTCTTATTTGATCTTATCTCAAATTGCAGAGTTTATTTCCATTATGATATCTTGTTACGCGAGTGAACCAAGCTTTGTCCCTTCAAACCCCTTAAAACCCATCTTTCCAATAATCTTACCCGTCAAAAGCTATGATAATAAATCGCAAACACGTAGTAATAACTTCAAATATTTATATATTTTTACATCTTTCTTCATACATACATTCACACATACATGTATTTACAGTAACAAAATACATAAGAATTTCAGAGCCCATTCAAGAGGTCAGTAAATGCAACAAACGGAGACAAAATGGAGAGGATAAATTATGCATAGCTTAAGTTATTGACAGAAAAATAATATTTCCTTCGGAGATAGCTCAATATATTAGCAATTTCTTCCAAAAATCTCGTACAATTTCATACAAAGTGGATGCTACAGGAGTAATTCACAAGCATAACACTGTCGTACATGCAGCATCGGACGTAGTAACACACATCTCCTCCACGATTGTGAAGAAATTAAGACAAAGACAAATAAGGAATGGGTATTGGACATCATTTTCAATACAATTCCCTTTCTTGTAAACAATTTTCAAGGAGTGAAATGTCCATTGATTGGTTTCACAGCTTCCTGGCTCCTCCTCTATTTAACATTGTATGTCCGATATTGCTTTTGCGTGCTTTTAGTGGTGATTTGAAACTCAATCCTATTACGACGGAAAATAATTGGCTCTTGTGTACTTCACTAACAAAAGAAAAAAGTGCTCTGAGCATATTACATTTAAGAAAAAAAAGGTAGCATGTTGAAAAGTGGGGAATGTGAATGAAAAGCTGCTTGGACGTGATTGGTCGATTAAAAACATATGAGCTCAAACGTAGCAGATATTACACCATTTTTGAAATTGAAAAGTGATTGAGGATTGCAGTAAGAAAGACTAGTTAAACTTCATTGGAATAAGTAAAATATCTCATTATGTCTTCAGTAACTGCAAAACAAAGCAGACGGAACAGTTGTGGGCTTAACTATGCATTCGGAATAATGCGTTTTGTCGATAATCTTAGTTGATCTGTAAAAGTAAACCTAGAGACATCGTAGATACTCTTCAAGCTTTATAATTTCTATCAGCATAATGTAGTAAACAGAAGCAATGATGCCCGGCCAGTCCTCCAATCTTCAAAATATTATGTGGTCCCAATTAGTTATTATTTAAATAGGATTACAATAAGCAGCCAAAAATAGTGTAGGCAACCAATGGTTACATAAAAAGGTACATTGTTGCACATCACCCATCTTCAAACCCTTATCTTGGTGCAATTTCTATTTGTGAATGACAAGTCCTGGCCAGGCTACCACAGTTTCAACGTCAAATATAGAAAGAAAAAATGCAAACAGTTTTCAGCGCTTTAAGACTTGAAATGACAGAAAAAAAGACAAGGCATATCCTTCAGAGTCAGGGTTGAAAATCTCTTGCGTCTTCAGAGTGCAGGCAAAGGTAAAATGCATTGAATAAACTGCCCCCCCGTAGCCTGCTGTCATTTATAGGGAATGAGGGGCCTTCTTTGCAGCGTACAGTAAGCAAGATCTAATCGTTGATCTCTGGCACCGATCCGTCCCGCAAGATGTCCACGCTCTAGAAGACGCAAGCGAGAAGTGGGAGTGTTTTGCGCTTGACTTTACAATAGCAGCTTATGGGGTGAACGACTCAAGACACAAACTTAAGGAAATGTAAAAAAAAAAAAAAAAGAAATGAAAAAAAAAAAACTCGTTTTGTAGAGCGTGAAACACAAAAAAAACGGACCACTTTTGCCTGCTGTGCTGTCTTGATTTTCCAGCATGGCTCTTTTCACCGTCCTTCCCCCCCGAAATGCAGTCAAAACATTTAAAATTGTTTATAAAGTGTGTGCACAACATTGTCTCCGGGCCAACGCACGCGCAGTCCTCCAAATATCCACCCACTGACTGACTATTTATGTGAAAAAAAAAAAAAGAAACAAACAATGAAAAAGTCTTGGTATAAACACTGGATTTCCATTTGCGGTGCGGCGGAGGCTGGGGGATACAGTCTGCTCGGCTTTAGACAGTTTTAATTAAGACTGGGAGGGTCCTGGGAGCTGCTGACTCGTCCTCCGGATTGCTGATGAAGAGGAGAGCAGCCAGTGCAAGGGGGAGGGGGGAGGAGGGAGGAGGGGGAGGGGCTGGTGCGCATCAAGGCCAGGGATAAGATGGCGTAGTAAACCAGGGTTTCTCAAACTGTGGCGTCCACGAATCCGCTGAAGGACAATAATTGGGAGTCCTTTTCAAAGCAGACGCGGGCCCCTTAATTTGGGTCAATAGAGGAAAACTGAAGCAGTAACTAGGGGGAGAGAATGGGGCGCGCAAAGTCGCAGGATGAAATTAAGCCAAATGGTAAAATACATCAAAGGCACGCGTTATAGAATCGACTGTTTGAGCGTGTGGCGACTACCCACAATTTGTCCTTTTAAAATAGACTGAAAACGAACCGGTCATGCGCCCATATCTGAACTCATGTCCTGTCATGCTGTTGTCTAGCATAAATGTGTTTGTAAAGCGCTTTGTGTGACATTGGTCTGTGAAATGCGCTAAATGAATGAAGATTACGTACGTACTTATTATCTAATTGAACGTTTCAGGATTTTTTTTTTACCGGCCAATGAATACTGATTGATTTTTGTTCCATGCTCACACTGTATGTTGATGCTGATTGATAAAAATGCATTGACTGTCGCATTTGAAATAATTATGTAGGTAACGGAAATAAATCCGAATAAAAATCCGGTCCTATTTAGACCCGATTCCACCTGAATTTAGACCCAGTCCGGTCCCGTCTGAGACCCGGTGTAGACATGATGGTACTTCACAGGTAATCTATTCAGAGTTACAGTGGTTGTAATTGTTGGGGGTGAAATATTTCTCAGCTTGTTGTTGGTAAAGTTGGAGAACCGCTGGTTAAAAACAGTCGGGGCGGCTTCATCCGGCTTCATCCGGTGTCATCCAGCTTCATCCGATTTCATCCGGCTGCGTAGCTGCTCAGGAACGAGTAGAACATGGGCAGCTTCATCCTCTGCTGGTCGCGGCGGCACCAGGCCATCACCGTGCCCTCGCTGTTGGCTGTGTAGAGGTGGTGCCCGTCGCAGGAGTATGTGAGGCTGCAGCAGGAAGTTTACAAATCAGAATTATTTGTATTGCCAGTGTAAGTAACAGGAAGCCACAAACTAGGAATGCATATCCTCACAGAATGACATACTCTTGACATAAACATGGCATTGTACTGTTGGTATAGATGTTGGTTTTGGTCTAATATTTAAACATGTGATTGATTGATAGACCTTTTGAAGCTGGAATGCTAGATATATATATAGAAATAAGCTTGTCAGTGTATACTCTCATTTGTCCATCTGGTGCAGAATTTTTTTTTTTTCAGTGTAGAGAAAACAAAAGTAATTTCCATCTGATCCAGTCCAAAATAACTTATTTTCCGTCTTGTATCTCAGTATGTAAAAGTAGTAACTATGTAGCCAAAAATGTTTCATCTACGCCAACCCTGTCTTAATTAGCACAAAAGGAAGGCGCCCCAGACACAACAAAGAATAATATGGTTTTCCACAGAATCAGGCATGTGATTATCCCAATCCAGACAGTTTCTTTACAATAGAAAATATATTTGAGCAAAACAGATCAATATGCTTGTTAAAAAGAGAAAAACACAAAACTAGAATGATAACTACAGATATGCAGACAAAAAAACTTGCAATGGCATTTTAGTAATTTGCAATGAAACAAAAAGGTCAACTGAAAGCAGGTACCTGATAATAGGTTTGCTGGACTTTGGGAAGGTGATTTCTCGCACTGGCTTCAGATCCCAGGTGCTCCATAACCTGATGACAAAGCAGCGGGTTTGAAATTAACACAGTGAAATAACAGTAATCCAAGTTTAATGAAAGCGTTGTACCTGACCACTCCGTTTTCCAGGCCCCCAGCGATCACATTGACGGACACACCCTCCGTCTGGTTTGAGAAGGCCACAGAGCAGATGATCTCTCTGCAGTGCACGTGTCCGATCAGGTCTCCATTCACGGTCCACAGGCGCAAGTCGCTGCCCCCTCCCACTGCCAAAACACGAGGAGGTTCAGTGTGACCCACAAGGCTAGCACCATCAATAGCTTCTTATAAATCAGGTCTTAAAAACCACTTATATCAAACCGTCTGTTTTTAAAGTCTAAAGTAGAATCACAATCAGAATTATTTCTATTGCCAGTGTAAGTAAAAGGAAGTCACAAACTAGGAATTTAGCGTTGACTCAAGTTAAAAGTAAATAGATAAGGCATGTGTACATAAAAATCAATGACATTACAAAATGATATACTCACTATGAGGAGAACACAATACAAGATAAATGTGTTGTTTAAATATATTAAAATGTCTATCTTTAGCTAAATACAGAAGCAAAGTATAGACCTGCATACCCTCCTGCAAGAAAATATGAGGCTGCACAGATGTAAAGTGAAAGTGGACACATGTGGTCCCATATTGCACATACTAACATGATCTGAAATTATTGCAGATGAGGGAACAAACCTGCCCTGTATGTGTTTAATGTGTAAGTGTAAATTGTTTGTATTGTATAATATTTATTGTTCATGGGACCCATTTGAAAAAATGCAGGGTTTTCCCAAAATAACCTTTAGATTTAGCAAATAAACGTTGTGTTTACAATTCAAATTACAATTCTGTTTTTACCACAGGATGACGGAGAAATTAACCCGTTTATTTTCTTTCTTTCAGATTATGTTCACCATATTTTGGCCTATGTTTCGAGCTGATCATTTGTACTGCCGCCCCATGTACACAGGGGTACAGAGGGTAACTGAATTCATATTTGAGTAAATGTGTAGTGATGGGACTGACCTGAGTCACACACTGTGGCGATGTCTCCGGTCGTCTCACTCGCAGACACGGCCGTCACTGGACTTTTGTGCCCAGTCAGGCTCTGGACATAACACAACCTGGAAAACACAAACAGCAACTTTACAAACCAAAACAAACAAAAGTTCTGAATAACAGTTTTGAAATTCCCAGATTTCTTGAAAGTGTTTTGTAGTTAAGATATAAACCATTTAGTTTCAGAAGCCCATGATTGATTGTGTATCATACAAAACAATATTATATTCTATTTCAACCACAAAGAAGCATTGCCTTTTTAAACTTTTTATAGAAGAATCAAAGGTTACGTACATAACCACAGTTCTATTCATCCCTCCTGACCGCCAGAGGGCGGTGCATGGCACTGAATGTTCCCTGCGCACGCACAAAGGGAACATTCAGTGCTATGTACCGCCCTCTGGCGGTCAGGAGGCATGAAATAGAACTCGACATATCCTTCTTATCATACACATCTAATCTTCAAATAGTGAACTGTATGAACTGTAGATGGACAAAACGAATCCTCTCCATCAATGAATGGTACTTTATAGATGGAGTAATATATAAATGAGGTACCCTTGCTTTTGTAAAACTGCTCAAATAAAACTACTACAAACGGTTGGACAGAATAATAAAAAGTAAATCTATGTTGTGGCTCTGACCGGTTGAGGTCCCAGAGGATGCAGGTGCCGTCTCTGCTCACGCTGATCAGGACGCTGTAGGGTTTACACACAAACAGACCCGTGACCTCCGCCGTGTGTCCATACAGATGAACCTGAGCCTCCACCTCCATCTCCGACGGCTGAAACAAACAACCAGGAAACATGAGCTCGGCTGCAGACTGGGACTCTGACATTACTGTACACGTTAGTAGCATGTGATACTACTGTACATGTTAGCAGCTTGTGATGTTAATCTGTAAAATGGGGTTCAAAAAGAACAAAAATTGAAAAACTGTTCAACTGAGGACTTTACAAAACTGATGATTCTCCAACAACAGATTCCAGAATCCAACAATTAGAAACAATGAAATGCAATACTATAACAAATGTATGAGAGTTATTGGTCCATAGAGAGAGGGACACAAACTCTGATAGAAGGCTTTTAACATTTTTGTATCTCAATAATGTAACTACTTTCAAAATCACATTTGAATCATTTTGAATTCCGAGGCGAATTTAGTTGTATAGCACAGTTCTTATAGCCTGTCAGCAGCCAAACTTTAGCCCCGCCTACGTACAATTTCAGCAGGCAGTTGACTAGACTCATGAAGATGACGTGGTCAGGCTACGGTTCATACACAAAGCGACTCAAATTTCATGACTGTATACGTGTTATGTTGTTCTGTGAGGAGCAGGTCAATCATGCTCCTCACAGAGTCCGGAACTCACATTGAGCCTTCCCTGTATACATACAGATAAATGCAAATAAAACATATCAATATATCAAACCACTGCACAATCACAATACAGAATACATACATTCTAATGATCGAACAGAAAATGTGTCAAAGGCACTGTATAGTACATGTTACCTTTTCTCTAAGCAAGCACAACAGTGCAGCCATTTTGGAAATGACACAGAAGGAAACACTGTACATCAGGATACACGGCAATACTGTGTTCTGTATTGATATAACAATAACATCTGTGCACACCACTGTTGGACAGGACAGGTCTCAGAGTGAAGAGACATTCACAGCAGCGGCGGCCCGTATGCAGCTCATTGATACTGTCCATTATGTCCAGAGGAGTTTGGTCTAAAGTAAACATCGACCCATATGGGGATTCTCATGCTGATGGCATATAGAGCACTCAGAAAGCACTCAACCCCCTTCAGCTTTTTCATGTATATTCTAAAGCCTTATTCCAAAATTGATCACATTTTACCTTATTTTCACCAAAGTGAAACAAGCTTTTTTAGGAATGTATAGAAATCAAAAGAAAAATACAATAACTATAACTAAAAAGTGTCTTTGGGACAAGTCTGTGAATGCCCTTGAGGGGCCCGGCCAGAGCCCAGACTTGAACCCAATTGAACATCTTTGGAAAGACCTGAAAATAGCCTTGCATCGACGCGCTCCGTCTAACCTGACAGAACTTGAGAAGATCTGCAGAGAAGAGTGAAATCCCCAAATGTATGTGCCAAGCCCACTGCAAGAAAACTTGACGATATGATTGTTGTTGTAGGTGCCTCCACAATTTATTAAATAAAGGTGTGAATAATTATGTGCAAATTTTAGTGTTTTTTTAATAAGAAAACATTGAGAAATTCATAAATCTAGTCATGAGCAGTGGGTGCGGGTCCGGGCTCAAAAATGTCCAAAATGACGTGCTATGACATGACGATGGATGATAAGAATTATTCAATGCTAATGTATGGCGGCTTCTTAGCTAAAAAACGGCTTTACAAGATGGTCCAAAAGTTGGCCCAAAGCTACATTCCAGTTCCACATGTGTGTCAAAGCAGAGGGGACTCCCCTCTGCATTACGGTATATGCTTCACCAACACTATTTTTGGACCAAACCACATAGAGATGGCTTTATCATAATTTTCACTGTTAAAGTGCACTTCTGCTGCAAAATATAAGGTTCGGGTCCATGTCCAGCTCCTGGATCCTTATTCTGTTGTTTGTTATTTTGTTTATCAGTTTTGATTTTGTATTATTATATTGTTTTGATTATCCATCCATCCATTTTCTTCCCTTTAATCCATTTCTGGGTCAGGGGGGTGGCAGTCAGAGATGCCACCCAAGTCTCATAGCACCAGCCCCTCACTGACCCTCTGCAGGTGGTGAGTCCACAGGAGGACGGCTGCTCTCTGAGTGTGAGCATAGCCTTGATCTTTCAGTGGGGGCTTTGGGCAAAGTGGGGTTAAGTGTCTTGCCCAAGGACACAACGACAGCAGTCATCAGTGGGAGTCGGTGGAGAAGGTGCAGAGGTGTTTTGATTATTATTACTCTTAAAACTTTGAAATGGCTCATACCTTTCTGACCTGAGTTGGAAAATCGACAGCTTTGTAAAGTCCTCTGAGATAACTACAATTGTGATTAAGGGCTTTACAAGAAAAACATTGAATTGAGTTTTTACAGCATTGTAAATCTAATTTGAGCAACATGTTGAAGCCTCATGGGGATTAAAAAGCCCACTACTCCGCATCAATACTCAAGATAAAGTCCTCCTTTTCCACGCTTTCTGAACCTGTCTCCCGTGTCTCGCTGCATATCTAATGCATCAGCTGCTATCGAAAATCCCTTGGAGTGGGCAGAAACCTGTGCGGCCGTGTGATGACTGAACCGTGCGACCCCTAATCCCACTGGCAGCTGTGATGTGCCTAATGAAGCGGCGCGGAGAGGGCGGGGTTCACATGACATCATCGCACTTCATACATCTGTATTGCCAGGCAGATACTGAGGCGGTTGTCACATAAAAGTCACATACATAGAATTGGTTTAGCTCAAATACCACCTGTTATTTACAGGCAGATTACACTAGTAGATTCGAGATCCAAAAGGTGAGTTCTGGCTACACATTTTGATTCTCATTAGATTCTGTTTCCATCAATCAAAGCATCAAAAATGATTTATTTTTTTGAGCTAGTGATAGAGGTGTAGGGTCAGGGAGTGTCTGGGCCTGTGTCAAAGTACATCTGTGACATGTTAGTGCCATTTGAACCAACTCAGACTCGAGGACTGGACTCCTGCTGCTGCCAAGAGTCAGATGGCATCTATAACTTATTACAACATGTTTATCTTTTGAATTCGCTGAGAGCTGATTCACCGAGTGAAGGTGGTCGTCTCTCTTTAACTATTCTGCCTGAAAAAGTTGAACTAAAGATATGACAAACACCAAAAACACGTGCATGTGAAAACTAGTGATGGAAGAAAACGTATGAGATTTAGGAACTAGTCACTACATAGTTACTATATTATTTTGTTGTGGTTAGAAATAAGTACCTCAGCTTTAACACTGAAGGCTTCCAATTATTTTTCTATAATATCATTTATATGTGTATATATTATTATTATTATTATTATTACAACCATTGCTGCTTCAGACCAAAACCACATCAGATTTGTAACAGCTTTCCTGATGCATGATCCCGGTCTGGATAAGAGGACCAGAAGGGGGGTGACGGGAGGTGGGTGGACCGGTGTCAAGGAGCGGGCCGCGGGTTAGGTGGTGGTGGGGGGGGGCGTTGCCATGGAGACTCACCGTGGTGCTGGTGAAGCGGTTGCTGTAGGCGGTGATGACTCCACACTTGCTGCCCGTAAAGAGCTGGCAGCCGTCGGGTACCCAGGCGCAGCTGCTCACCTGGAAAACGTAGTATTTTCAACGTAGAATTATAAAGAAACCACATTTTACAGAGACCTGCTGGATATGTGGCAATAGATCGAGCTGACATGATTTCATCTACGAACCTGAGACGCTGGATTTAATCTGGTTTAAACTAGGACTATATTTTAGACCACCATAGGCAAAAAAATTAAGAAAAAAAAAAGTCTAAAAATCAGGTTGAGCTCTGGTATCCAACATCTGATACCAATGTAAACAAAATGAATAGAATAAATATCCCAGTTATTACGTAAAAAAAAAACATTCCTGATCAATGAGTTTTGGGTAGAGTTTATTCTTATGCATTAATTCATTTTCTTCCGTTTTATCGGTTGCCAGATTGCAAAGGCAGCAGTCTGAGCAGAGATATGCTGAGACTCCTCCGTCTACATACACTATTTTTTATTCTCTATGTATAAGGGGAATTGTGTAGGTCATTTGGTGAGGGGAAATGTCATTATAAAGCAACAAGGAAGTTTAAGAGATGTTTCAATAATATGTAATAAAGTGTTTTCGCATTTACACACTAACAATATGTTTTAGAGTGATTTGAGGATGTTCGTATCCCTGCATTCAAAACCTGTATAATAATAATCCCCCAGTGTCCTAATTATGTAGCAGGTCAAAGCACGATGCATTTATTACTGTAAAACTGTCAATTTTTTATATGTTCATTACATTTCTTGTTTCGTAAAAAATCCAAAGCTACCATAAATGAATGATACGAACACAATAAAGATACTATAGTTAACATGACTTTGTGTGAACACTGATTACATACACAGGAGGATAAGGCAGTTTGTAATTAATATGGAAATGAATTCTAAGCCGTTCTTATCAATGCAACTTGCAAATACATTATCAGCAGTGAACTTGAGTGGTACTTCAATAAACATAAACAAAACACTTATCGCTGTTCTGGGGTTTGCTCACTGTTGCATGATATGGAATACATACATTTACTTCAGAACAGCTGTTGCTTTGTTCAAGTCAAAATATCAGAAATGCTGTATTCATATTTGTATTAGGTCACACATGTCATGCTCTATAACTTGTGCAGCGGTTTGGTAAAAGCAAGAAGGTCCTGGGTTCGATGCCACATGCAGACAGGGCCTTTCTGTGTGGAGTATGCATGTTCTCCCTGTGTCTGGGTATGTTTTTGATTTTGTAATTTCAACCTTTGTATGAGGTATGTATGTAAAACACTTTGAATTGCTTTTGCAACAATTGCTTTACAGAAATACATGTGATGGATAATGACCAAATAGCAATTATAATATTTTTGATAATGTTATTTCTGTAATCACTTACAAGTATAGTTATAAAAGAGTGTGTGTGAATCATAATATTTACCAGGTGAAGCGGGGAGCACTGGATGAAGTTGATGGGGGGCTCGCTCTGTTTGCTCTTCAGCCTGAGGATGTTGTCAGAGTAGCCCCAGCTCAGGATGGCAGACCACTGGATGTCTGTGCTGTGCATGCTGCGGACCCCTGTGACCGCCACAAATGGCCAGAGTTACTTCATAATTTTACACAACAATTACTGTAACATGAACCACATTTTTCACACGCCTTGAACACTGTGGCCAATACAACGATGAACAAAAAATCTATTTGTTCAAAGTCTTTCTACGGCTACAATCAAAACCCATTCATATAATTGATTAAGGAATGCTTATGATAATAGTCTTATTACCCTGCTCCTTGCTGTAGATCATCATGAGGCAGAACTTGCGGGACAGACCACAGATGGCTCGGGTGGGCAGGGCGAGCAGGGAACCAAACCGCTCTCCGTGAGGCTGGCTGAAGCAAACCACTGGGTCTGGAGCACTGGGAGAGCCCACGTACTCTCCCCATTTCAGGCCTTTGATCCAGGGCAGGGGGCTCTGAGGCAACAACAAGGGAGAGACAGGGAAGATGTGTTTTCAATACAGAATCATACTCACAGTCTGTGAAAGCAGCTGTTACCTAAACTATTTAGCAAAGAGATTTAAAATACTCCACCCGGCAACGGATGAAGCGGAAGAAAACGGACGGACGGATTTAAAATACATCATTCTCCAATCCTGAGCAGCACAATCTGATTGATTGATTGGTTGTTTTATTTTGGTCATCACATCAACAAACACATGATATAATATAAATAATTGCACCCAAAAAAGGAATTGGCACTGGCAGAAGCAAATATTTTTGAGCCTATCCTATTCTACACCACCTTTGTATATTTATGGTATGCCATATTTACCAGACATACAAAAACAAAGTCACTTGTCATATTCTTTAAATATTTGAAACTTAATTTAACTGAGAAAAGAAACACACCTTGATTTCACTTTATTTCTTGCTTTAGCACATTCACACATTTAATCTAGTTAAAATGGAGCATATGTTTACCATTTCATGTCCCAATAAAATGTTACTACCAAAAGCTCTACCTGACGAAGCGGTTTCACGCACAATATATTTCATCCTGTTTCATCCTTTCTGGATTTGCAGAACACTCATTTGTTGCCTCATTTAAATCAAAATCTGTAAACTGAAATTGGACCTTTTTCCACGGCACATTTGGTAATCACTTGCTCGACACACTGGTTATCACTAACTAGATAGCCTTCTGAACTAGAGTCCTCAATGAATTGGACTAATTGAGGAATTATAAGATATTCCTACTTGCAGGATAAACATCTCTGAAGCCCTGAAACTTTCTAAGAGATAGAGGACTACTACTAACACTAAACAAGAAAAAGATGTAAGTTAAGTTAGTTTTACTTTTATCATCTCCTTAAGAAATGTTGTTTTCATTTGTGACTTTTAAAAGATTAGGAAGGACTTATTTTCGTTTCAGCTTTAGAATGAGTCATGATATCAATTAAATGCATTTTAGAGCAGTTCACTTGTCGCATTATCTAAAGAAGCACTCACTCACTTTCACAATCAATCTGAGGGCAGTTTCTACACAATACTCAGCCAATTCCTTAAAGTATTTACTGATACCATTGCACAATATATTAATCAGGAAACATAATAGAGAACTGGAGCCAAGTCACATACTACACGCATAGAAAGTGTCCTGGATTAATTCAGCAAATCTGCTAATTTGGCATCCAAAGGGTTAAATCACTACAGCTTAAACAAATAGTAAAGATACTAAATGAGTTGGTATGTTGGCAACGCCATGAACGCTGCATAATTATTCCTCACCAACTGTGATAAATTCGCTCCGCTGTGGTCGGACTGGCGTTCTTACCGGGCACACGATCTCTTTGGCCTGCTCTCGCGTCTCTCTGAAGGCCAGCTGCACCAGGAGGCCCATAGCCGCCGGCAGCTCTCCCTCCATCAAGAGCCTGGTTCCAGCCCGGCTGATATGCGTCGCGCTGAAGAGCTGCCTGGGCGTCTGTCCGTATGTTTTTATCATAGTTTCCAAGGCACGGCGCTGCACTGGATCCTCCACCGCAGACACATCCACGCCAAAGTATGTCTGCCAACAAACAAACGGATGAAACTCAAAATCAAGTGTTTTATATAATATTTTGAGTCAAAGTTGTGCTCCTTACAGCCGGGTGGAAGACATTGATGGCCTGCACTGCGGCTTTTCCTTTCTGCTTGAGGCCAAACACCAAGTCGATCCACTGACACAGCGTCTGCGAGACCTGCTCCGACTCCAGCGCCTGCCGGTGGATCAGGATGAAGAGCCGCGGGTCGTTTCTCGCCCAAGGAGGTAAGTTTACGTGATTCACTCGCTCCCCATTCTGCCGAACGCCAAAGTCAAACCCTGAGGAAGAAATGACAGTACTTTAAATCAATTGAAACACCATGTATAATACTTAAGCACATGAACAAACATTTTTTAAACTACCAAAACACATTTTTAGGACATTTAGTTATTATCTACTCTATATGGCTAATTTAATGAAACATGCAAATTCTTATGGTCCAAATCATAGGTGTGTGCAATATGAAAATATTATAACGCATTACTGTGGATCATAAGAAATGTAATGACAATATTCACTTTGTTATTTCATATTTTAGAATGTGATATAAAATCTGATAAATCTATATGGTAAGTGTAATTAATTTAGCCAAAAACATTGTATCTCCTTCATGGCATTAAGGATAATCAGATTATCACCTCCTGAACTCATGGACAGTCCCACACCCAGAGTTTGTATGACATAGGAAGGAGTAAGGTCTAGGGTCAGAGAGTGTTTGTGCTTTGGCTATCTTTGAAAATAAATAAACTATTACTACATTGAGCTCTATTTGGAACGGATTTACAAAGCTTTGGCCCACTACATTTGACAGTGCAGGTACCTTCTCTGTTGATGAGGAACTCTGGGAGGTAGAAGAACTCAGGGATCAGCTCTTTAACGTCGGTCATGGACTCGTAGGACGACAAGCGCCACGTGGTGTTCATAGAGTGGAACGTGCGGTCGGGAATATCAAAGCTCTGGTCTGAAGCAACACCAAAGACACAGCATTAAAGATTCACCTAATGTCTGATAATTGCCTCTTTTAAGACCTCAACACATCCTGAATAGATTTCAAATGATAAAAAGACAACCCGAAAGATCAATGAAACTTAAAGACGATTGAAGTACTAATTACTCTGAAGGGAGTTTTAATAGAATGGGTATAGAGGGATCAGAGGTAACAATTTTAAAGAATAAGTAGATGTTGTAAGGGCAAGTGACATGTTTTGAAGATCAGAATATTTAGCGTTTGGTGCTAAAAGCCCTCTTAAAATGGAGGCAGGTGGCACTCACAGCAGCTAAAAGCTTTTTGGAGGTCTATGGTAATTGCCTGCTATTAAACCCCCACAATAGGCCACATGGTTGACACCAGTAAAACTGAATTTAGAAAAAGAAAAAAAAAGCAGATGGCAGAAAGAAGTCTAAATGCATATCTCAAAAATAGATTAATAAACATTTAGTGAAGCAAGCTAAGAACATGAGATCAGTATAAAGATAAACCAGCATTGAAAGAAGACTGAAATCTAACTATACCAGGACAGAACCAGGACTAAAAATACCTTGATAGGCCAGGAACATCTTGGTGAAGGGGGGCATTCTGACCAGGAAGTGCAGCACGGTGCCGCTGTTGGAGTAGTGGGAGCCGTAGTGGTACGGCTGCACTGGAGGCATGGGGTCATCTTCACGAATGCCCTTCTTGAACTCGTCCTCCAGGTACTACACACAGATCACAGTTATGCTTTAGTCTAAAACACAATGTTTTTGTTTAACATTGATAAATCACATTGCATTTTATCTAGTAAAAAGATAAACTAAAACTGTAGTGGATAAGTAAATCCACAACAACATATCAACTATAAGTGAGCTGTCAAAAAGGAATAATTTAGTGTCTGACTTTCAGTCTCCAATGGTAACATAGATCTACCTTCGCCATGGGGGCTATGCAATCAACAGGTTATGCAATCAACAGGGGTTGCTTCTCTATTTCTAAGTTGGTTATCATTAGCAACATAACTAAAAAAAGTTACTTTTACATGTATTCATTTTCTAAATGTATTGGCCCTGAAATGGGACAGGGAACAAAATTATTACATAAAAACAGAACTTACTTTGTAGTTATCCACATAGCGATCCTCTTTCTCCTTTGACTGGACAGCAATAGGTTTGACCAATTGTCTGCAATGAAATAAGCTAATTTGAACACAACTGAACAAAACGCCTCTTTAGCCCATGATTCCAGGACACTTTCACATTCTCTGCAGCGTCTAGGTTTCCTAAAAAACTTTCACTATGTTTGTCTTTGTCAAGGCACCACCTGCTTCACATACAAAATCTCAGGTGCCTACAGAGTTAATAATCTTCCTAATAACAGATACTTTTCTTCTGTTGGTTTTCAGCTGTTATATTTCAAAAGAGTTGGCACATAAGGTTCATTAATCACAGTCAACTCATTTGCCAATTTCAAGACTGATTCAGACGGAACTTATCCAGGAAGAAGCTGGCACTGGATTTTGTTGCAGAACTTTTTTGATAGAAATCTTCTGCCTCTGTCAGATCAAAGAGAAAACTTTGGACTGAATTGCACATTCTGATATACGGTCTACATACAGTGTAGAATATATCGGATGAAGGGTAAAACGACCAAGACGTAACAAAATAACAACATTGAGTGTGCAATGCTTTCTTATTATTGATATAATTTCTTTTTTGAATACCGTCTTTACACGCCACCAGAATACAATTCAGACTGAACAGTGTAAAAGTGGCGGTAACCTTTGTGTCAAAGCCCCAAAACAAGTAGACAAACTACTAATATGCTGCTACTACTACTGCTACTACTACTACTCTTAGCTATGACTCCAATCGAGATTATGAAAATATAAGTATTGAATGTTTCCATGAGTCTGCTCTATTCATATATTTTCAACACAAATATTTCACATTCTCAACCACAAATCTTGCAAAAGTAAGTCTTATGTTTAAGGAAAAACAAATACCATAAGAATTACTGAAGAGGTACTTGGAGTTTTATCTTGTCTGAGTGATTGTGTAGTATTGAATGAGTGAAAGGGTTTGGAGCCAAATAAGTGTGAACCATATGTAGACAGGTTGGAAATATATCACAAAATAAAGAATAATGTCTATTTTAAATTTCGACCTTCTCCGTCTCGGTTTTGCCTGGTATTACACATTTGCCGCTAACAGGACTCTGATCTAATATGCTAGTGCTGCAAAATGGGATGGATGTTTGGGGCTAGGCACAATGATTGAAAGTGAAATAGTGATTTAAACCAATTATTTTCATACATATTACATTTTGAATAGGTAGAAACATCTCCCTAAATACCGATAGTTCTGTCAAACTAGGAACTACATCTAAAATAGACCAAACGGCTCCATTTAAACACATTTCTCTAGCTTCCACTCTTGCACCTCATCAGTACCAAAGCGTGACCGACCTGTAGATGGTGGGGTCCTGCAGGTCCAGCGTCTCACTGGTGTAGTCTCTCAGGATGAAGGGGAACACCGGATACTGCATGAGATCGTTGAAGGAGCGTCCCGCGTGTTTGTTGAGGTGTGTGAGGTACTCGAAGTTGGAGATCTGCCCCGACCCCCACAGCTGAGTCAGAGCCGTGATGTTTCCGTGCTCCAGCAGGTTTGGCAGGTCCGAGGTCAGGATGTTGTGGAAAACATCGTCACGGAACTGAAGAATAACAAAAACAAATGTACTGGTAAGTTCTGTTTGTTCGAGGTGGATTTTTCAGGCGTGTCAAACTTGTTGCAGAAAGTGGTATTAGAAGCAGTATATTTTTAAGTGTATAAAACATAAAACAAGGAAGTAAGTAGTAAGTAATTCATATTTTTGCATATAGGGCCTTTCACAGACTGAGAGTCACCAATCTCGAGCTTGATCTTGTTTACTGCTTTGTTGTACTACAAATGGCTGCTCATTGGCCGATTGTACTTCCTGGTACCTGACCTAGTAGCTGGAGTGAAATAAAACTGAGCAAACAGCCGGGCTAGAGCAATCCCAGCTTCTGAATCGACAACAACTGGAATCACTTGATGAAATGAGTGAAGTTTGATACTGGAACAAGTTGACACCCCTGCATTTGGTAGAATGTGTAAAATTCATTGATTACAATTGATGTTATTAAGTTGATATTTATTGTGCACACATATATTCCCCATATCATAAAACATTAATCTCTATGGAGAATGTTCTGCATTGAGATTTCAATTTCTGTTTCCATGAATACTCAATATAGTGCAATGCAATATGCAGCAGGAAGATGACAGATACTATTACTGAGGCGCTGAACCAAATAGTAATAAAGACAAATCCAAAAGAGGACACAAAACATTCCTACTTGTAAAATTCTTTGTTTATCTTTCTAAAGAACCAGGCAACACACACGGTTAGAAACAATAATATGATGGATAAAAACAAGATTACCAATTCCATTAGCATTTTTTCAAATCCCAACATTTGTGTAATTTGTTCTTCATTTTTCCTTTCATGCAATTATCTTGATTCACATTTCCTGGCCTGAGCAAGGCTTTTATATTTTCTTTTCAAAAACACATATTTTCAATTCAGCCATATTTCCATATTTCATTACCGCAGAGAACGGTTTGTTTGTAGCACCTGCCTATTTCAAGGAAAACCAATTTTGCTTTTTTGGCAGAACTAAATCAAAATATGTGGAATGGAAATGTTCGAATAATAACTTGTTTTGTGCGATACCTTGGTAGTGTCGAACGCTAGCAGCAGGGTCCTGCCATTGGTGAGGAATATTTCCACCGCATTATCTCGGAGTTGCCACCAGCGCTTGTGAACCTCTTTGATCTCTTCGTACGTCCAGGAAAAAGATGGAGCTTCAGTCTCACCATGAAGGCTCTGGTCAAAAACAACATTCGGTTCTTAAAAGAAATTGTCTAAGAAAATACAAAGAGATAATATAGGAGAACCCAAATGTCGTGCTGTTTTTTGTCTATGGTCGGGATGTTTATTGTTCTGTCATTAATATACTGTGTGTGGTTAATGTTTGTCATTTCAACCAGCTTCAGGACAATGGATGGAAATGTGTTCATTTCAGCATATTTATGTTTAAGTTGTTTGCTAACCCATTGATTAACTTTTTAGGTGACAAAACAGCAGAACTACTACACACTTTCTGTGCAGCCAACAACATAGCTTCAAACAACAAACGTTTCCCAAATATTTTTCCTTTTGATTTATTCATGTTTCTAATTTTAGTACCAGGCAGATGCAAATTGGCGTATAGCTAACTCAGAACATCACTTCTGTTAAAGTTTAATCTTTGTTCAAAATAATTCAATAATAGTCCTTCATTGCTAATGAAGTTTGTTACAATTATTCAAAAAAGCCATTAAAATAAATAAAGTGGACAAAACAAGGGCAAGTATAATTTCAAAAAAACACAAAAACAACATGATCGTGCGATGATCGTGCTGGGTAACCTTATTTTCAAACAACAGCAAATGCACTAAAATCCATCGAACTGGTTCCTTGCTCTTAAAACAATTTGGTTACATCAGCAGTTTTTTGCTGTCCGATGAGACAACCAAAATATCCTACTTGTGAATCAAAAAGCTTGAACAGCTTTTAAAATTGTTGCAAAGGAGATTATGATTAGATCAGGGGTTAAAGCAAAAAAAAAAGATTTGACTGAAAATTTTCTCATGGAAATATAATGAATTACAGATCAAACGAATTCTTCAAAGATATACATTTAAACTGGTGTATTTTGATGTGAAATTACAACCAGTGGATCAAGCAACTTGTCAACTCTTTGACAGAATATTAGTGAGAGTAGTTCATCTGCATCATTGGCTTTACTTGAGGCGAGATGAGGCGTTGTCCTTTGGCTCTGTCCTCGTCAAAATATCGCAAAAGGACATTCAAAATTCTGTCCACATTTGTTTGTGGACACTCAATGTTTAAGAAAAAGGTTTCCCTATAAACTTGGTGCTAGTGCACAGCGCAGTTTTATCAACTGCAAATGATTAATGATAATTAAATCTACCAGCGGTAGTGATGGTTCTGAACGACAGGTTATTTTCTGCGATAAAGCCACAGATAGTTTTAGGTCACAGACACAGTCCACCAGAGCAAGCCTAGTCTCAGTTGTCGCTGAATCTGATGCACCAGGTAAAGAAGTGTGGGAAAGTGCACGGACAGCTGCCAAGTGCGCAGTTTTGAGCTGGTGGTGAATCCAAAGCTGTTTTCTCATTACTCCCATATAAAAAAATAATAATAGCGAAGTACGAACAAGCACCGGACACCTTCATCTTTTTGCACCATGAAGCAACAGAATCCCCTCGTCTCCACCTCATCCAGCCATGCCCACCTCCATTTATTTTTCACTCCGTTATCAACAGCAACTTATACTGCTCCTTCTTCCATAAACAACGATCCATGATTGTGATTGTGCGTGCATGCTAGGCTAGCTTTGATGAATGAATATAAGACCCTGCTAACACACACCTTTCTTCAGCGAGTTTCTTCCGTTCGCTCTCGTTGATTGGCTCTTTTTATCACGCAGTTTTGGATGCGGATTGCCACCAAGATATTATCAAAAGCTCACCAAGACATGCTTGTCCCCATTCCCAGTCACAGCAAAGTACATATTGTACATTCCGTTAAATAAAAAAGCATTGCGTTTGGTAAACGTTAATTATGTCCTACCTTTCCTCTGATAACGCGCCCAGTTTACCGGTCCGCGGGCTGCTGGCTGTTATTGCTCCGTTCGGGATTACATTTTCCTTGTCCTCTTCTCCTTTTCAAAAGCTCCGTGCACTTTTCAGAAACTTTCACCTCCGTGTTACCATCCCTAACTTGGCTACGTCCCATTGCCTTGAATCATTTACGGAGCGCTCATGTAGCTAGCCACGGCACGTTCAAGGCCCACTCGTTACTTTTTATTTCTATATACATATAAATACAATTATATTCAAATTATTAATATATATCTAGATATATACAACAGATTCACACGTATTACTATATATTTTGTTATAATTAACCATTTCATTGTGTGTATTATATTATATTTTGGTTTTTTTTCAGACCAATTTCATTTGACGGACATCCGTCACTTAGACGGAACTCTTTAATCCCTGGATTAGATCAATGCCATTCTAGTGGACTTTTAACGTTTCTATATTTGGTGCAATGTCACCAGTTACAAACAATGAGCTGCACCCACATCTAACCAATGTGCCATCTTTCTAATGTAATGTATTTCAGTATTCTTACATACAGTACATGTGTATAGGATTAGTGTTACCTGATTGTCATGGGCCTCAGACACATTATCCTCCACAAAGTACATGCCTGACTTTCCTGTGGGAGAAACAAGAGTGGAGTGAGACTTCAGGAACTTCAGAATAAGACAAACAGAGCTGTTCCTCAGTCCCTTCAAATAAAAACACGTCTTCTGTGTGAGAAAAGTGGGTGTATTATCCTCTAATGGCCGACACTGGATTACTCCGTCCTTTGGTTTATTATGTACCAAGTCTTACCTAGAAGCAGCTCCCCCGCGGTCTCACGGGAGGGGGCGACACTAATGCAGCGCCTGGTGAACCTGCGGACACAAAGGAATATGTTTTATAAGAGAAAATGGAAAAGTACAAGCCACCGTGGAGCGAGCACTAGTTGATAAGACATTTATATTCCTCTCCTTTCTTCAGGGAGACGAGAATATACAGACGCATCCAGATCCGGCAAAACATTATAGCCGCCTTTGCAACATGAGCTGGAGACATAATTGAGCTAATGATTAAAAATAAGGGTATGAAAATGTGCCTTTTTCTGTGTATTTTAATCCCAGAGTATGATTAATAATACGTGAACTTAAAGCAACGGAGGAATACAAGGAAAAATGTTTTGAGAGCAAGGGACTAGTTGGAATTTAATGCATCGTTAAAGGTTTTTTGTGATTTGAAAATGAGGCACACCGGCTTTAATAATGCATCATCATCATCGTCATCATCATCATTAAAGAGTGGCCATAATGTTTTAGCTGATTTTTGAGTTTCCATGTGACTTTTAAAGACGGGAAAAAATCAATAGCTAAATAAAGCGTAAGAAAAGCAGTAGATTTGTACCTGATCGGTTCACTGGTGGCTTTGTCCTTCACGGTGGAGGAGAACGAGGAGTGAGTCTTTTCCTCAAATAAAAACGAGAGCGGGGGCTTGACAGAGTCTAAAAACACAGTGTTGGTGTTATTCAAGTAGACAGCTGAATCGATGCGGCTTTAAAAATGCCGGACGCACCTTCAGGTTTGCGGCGGTCGCTGAGCAGGTATTTGTTTGGGATGGTGAGGTAGCATCTCTGCAGACGCCTGCGCTCACGGTTCGGGCCCTCTGTCGGATCCAGCTGCCAGGACGTGGGATAAGAGCTTGGGTCGTACCAAACAGCGCTGGAAAATTAATGTAAAATGTTCTAAAAAAATTGCATTTGTATGTTGTAATCATAGACTATTATCCTCATGGACCTACAGTAGCTAACCTGCAAGCTCTATGAAGCCGAATAGTAAAATGCTCATGGTTTGTTCCAACTCCCATTCACCTACATTGAAAAGTAAACTCCAAAACAGCTTGTGTCACACTAGCTGAAAAAATCTGTGGTTTCATGCTCCATGATCCTGATGCTTTCAATGTTATGTTCTCTTTTCAGTCTAGATTAGATCCATAACAACTGACCAATCCCCAAATTTGGCTTCAGCTATCCAATAGCGTGAGGGTACAGACCAGGTTGGGGTGGTCTAATTCGCTCTTTGGTTGCTGGGTAGTTTCTACCTGAGAATTTGGCTACAGATTGAGTAAGCTCTACCATCTTGCAATGTCAACTAATATGCATGTTAGTAATAATGTTTGTAATTCAATGTATAGGCACCATCACAATATTCTCTCTACCCAACATGGTCCTACTCTGTTTAGATGCCAAAACTTGCAGTTTCCCTGCCTATTGTCTGATGTTATCTATCCATTTGAATTGTAACAGGGATATTTATTTGGATTTATGCAACAACAAAAAATATGCCGTGGTGCAGATGTGTTGTAGGAGCCATCACTGATGTAAAATAATTCAATTCTCAAAGGAGCAGGTGTGCTGCCAATGTTATCAGTTTACCAAACGCAAACTGACTTTTTTCTTGTACATAATATATTTTTCCCTTTTCAAATGTTCAACCCATTCTAAAACATTTTTACTTTATAAGCAAAGTGTCTTGTTCTTGATGTAAGCCTGCTTAGAGCTCCAAATTAGAAATAACTGAAACACTCAGAAATGGTAGAGTAGTTCAGTATTTCAGTGTGGCTTCTCACCGGTCGTGCGTGTGCTGCTGCACCAGCTCCTGCCAGTGTCGGCTAGCGCTCAGGTCGGTCTTGTAGAGGCCTCTGATGTGCTGGATCACCTTCTTCCTCTCCATGCCCTGCCGCAGCGACACGTTCTGGGTGATATCAGCTGCAATCTTTGAGATGTCCTTCGACTTTCCATCGAGCCTCTGGATGAGACTGTAGCAAAACACCACAAAGAGGAACAAAAACACTATTATAAAATGTGTAACTTTTGACATAACAAAAAATCTAAAGCAAAAAAAAAATCTAATGATCTGATAATCAAATGTATCATGTTTTAATTGTTTAAAGCTGAGGGGGGTGTAATTAATATTATTGGGGTTCACTTTTTCAAGACCAAAAAGTGAGTGAGGGGACCAGCCTGACCTCAGCCCATGAGTGTCCAATAGTGACTCCCAAGGCCCTCTTCCTTACAAGAATGCAAAGATTAAATATATTTTCTATATTGTGGTATCATTTATCCACCTCATCCTACTTTTACATAAACTCTTCCTGCTTGGACAAGCAAGGTGTATGTATGAAGTAACAAACAGTGAGGTCCCCCAGCTTTCAGAGTGATCAATTGGAGAAAATGAAATGCTTACAAAACATCTTTATCACATTTCAGATCATAAAAGATCATACTTTTTCTGGGTATTGGCCATTTTCTTTTCCCAAGCAACTTTGCTGGTTTTCTCTTCTGCTTCATACTTGAACTTCTCCTGTTTGAACAAAGGGTCCATTATTGACATGAGTAAGACTTATGCAACATGTTCGCTGTGGTCTGACCTCTTTCACAGCCTTGAGTAAATCTTTCTTATGTGGAGAGTTGTGCGGGATGCAGCGGTGACCACAGAGCTTCAGGGACGTCATGAAAACGGCTACCGCGTTTTGTTCGTCTTTGGTTAAATTGTCTTTGTGATCGTGAAGCATCTCGTAGAGGTACAGCGACAACTTTGGGCCGTGCTGAAGACAGAAAGTAGACATTTAATAAAACTGCTTACTGGAATCATTTAGAGATGGCATAGGAAAATAATCTATGAGCCGTCTATCTTCTTATTTGGAGCAATAAGTACAGGAGGCCTGGCATGCGCCTCCTGTACTGGCGACCCCGCTCCCATCTCTGTGTGGAGTGAGAGGACAAATGCCCAAAATAACAATTGTAAACCGCTTTGTGACTCTGGTCTGTGAAAGGCGGTATATAAATAAAGATTACTTAATACAAAAAAGCTAATAGCATTGACAGAATAATGTATCTGCAATACTAAATTTTAAATATATTGGCATTTAAAAGGTAGGGTGATTTTTAAGCCAAGCCAACTTTGCTAAGTGAACATAAAACAAAGAAGACAGAGGTTCTCCTGACGAAATATGGACAGATGCATAATAACCATTCATTCGGAGTGCTACTGTGAACCAAAACATCTATTATTTCTGAACTGAAACACAAACTTAAATTGCGTACTCACCTCCAGACCCGGACTGAGGCTCTCTTTGAGGATGTCCAGATGCTTGTGATCGAACACAAACTCTAGTGCCTCCTTTCTTTCGGACAAAGGTAGTGCAGGGCTGAGGGTATGGACCAGCAGACGCCCGATTTGAACCCGAAAAGTGTCCCGACAAGACCAGAGGATCCGTCTCCACTGGTGATGGGGGGCTCCACCTCGGCCTGTGCTGCCCTGTGGAGACGTGAAGGACATGACATCAATACTAGATTACAACTTCTAATGTGCAATTTACCCAGTCAATATATTATGGACACACTTAATCATCCTTAACAAGGATTAAGGGTGTCCATATATTTTACTTGGTTTGGAGTCTGGAAAACTTTCAATTTGATGAATTCAAAACCGATTTTTTAAAACATATTTGATAACATATATTGTGAACAAATATTAGCATACAAACATGAGAATCTTTGTTTCTCCCCTATAGTCAAGGAAAGATGATATTTCTTGAATTTGATTCCCAAGGAGCAAAAATGAATTAAGCCTAGACAAGTTTTCTTATGAAATGAAAAAAGAAAAACAGTTGTATCTTTTTTTGAGCAGTTTGAATTCGTTAAGGCAATTAATAAGAGCGAAAAACAAGGCATTGTGAAAGCTGGTTTATTTTGAGCAATTAGACAAATTCCATGAAGAAACTATTATGGAAACTTTTGAGTGACAGAAACAATTTGAACTTTTTGCAGAATTGTGGCAGCAAACTCGTTAAGTAATTTGCAAAAACTTTCTACAGCTAAGTTTTCCTGAACAAGATCGCGACTCACTATCTTTTAAAAAGGCTATGACTGATGGATAGGGATGTGTATTGTTAAGGATTTCTCAATATTTTTACTCTTATTGATGCAGTACTTTATCAATATCCTTAATGACATCTTACATTTCAAAATCAATAGTAAAAACACAATATATCAAAAAACTAGATCTGTTCTCTACAAATTCATATGACTATTTATGCTATAAAATAAGTAGAATTTACGATTGAATATTGTCCCATATCCCATAGACTAAAGTGTCCTCTGATGTCCTCTCTCTGCGATGTACCTCACAGTTTAAGATACACGGCACCTCTGCTCACTTCACTCTGCGCCAGCACAAGGAAAAAAAGGTTTTGAGACTTTTGGCTCTTGCACTAAGATGGAGAGCAAAGGCGAGCAAATTGGTCTATCATTACACGGGCTGCAGTGTGTGGAGTCGTGTCCACTTCAGGGCAGAAGCCATTCTCTCTTTCTCTCTATGATCTGTAACGTCTTGTGGAGAAATACAATTTGGATGTTTAGAACAAGTGAGCAAGCCTATAGAGTAGTGACGACTCCTCTCTAAAAATACCGTTGACATGGCAGATAAAGATGGAGCTCGTAGGGTCAAGGAGGCCAACAGTGTGGCCCCAAAAGCCATTTCGGCACCGGTCCCTTCTGATGGATTGATGCAATGAAACATTTCCCAACATGGTCATCCCTGCATTTCTTATTGAACGAATCACTGTCTTACCAGACTGATCTTGATGCCGTCCATCATGAGTTTGAGGATGTCCTTATGGAGGCTCTTCTTGCTGGCGGGGGGGAGGGTGAAGGGGGTGGGGGAGTGAGGGACCGAGGAGGGTGCGCTCTCATCTGCTGCGGCGTCTCCGGGTTCAGGGGTGTACAGCTGATGCTCTGGAGAGTCTGGGATGTTCAGCAGATCAAACAGGTCCTGACTGACATCTGAAGAGAGGAGGGGAGGAAGTTGGCGTCGCAGACAGCAGAAATAATACATGTGGACTATTTGCATCTGCACTATTACTTAAATGTTTACTGCTGATGTTGAGGCTACGAAAAAATTATTTCAATCAAAGTCAATCAAACTTTTTATGACAGTGAAATAGTGATGTACATTATTTGCATACACATTGGATTTGGTTATAATAATAATTCAGAAATCTAAATCCAGAGATCCAATTATTATATTGTTATATTTTATAATTTAAAAAAAATCCCTTTTCACACATTTCTTGCATTAAATTATCTTCTCTGCTTGTGTCTAGAGCTGCAACAATTACATAGATTTTGCTCAATTTATTTTCCTGAACATAAAAATTCTATTCCTCAAACATTGGCAAGAGCTCTGGTGTGTGCCGTCTTCTCTGTCTGGTGCACACCGGGGTAGTCTTGCACAGTTTTTCCAATGTGGTTTTACTGCAAATGGCAAATAAATGAATCTGAATCTGAATTTTTTTAAATCTCTAAGGCACATGCTTCTACCAAGAAACTACATCCCTAAAGCTGAACATTTGCAATAATACATTACTGCATCTTCACCTATTTGAACAGCTTGATGTATAAAACGTATGTAACAAGACAGGCGACACCTTAGAACACCTTAAACCTTTGCTAAGATAAACCAGTCCTTCTGTAATCTTTGTTCGGACCGTGCTGCAGGAGCTGAGGCTCTAAGCACACAGGGCAGTGGGCAGACTTGTACCGTGGTAAATGAGTCTGTTGACGGCCAGCACCACGAGCCGCTGAAGTCTCTGGACAAACTCCGTCTCGCTTGCTCGGATGGGGTTCTCCTGGCTCATCCGCCTCTGCATCATCTGGTGCAGCTCGTCACTGGCCACAGAACGCATCCGCATCAACAGAGAGTCGGTCTGAGCGAGAGAGAAGCGGCGCCGGCCTACGACAAAACAATACGTGGGTAATTATCAAAGAAGAATACACATAATGAAAGACAGTATTTTTTAATGATTGCATGCAAAGTCACAGCAAGGGTAAGAGTTTAGTTTTAAAAGTAAAAAAATTCACTTCACCGAAACAAGAAGTAAATCAACAAAGCCAATAACTATGTTTAATTTGAAGCCAGAAAACTTAGTAAAACTAATTAATGAAGAATAAATAATATGGGAAATTTAGATTGCACTTGACTGGCTGCACATTATGTCCAGGTTGGGCTTCAAAACTAAGAAACGTATTCAGAAAAACCTGTGGGGCATTTAGATGAAGAAAACATAGCATTGGAATCAGTTACGGTGCATATCATGGGGAAAATATAGAATTTAAATATAAATAATAGAAAATGCATAAAAACATATCCAAGGACATTAAAATGAAGCAGAAAAAAAAAATCTGAACAACATAAATGTCCATATGGCACACAGCAACTAACTATCACACAACCAGGAAACAAGGTCCTAAACAAATACAAATCACACATTACAACAAAGTACACACAGGCTCCAGTAGCACAGCAGTGTACTGGGCAGGTTATCCCCAAAGAGGGCCCTGTCCCGGGACTACCTGCGTCACAGTTGAGCATGTAGGAGGGAGCGCCAGAGGGGGAGGGCAGGGGGGAGTCCTGAGAGAGGAAGCTGAAGGAGGGGGACAGGGGGATCTGGCCGTACGAGCAGTAGTGCTGTCGAGGGATGCGGGGGATTATGGAGTCTTTGGCAATGGATCCTTCAGTGAGCGATGAAGAGGATGGACAAACAGGTGGAAGTTAGACAATGACAGACACACAATGATGATGGAATTACTATGAACTACGAGACATGATTACAGAGCTCTTATTTCATTCTTTTATTCTGCTGTAATGTGCGCAACGATGACACTGAAATTTCCCCACTGTGGGACGAATAAAGGATTATTTTATCTTTTTTAAACATCCAAAAATAATAATTACATTCCTTAAAGCGGGGCTTTAGGGAATGTAATTCGTAAAAGTCCAACTAGTTTTGTGTTCTATCACCAGTTTTCACATGCATTTTTTGGCTTCTGTCACAGCCTCCGATTTTTCAAAAGTGACAAAGAGAGTACCACACTCACTCAGCCAATCAGCTCTTAGCCAAAGTGTCAAACATTGACTCCCAGGGCTCTTTCTTATGTATGTAAAATGGTAATAAGTTCTGTAATAAGATAAAGAATTTAAAATTAAAATTAATGATTTAAAATTAATAACACTGTGGTTTCTAAATTTTCATAAGGAGAATTTTCTAAGAGGGATCTTCATGGGATGAATAAATCATATATTCAGATAACTATGAAATATTTTGAAGAACATTTCTGTGTCCATAAATGATATCAACAATGGGCTGTTTCTAACTTACCAGCGATGCTTTTCCGCTTCTGGTACATGGCGTGGTGAGGAGAGCTGGTTGTGGTGATGGAGCTGCTGAGTTTCTGCGGCTCCTGATTGGCTGTCGTCTTGATGAACTCTATGGCCGACTGAAGGACGCGGAACTGCAGCGCGACGGCCATTTCTAGAAAGGGACAAACAACAATTCAGATTTAGAGGAGAGGTGTTCACAGCTCACAAAAGCGCTGTAATCTGCCAATAGAAGCACTCAGAACATGGATCTAAAATAATAACTGGATAGGATATTACTGACTTATAGCTTAGGGAACAGGGGGCGCCCGTGGTACTGCAGACTAAATTTCATGAGGGCTACCCAGAAATTTTCCCCATAGATCTCAATGTAAACTAAAACAGCTCGACCTCAGCTGACAAAGAACCAACAGCTTTCATAAAGATCGGATTTTGTGGGGATTTTAGTATCCCTTGTCATCCTGAACTTTTTTTCTTCTTAAATCCTCCAGTTTTTTTTAAATCCACACTTTACTACTAGAAACTCGGCGTTTTTCCTTCCCGCTCTGACTCCGCTCTACCACTGCTCTGATCAGCAGCTCTGATTGGTCAAAACGTGGCAGAGCCCCTGTGTGTATTAGGCACAACGCCTCATGTTAGCTCGTCCACTACGCAGAACCGGGAGGACCAGACGATGCCCAAATAGGCGAGTTCTGCTAATATGTCAGCGCCCTTGATGTCCCATGCGCTACTGAGCACAAGCCATTCATTTGAATAGGGCGCTATATTGGATAACTGGGGCTTGACTCAGATGCATTTAGACTAAACTGTGGTCTTCGTCAGGGCAATGCAATACAATACAATTCAATAAAATAAAAGATTTAGTTTGCAGGATGGAAACTGACTACAAACTTTGATTAAACATTGTGGGAAAGTTTGTTAAAATTGTTTTGACAGTTAGTTTCAGGAGATTATACAGTCTTGCATCTTTTTTCAGCACAGCTTGAGATGTGGAAATGATTTCTTCTAATAGGATTTCTTTACTGAAGGCAGCATGAGATATGCCCATAACTGCAGGATCCATATGCTTCCACTCCCTCATAAAGATGCATTTTTACTCCAAGAAATAATGAGGATCCAAAGTTAACTATACAACATAAACATTTCTCTTAAGTTTAGTCATTATTATGTTATTGACAATTTGGCATTTTACTAGATTACATATTTTGACGCAATTCTGATTCATGAAAAATAATGAGGTTAGCTCCAAACATGAGTGAATGCTATGTTTCGATTGAACTAAACATTTACATTGCAAGCAACCTAAAATAAATGAAATAGACACTGGGGTTAGGGAAACATAGTGATTTTAGTACTATGAAGCCAAGATTTTACAGAAAAAAAAAATAATAATTCGCTCAAATGAATACATAAAACCAAAAAGACGACCTGTTGATGTCGGTTTTGCATAATAACTAGAATCTCTAACCTTTGCCTATAGGTCATATTAATTCTACATTATATCACTTTATGTTATATTGAATTTATTCAGAAGAAGACTGGGAGATTCTTGGTACAGAAGTGTAAGAAAGAAAACTTTAAACTTATGGTTTGTGTGCTCACATCCACTACAGTCCTCTTTTCAAAACTTATAAACTTCACTCGAATTTATGCCAAGTCTACTGAGATTAACCCCTATAGCTGCTGGTACACCACTGCACTCAAGGGGAGGGATTTCTCTGAAAAGGATGCATTTCTATGGCTACCTTGCGTGCGCCGCATCTTGCTTGTTTGCATAAATCCGAGAAGAGTAATGAGGTCTTCGATGATGCGGAAGTACTGGGACCCCGAGGAGCTGCAGGAGTGGATCGTCACGGCCACCAACAGCTGCTGGATGTCACACACCAGGAGCTTGTAGTCGTTCAGAGGGATGCTAGAGACAAGAGGAAATAATATTAAACTGTGGAAATAAGTCTGCTGCCTCCCCGAGACGGATCAATGAACAGTGAGGAGATTAATGGTTTTGGAACATGGCTGGGAGCATCAGCACAAACCCTCTGAAGTAAGCACAGTGTGAAAGGCCCTTTAGCGGGATTTGAAATGGTACATGAGCCAAATCTTGTCAAAAAAGACCAAAACACAAGGCCAATTGTTTCTTTCAAGATGAAAGAAAAAAACCACCTGAGGGAATACAGTAGAAGCTGGGGTACCAGACTTATTTTGCTTTGCAAACACGTGTCATTTGTTTGAACGGAAAGCCTGGTAAAAGAGATTTTGTGAACACATCTAATTAGAAAAATCCCTGAGTCACTATTCAACACTTTGGGCTGAGAGCTGATTAGCAGAGTGAGGGTGGTTCTTCGAAAAGATGTCAGAGGCCGAAAATACATGCATCTAAAAACAAGTGATAAATGCAGCACAACTTCAAATGGATTTTCATTACACACATTCATTTGAATACATTTTTTGATGTTTGAAAGTTAAGTCCCCAAGGTCCCAAGATTTAAAGCTGAGGGAACAATATAAAGCCAGAAGGGTATTTGGGAGGTTGTGACAAAGTTAAGAAAAGTTAACCATGAGTTTCCCCAAAAGCAATTTTTCTTTTGTGTTTGTTTCAATGAGCATTGGCAACATATTTGAATACATCTTGCTACATCATGACAGTTTTCTATAACTATTTCCCCTGAGAAAATCGAAGTAGAGAACTTTTCTTAGCCCTGAAGCACCCTGCTTATGTTGCCACAAACAGTAAAAAGAACTGCACTTTTTTCCAAGTTTACTCAACTTTTATAAAGCAACATTAACAGTGAGTCCTCTTACACTCTATAGCATGAATATAGATATGTTGGCTCTGGCTACTCCGAGCTAAATGTATCTACTTGAAATTTTTGGCATCTCTGTTTGGCCTTCCACTTAATCAGTATTTCAGTGAGTGACTCCCCTGACTGAGTGCTTCGATTTTGGTCTTTTGCTTCAAGTCATTATACGAGTGTAAAATTAGGATATTTGTTGTTCCACACAAATGTACCTCACGTAACTCAGTAGAAGCCTTAGCTGCAACACTTCAGCAGGAATGATTAGATGAAATACCTTATCTGTAATAGCAACCGTACCCGTTCTCCATGCCGTTGAGTGTAGACAGTGTGTTGAAGAGGACATAGAGCAGTCCGTGGTCCAAGAGGATGTCTGCCAGTTTAGGACACGCATTGAGGAGCTGCAGCAGCATGCACAAGATGTTATGCACCAGTGAGTTTTCATATAGAGAGTTTTCTATGAGGCCCAGCACAGGAATGATGCAGCGCCGTCTGAAAGGGGAAATGCTCTCCATCTCCTCCAGGTCCAAACTATAAAATACCAAAAAAAGGTCATTGAAAATCTCTGTCTTTTAATTTGTTTTACACATTAGACTTTAGACTAGTAGCTGCGCAGTTAATCAAATTGTGTGTTCTGAACAGAAAACGTTGTTTGAAGCTGAAATCAATTGGGAAGCAGAAATGTAATTTTAAATGTTAACCTTTAAGTCTCCCTTTATGATCATGAAATAAGTAGTGGTAGACATTTATATATGGATTCTTTCCTAAAAACAAACCACCTGTGTAAGTGTGTCCAAAAATCTGATTAGGAACATTTGGTGAAATTATTAATGTTAATTCAAGGTTGAATGTGAGAGACAGTAAAAGTTATCTAACCATTTGTTAATTAAATTTCTTTAGCAAAAAGCCACTGCTCCTGATAGATGCCCCTGCAGCAGTGAAGGATGGGTCAAATACTTTAATGGACTGAAGTCTCTCATTATAAATTCCACTATCACTTACTCTTCCTCCAAGCCTACAGGGCGACCAAACAGCATCTCCAGAAAGCACTCGAGGAGGCCCTGACTGCCCTGGTGAATGTACAGCTGATTGGCCAGCAACGAGAAGCCGTGATTCTTCAGAAACTTTTCCTTCTGCTCCTTCTGGGCTCGGCTGAAATATGCGTCCAGCAACTGTAAAGAGGCCAAAAATATGTCAGTAGTTTTGAAATATGTCGCAAAAATGGTAGTAAATTTAGTTTATAGTAATAAAACTATCGCCTCAAACCACATATCACCTCACATGAGCGGGTTAGCGGCCTGAAGGAGTAGCCTATACAATACATTCTCGATGGAGCACTCTTGGTCGTATAGAGATAAAAGATGGATATTGAACTAGAGTAAATAAAACCTCTTGCATATGTAATTGGAAATACTGCAGGTGTTTCATTTATGATACATATCACTGTGATCTTTTACCCCATTGTCAGAGTTAAACCTATTTCCATTTATGGCAATAGTGCTCAAACTGTGAAAAGTCCTTCAACTTTTACAAATGTCTGTGGAAGACTCTAAAGAATCTGAATACATTTTCTTTCTCCAGTGTTGACTTTTGGACCAAGCAGTTAAGGATGTGTGCATAATTTGTCCATATCTTTTCCCAACATTTCTAGCAAACTAAAAAAAAAAACGGTTGTGGCTCAATCTCCATCAACAAGATGTTTTAATAATCCAGTGTAGTTCATACTTTAAGGGTCATAAATCAACTTTTTAAATGAGATTTTTTTTTTTATATTATAGCATATTTGACCTTGTAATGCCCAAGTGTCTGTATGAGTGTCAGGTATCATAGTTTTAAGACCCAATGAATAATAATAAAAGTTTATCTGTATATCATCCATACCTTACTTGCAGACAAAGATCCAAACAGTGACAGCAAACAGTCTATGAAGATGATTGGTTTGGGGATGTACCTTCATGACCCCTTGCTGGATCAGAGGAGATGAGTGGTTGACCAGGACGATCAGAGCCTCTGGTTGGATGAGTTTGTCCATCACTTCCTCCAGCATCAGATCTGGTAACAGTAGCAGCACTCCCCTTAGCAGGTCGTACAGGCCACAGCAAATCAGCACCAGGCAGTCCTCTGTGCTCGACCTGCGGACACACAGACCCAAGGTACAAACAGAGCCACAATAACAGTGTAGGAGGGTGGAGGTTCTATAGTTAAGAATTACTTAAAAATTATACCTTGAACTTAAAACCACTGGAGGAACATTCTGACCCAATGCAAGGCCATGTAATGCCCTGTGTGGTAGTTTAGCTGCCTCTGTCTTTTCTCAACAGTAGCTCATCTTGTTTAACAGTGCCATGTACTAATGTACTCCTGGCCTGTTTTTTTGTTTTTCCTCACCTTTTACCCATCACTGCCAATTAATTATGGGATTGATGGTTTTCTTAGAGGAATTTGCACAAATCAACCCGATTATAAACACAACAATATGCTTTTACTACAGTAATACAAAACAACAGTATACTCTTTAAAACTAACAGCCGGTGTCATATAAGGCTTACAATAAGTTGGAAAGATCATAAAAAAATATTTGTGTGTTTATTGTAAACAAAAACTAATATCTTGTTTGAATACAGATTTTTGTAGCAAGGACAGCCTTTGAAAAACATTTTCTACCTGTCATTGGATTCCGTTTTGCTGTGTGCGCGCTCGTATCCTGGTGAATAGGTGTAACTCTCCCAGTCCTCAGGCATTGACCCTCTGTCGGCTGCACTAGGCCACCGTCCGATTGCCAATGACCCGTTTGTAGCAGGAAAGGCCAGCCCCAGACTCGCCAGGTTACTATGACTGCGCTGGAACGACTGGATGCCTTTCAGACTGTCAGGCCTCCGCGGAGCCTCATCACTGGCCCAATCAAACCGATCCTCAGACTCTGCCACCCCCACGCTGCCTTCGGCTAAACTGTCCACCTCAGCTTCATCCCGCTCCTCCTCCACGCTAATGGAGGGGGTACGGGCGCCCCCTTCAACCTCCCGGGAGTCGCAGATGGTTTTGGCCGATTCACAGCTGCTGAGGAGCTGTTCGTCCCCCTTCTTTAGAGTCTCGGTGCTGCCCAGAGCCTGCTGAGCCAGAGGGGAGACACCATCACTGTCACCAGACGCTGGGCCCCCTGCGTTCCCCAGGCGAGGGGTGAGGAGGGGGGAGGAGTACGGAGATGGGGCAAGACTCGGAGGGCGTAAGGCGTTGTCTCCGTGCTCGGCGTAAGAAGGGTGAAGATGGCCTGAGGAGCACAATTTAACAAGGTTCAAAGTGTCTTTATTATATCCGATGGGAAATTTAATTGCAGCAGCAGAGCAATACATATGTTTATCCACGTCTGATGAAGGGCCTCAGCCCAAAACATTAGACCTGTGGTCTGTAAATAACACATCATTCTTTCTTATTATTATAAAAATTGAACCCTATATGCATTAAGTATACCCAGCAGCCTTGCAATACCTACAATTTGTTACCTTTGGTCAATTATGTTACTCATATTTCAATGAAAGTAATAGAAGTTAAAAAAATAAATGGTTCAAATAATGAGCTATAAATCTTTTTTGTATCCGATTTTCCTCTTTCTCTGTTCTAAGTACAATTTTTATTACATTAAACATTATTAAAGCATATAATTCAACTTTAGGGTACAAATGGTTATCAATTACATTTGCCTCTAAAGCTACTCGTAATATCACCCTGCTTATTGTTACAAATATACCTTTCTTAAATCTGTTTTGCTCATTTGTATAGCGCATTACAATTACACTCATTTTCTCAACACAAACATAATTTCTAAATAGCAATTTTAGTCAATGATAAAATAAGCCTAGTATTGGAACACTTTCATTAATTAATGTGATAGCAGAGTGATACGCAGTGACACAACTCTCCAGGGGCAGCGGATAAGAGCATTAGTGACACAGACTAAATGTTTTTGACGGCGAAATGGGAGCAAGAAGACATGCACTCAATGACCTCCTGTTGATGTGTTTTTTTCCTCACAGGACGTGTGTTTGCATTAGTTACTTCAAATATAACTTATGACCTTCTGTCTCCACCAAGGGAATATTGCCGCAACCAACGGCTCTTTATTGGATGCTTTTCTGAAGATTGCAGTGCAATTCAGGTGTTTAGAGAACAGGATGAAATAATGGGCCAGGAGACTCCGGTGCAGATAATATGAAGTCACAAAAGGTCTTTGCAGAGAAAGCTTGGTGCAGGGTCAAACAACATTATCAGGTGCTATAATTATCAAGAATTACACACGGGAACTAAAGCTAAAACATTAGCACAACAGTAAATACACTGTCAGCTGTTGTTCTTTACTTTAAGCCTAAATTTTAAGAAAAGCTTTTTTTTATTTTTTATTTTTTATGAAAAACTGGATAATAAGATCATACAACTGATATGAGTAAAAAAGATCAGTGCATTAGTATTCTTTATGGAGCTGTGAAGTGTCAAAAGTAAAATTACCCAAATAAATTTTAAAAAATCCAAAATTCAAGACTATGTAATTGTATTTGATAGAGATTCTTATGGTGATGGTAAATGATCTTCTGGAAAGTGAGCAAAGTATGTATAATAGATTACACCACAACCGGTTAGAAAAATTGCATGATTGCTTCTGTGTGCCATATACAATCTGCTACTAATTTCTTTCAGTCAGTCTCAAATTCTAGAAGACCCATTTCCACAAACACAAAGGCGAAGATACATTTCATAGCTTTTTACTTTGTTGAATCAGCTGCGGCAAAGTAGTGAAACTGAACTTCTGAGCTTAGCCTTTACGGTTACTGTATATAAAGTAAGTATACCTTCATGTGGAGCATCAGTGAAGACAGTGGGGGACAGAGACACCACAGAGCTGCAGGCAGACTTCCCTCCGCTCGTGGAGTGTCGGAGGTGCATAATGGACTGGACTTTCTCGTGATAAACTTTCCCATCTGACAAAAAAAATACATCAAATAGAGTGGAGTTATATGCCTCTTGTGCCATAGATTCATTCAACTAAAACTTTTCAATTTCAGAATCCATTTAACATAGTGCAAATGAAATTTCATAAACAATGTCAAGAACTGAGTCAGGGGTTAGCCATTAACAGGAGAAACTATTAGCCATGCTTTATATGCAACGTACCGATGTGGAGAGAGAAATAAAAGCTTGACGGAGTGTGGCAGACGTAAGTGTTTGTGGGCGGATGAACGGCCAGGAGGAAGTTGTAGATCAGTTTGAGTAAATCCAAGTCGGGAGGGGAACCTAAAACTTCTTGAATGATTTTGACAAACGATAAGCAGACTTCTTGTGGGATGGCAGTGAGGTGCTCGTCCTTGTGCTCCTGTGGACAACAGCATGATATAATGTTGAGGGTCAAAGTAGTTCATTTAAGTAAATGGCACATATACAAGCTTACAGTACTGTACACTCCACAAGGGATACAACAGTAATACGCATAAAACACTGGTACAATTTGAATTCTCACATAACCATTTGTTGTTGATCAAAGGATTAAGCATAATACCACAATAATTAGAATTACCCATCTAGCGTAAACAATTTTCATTTAATAAAATGTTTTTATATTTTTGATAGTGTGTTACATATTGCATTGTACAAAATAACAATTGTAAACCGCTTTGTGACTCTGGTCTGTGAAAGGCGGTATATATATATATATATATATATAAAGATGACTTACTTACAAAGCATCTACATAATATTCTTAAATTGCTGCTAGAAGTTGTTCTTATAAATATTCTGGACCTGTAGGACTTGGCAGGTGAGAAGGAAGCGATGAACCACTTCAGCCTTAAGGAACTGTCGGATGTTGAAGACTTGATGCGGATGGTGAACTCTGATGAGGATCTCCAACGCGGCGAGCAGCGTTTCCCACACACCGCACTGGAGAAAAGAAAAAAAATCATTTACAATTAGGACTAAAGAACAAGCGTTTTTTCTTCTTCGTTTTTCCCCCAAACACCAGTAATAGCAATTAACTTTTATCAAAACGGACACTGTGCAAGATTTATAGTAGAAAAGAGGAGTACATGTTCTTTTGTTAACCGTTTTAGGACAAATATCCTTTACCAAAATGATTTCATTTGGTTAAATCAAAGCCAAAATATTGAGAGCAAAAATTATATGCCAGAAGTTTAATTTCAGGCCGCGTGAAAAATATACATGATACACAATATATAGTCTATATAGTCTTTTTTAAAAATAATGTCATAAAATTTGTCAAACTTCCAAGGAGATGGAACTCAAAGAAAAATAACTTAAGTCAAGCGGGATCCTCCAAGAGAAAAGTAAAAGCAAAAGTACCTCAGAACAACGTTGATAATAGCCTGGCCATAGCCATCCGTACACTCCACTCAATCATAATTTCACTGCATGTAACGTCTGGGTCTGGTCCCTGTGTTAGCGAATACAATCGGTCATATTTCGACCGGCTACTCAGAGAGCGCGGAAGGCGGGTGTTGTAGGTCGGTGCCGGTGACGTCAAGAGTTTGCGCCGAACGGGCAGGTTGTAGTTTGGCAATGGCAAAGAATGCGATAGTAAAGTAATCCGGTCTGGTTCTATCAAGAAATTGAAGCAGGAGCAAGAGGAATGTTTAGCAAATGTAATCGCTGGTCAAGATTGTGGCGCTACTCCTCACGGGCTCCGTTAGCGGCAAAGGAGATGGCTAGGCTAAATGCTAACAACTCACTCGGGCGCATTACATACGTCACGGTAAACTCAGATCCAATCGTTTCAATCTGCAAAAGGAGTTAACCCCTCCCACCTGTTAACGGAGCTCAATGGAGCAAATCCAGACCTTAGTATGAAATGTAATTTGTACTAAGGTGTGGTACAACCAGGCAACGTTGATAAGTGTGTTATTGTGACTTTTGTTTGGCTAAACCTCAACTCAATAGTTCATTCACCTCAGCTTTGGCCCATATCTTCCAGTCCAATAGAATGTCTGAAAGCAGTTTGACGTCCTGGACCACAGCAAGGGACTCTGTATCCAAGCGAAAATGCCCATCGTCTCCCAGGACCAGAGTGGGAGCACTGCAACAACCATCTAGCAGAGTCTGTGGAGAAACAGCAAGAGGCAAAACATAATAAAAAACTCATTCATAAAATACTTACTTGCAACAGATCTTCTTGACATGTCACCCAAGAGCCTCGTAATCAGCCGCTCCTGTGATTTCTCCAACAAGGTCCAGAGCCAGACAGGAGCAGAATCAATAAAAGCTTCATGACTTTTTGGATAAGACATAAGTCACTGTCGAAACCAATGCTATTACCGTGGCCCTCAGGTCTGTCGTCATTGATCTCAGTCCATCACCTGTGACCCTCTGCATTGCAGCACATCAATCTCAAGCCCTTTTCGAGACGCAAATCTGAAGGGAAGCCTTATTCTGTTACTGCATCTATCTAGTGCCATTCATAATTTAATTCAGAATTATATATCGGCAAAACAAATAAATGCATTTTATTGATTCATTTTCAAATCTAGTATGTGTATTATTCACCAGTAGATAGCCACAAGACCAGCTTAGACTCCTTAGCTTTCTACACCATTACTACTACCACCACTTCACTCCAACACTTCCAATTATCATCACAAAGACAATCCGATCTGCCATGAGACTCTGTAGGAGCTCAGTGTTTCATCGAGTCCATTTCAGCAGCGAGACTTTACACCACGGCACAATTACAGACGCAGCCAGAGGGTCAAGTTACAGCGGGTCACACTGGGGTGCAGAGGGACTGGTCTGTCAGGCTAGATGAAATATATGAGAAAAGTACTGTCAGAAAAAAGAAGAATGTACTTCTATCAACTTTTTTCACATCAACTCATCAGAAGTAATGAGGATATTCAAGCAGCAGCATCAGGAACAGGCTACAATGTGCAGGAAGACAACATTGAATGAGACAACAGTAATGATCTAGCTCAAAACCAGGACTGCTAAGGCTAATCAACCAAAAATGACCCACTAAAATTATAGAATGATAAATGCAATAGCTTGGGATAAAATTTGGCTTGTGCTTGGTGTGTCCGCCTCTCATCAACATGCAAGGACTAAAACCAAACTCTGACAGTCTGCATTTGGGCGTTAGTCAAGGCATCATTTCACCATCTGTTAAAAAGCTGTAAATGGCCCAAAGTAATAATGTTTGTGGGTATAAATGATGAGCCAAAGTGTTGGAAGGATTAAAATACTTCCTCTTTTTGCATTGAGAAAAAGTTGTTTTACATCTTGTTTACACCCTTGACTTGGAAAAGATGACCAGAACAGAGACCGGTGTCAAACATGGGTGGAAAGTTGGAGACAGGTCTAAAATAAACAGCAAGCTTTTGTTCCAACAGAAGGATTCTTGTTAAAGTAAAGTTTTATGAACAATTCAGACAGCAATGAATCGCCTTAATCTTATTAGAAAACCTTTGTGTACATTAAAAAAAGAGCCCTGTGAGTCACTATTTGATGCTTTGGGCTCAGAGCTGATTGGCATGGAGGGGATTGGAGTCAGGGTGGTTCTCTCTTTTTCACTTTCACTGATTGATGTGACAGAGGCCAAAAATACAGGCATGTCAAAAGTAATGATAGAACAAGACTGATTTGAGAGCGGGGAACTACAGTGGTTTGATGGATTTTAATACATACAGTACATTTAAAGCTGAGGTACCCAACAATTCAAACCACACACAAAAAAATAAAATCGAACCGTAAGGCACGACTCACTTTGAGCATGTGATATCCCACGATGCACTTGGACTTGATGAGGACCTGGTGGATCATGGCGTATCCATGGTAACAGTTCAATTCATGGATGCGGTGCTGGTTTTTTTTGGACAGAGATAGAAGGATCCTCAGCGCCAGGGCCTGCGTCTGCTCACAGTCGCTCAGCTCCACAGTCTATAGACAACAACAATAAAAAAGATAAGATCATAAGAAGAGCAGCTTTATACGTGTTGTGACTACTTTTAGTAATTTAATGTTGGCGATTCCCACAATATGCAAATCATCTTTTTTTCTGTATTTTTCCAATACAAAAAACACATGAAGAAAAATAGGTGTATCCTTAGCATTGGCAATTTCCCCACCGATGGATATTATCTTGTGGGTTAGGGTGCTGTGGAGAATTCCTAGCAAGTAATGTCGACAACAGTCCTAACCCTACGAGACAGTCAGTGACCAGGCTTCCTACCTGGCGGCAATCAAATAGTTGGCAGTCGTACAGTTTTCACGTTCTTGATTGGCTTGAAAACCAAAAAAATAAATGTAAGTGACTATTGATACCTGCGCAAAGAGATACACAAAGGTCCCCGTTCCTCCGATCTTGTGCAGGACGCTTTGTAGGCCCTGCGTGTGAGTGGGCAGCAGACAGCGCACGGTGTGGTTCTCCAGGGACACGCTCTGCACCTCTTTGGAGCTGAATGGCCTCTGCGTCACCACTGTTTTGGCCTGGCCCTTCAGCCGGATCACAGGCTCGTAGATGGTGTAGACTCTGGGGCTGCTGGGAGCGTAGACCACCGCAAGACTCTCCTGGGACACAAACATATTATGTGTGTGATTGGACTGTCATAGCAGAGCATTAAGTAGCAGTTATCGTTCCTTTCAAAACACTCGATCAAATCACTAGTTCTTATATATATATATATATATATATATTTTTTTTTTTTTTTTACTTCTGTCACATCTTTAAATCAGCCATTTCAGACAAAAGTGTTAAAGACAGGACTCATTCCGTCTACTTTTAGCCCAAAGCATCAAATAGTGACTCACAAGGCTCTTACCAACTACAACACAGTGAATTTAAAACTACTACTATGTTGGGACAAATTACATGTTAGTTAGAAACAGAAAGTTATGTGCCTGAGCTTTAATATAATTTTGAAGTAGTATGTCTGGTCATTTCACTGTATTCTTATTCTTTCTTCTTATTCTTATTTGAAGGTGGGGGAAAAGTCATAAAATGGTCTGACGTGTGTTAATGGTCATCAAATTGCAACCCAAAAAAAGGATTAACAAATTGTCAAGAATTTGTGGCAGGCCAAGCTTATTGCCAAACTCATCATACACTCCCTGCATCCTAATTATTAAACATGATGAGTTCAAATGGGATTTAATCAACATTCAGAACTCAGAGTAAAAATGTGTTGTAATGGTTATCCAACAACAGCTGGCCATACAAGTGCTGCATTTCTAAGGCAATATATTTTTTATGTATACTTTTATTTTAATGATTATGATTTATACTTGATGTGATATGGCTCTACAATATAATTCTCTATACATATACACAAAATATAGCAATTGATCCACAGTGAACATTGACATTGCTTTTATCTTTTTTTGTGCTGTGTAAGGAATGACAACACAGACATAAATAAAAATCCTGTTCTGTACGATCATCTTTGCTACTTGTCTCACCCGTTATCAGCAATGTGATTGGTTTGAATGGAAATATAATATTAATCTGTGGGCATTTAAATTAAATACTTTTTCTATTGGGGAAAATAACATTGGTGTGTTATCATCAGGAGCAATTAATTGGAGCAACATATTAGTCAAACACTGTGAAATGAGACAGTAATTGAGAAAGGGATTTTGTTTTTGTAATAATGTACTCAATTAATGAATACAATGCCCAAGGACAAGACTACCAAATAAAATAAAATAAAATACAAATAAAGAACTTACAACTAAAGCTGTAGTGTCCACATCTTTATTTTTGGACAGAAGGTCTCGGACGTAGTCACACTTGAGTCCCTCCAATGTGACAAACTTGGAGAATGACACAGCGGGCTTGCCGTACTTGCAGGGCATTATGGAGGTGAGATCTGGACCACTGGCGTAGAGATAGAAGGCCTCCTCTGAACCAATCCTGGACCCTGAAATCAGATAAAAATACTTGAATGAATGAATTTGACAAGCGTTGACCTTATGCATGCTCACTTGTAACTCTTCAATAAATACATTGTGGAAGTCCCAACAGAAATTGTGTAAAAGTTCATACTTGTAAGAAAGAGCCCTGTGAGTCACTATTTGACGCTTTGGACTGAATCCTCTCTTTTTCACTAGTAAAACATTTTCCGCTGTTTAAAAGTTATGTACCCCAGCTTTAAAAGACGGTATAATGAGAAATGGATCTGAGAGCTCATGGATGCAGAAAAAAAGCTTTTTAGAAGTTTTGAACTACGAGTCTCAGAATTGCCCACATGGAGAGCAATAATACAACAAATCCCACATACGTCTCCCTACATTTTTGTTCATCTTTTTTTCTAATATTTATTTAGTTTATTGATTTTAGTAGTTCTCTAATGAAGTTGCAGGGGTCCACTGTTCAACTGTCCAAAAATCTGGAAAAACTCTGGGGCCTAAATGGTTGAATGCCACAGAGACTTATCATGGATTTTGGTACATCCACTTTGAAGTAATAAGCCTTTTTTGGCAAGAAGAATGTGAGTGGGGAGCTCATCTGGACATGCAGCACAGTGCAATTTTTTTTTAATTTATACTGGATTTTCTTTGAGACAAAGCTTTTTAAAACAAAATTGTGTTTTACACGTGCTTCAGTGGGGACACAATTTATGTTTACTCAAAATTCTTCATGCTTCTGATAAACAGATCTAAAGGCAAATGTTCAATGGTCACAACAGCAAATGAGCAGCTATTTGAATGTTATTTCTTAGTCGTAATCACTTTTGAATATCTAATTTATGTAATGAGAGCTAAAAAGTGAAATTCTAATTATTTTAACAGCCCCAATATATCAGTAAGCAGCATATAAGTCTTATCAGAAGCAAACGGTAATCATACATATCTTGCTGCTGTCAAAACAAAATTCCTCATGCATAAATATTTGGCTATAATGAGTCCCTATGGCAACAGCGCGCCTAAAACCATGCCGTCTAAAGTTGAGAAGCTGTAAGCCACTCACAGTCCATTAGAGGCAACAAGGAAGGTATTCAGCTGGTCTCACAAAGAATGCAAATAATCTACAGCATGTCCTACATCACACCAGTGACGGCCATTTACAGAGAAACCATCTAATCGCCGTCTCACCATTATTTACTTCATACTTCTCTCATTTCTCATCTGTGGTTTATTTAAGCCCACAAAAACAAAAATAATATATGCTGGATAGTTTGACATGTCTCTTTTTTTATTCAAGATGTTTTATTTGTCCTCTTAAAGCTTTCTAGCTTGTTCCTCAATCCATCTACAGCCATAAACCATTTCCTCCTAGGAGGGTGGTTGACTACAAGAAGAAGTTCCGAAGAAAATTCATCCCCATTCACACTTCTAGACCCCTCAAGAAAGCAGTACTTGTGCCCGGTGCCACCACGGCAGGGTCATAGCCCTGGCTTACCCATTGACTTTCAGACGAACACTTACCCACCCTTACATTTCCATTCTTCCTCTCATTGCTCTATTCACTGCACCTTGCCGTCCTCAGTTATCCTACAGTATGTGCAACCTCTTTCTCATAGCTTCCATCCGCACTCACATTTGAACCCATATACTTAAACACATCCACTTCTTCTAGCTGGGGGTGGCGGTGCTCAAAAGCTTTCAGCCCAGTGTCATCCAGCCAACTTCAGCTCTGCCAACATAGGCATATTATACATTGCTGTAAAAATCAGAACCTCTGGAATGCCAGCTCCATCAAATATATACAAAATAGACATGTCAAACCTATTATTCAAGCTCAGAACAGCCATATCCAGACAATATGTGTTATTGGCCCCAGGACTATTTTGGTAAACTAAAGTGGCCCTCTTACTAATAGTTTGGACACTCCTGATGTAAGCTGTGAGCTACTACATACTACTTGTACTGAGCCACAATGAATAGTATGAGACAGACTTAGCACATTCCCACTGTAGCATAGAACTGATTTGGCTATATTTGTGGAATGTATACTGGCTAGACTCAAGTAATGTTATGTAATTTAACATTTTTATGATTCAAAATGGCAGAGGACTCACCATTAAACAGCAGCACAGTGCCCATATTCCAGCGTGGGCTCTGCTTTATTTGCTCTTCGGACATTGAGAGGCAGTGTCCCAACATGCACAAGGTCTTGTTGCTGTCCGACGATAAACTAGACTTTCTGGGTAATGTGTAGTCCAAAGAAACTTCACATTTTCTGTGGAGATAGCAGAAAATGGATTAAAACAGATTAAAACAAATTGATTTCTAATAAATAGTTTTGTTCAACAAAAACATTGGATTTGTGATAAATATTTGGTTGCTATGAAAAAGATATGACTTGCATAACTGAATAGTTGGATGGACCATGAATGTACAGTATAGATGGCCTTGCTTAAAAAACAGCATCTTTTATAATCACTATATTGTAATAATTGTCTAAAATGTAAAGTAAAACAGTAGAAAGCTGTTAGTGTGCGTTAGTCATTGTCCTTATAATACGGCAGAAACAAACATAACAAAACAAGGTCAGTGCAACTTCCAATACCTGCCTTGTGTCAATTTTACATGACCCACACCACCATGACCCAATCACCACAGCAACAAATAAACTAATGGCTTATCTTAAGGTTCTGGAAGAAATAATTGATATCTTAGACAAGGACAATGGACAGGCTTTTCACATTTACAAGTGTAGAGGATTTTGTGGCAAAATCACAAACAACTCTAACCCACATTAAGATTGCAAAACCCCTGGCTCGTCTTTGTTTAATGCTTATTTAACACACGAAATACCAAGGCCAAACAGTCTAAAGTAGTAGACCTTGAATTATGCATATTTCTAGACCTTGAAGAGATTGCATACCTGATTCCACACACCCACACCACCACAGAGCCATGAATGTTCTTCTTGCCCTCAGGCTGCTGGCTGTAAGTCAGGCTGATATGCTCCCACTGTCCAGGACTGAGCAGACCCTCTCCGGACTCTGCTTGAGCCAGGAGTCCCGCCTTTATCTCATCATTGGGGTCAATACACATCCTGCAGAAATAGTAGATACCCTTATGTTCAAATCTGCACTCCAGAACAGTGGCGGTGTTGGAGGATACTCACCTGAACGTTAAAGCGCCCGTGAAGAGGTCTGCCCATACTTGAAGCATCAGTGCTTTGGAGCCCATGGACAGAATATGAATGAGGGACTCTTCGCTGGATGTCGTCCCAGTACGAGTGGCACCGTGGTGGGACTCAGCAGTGGAGAGGTGTCTGTCTTCTGGAAAACAGTGATGGCAGTATTTAAAAAAACACTTGTTTATGGAAAGCACAGTGAGCCGCTCCATAAAGTTATTCATTCATTCTTGTGACTTTATTGAGAAATAAAATATAATAGCCATATTAAACATGCAAAGGTCTATGCATAATCTTTACACAATTCATCTCAGATATGTTGGTAGAACTAGATACACTTATTGGAATGCATTCATTTGTGAAACTAATCTTGAGGGGGAGGCTCTTGTATACAAATGTCAGCAGATTTTTCACTGGAAGTGTGTACTAACACAAACTTCTCATAGCCTAGTTTATGGACCAAAACCAAACATTTCAAGTCAAGTTCCTTTTTCATAGATTGCAGAGAACTTAAAGCTGGAGTAACTTTGAAACTTAGAAGTCATTAGTTTTGACATACGTGATTTTTATGCATTACATATATCATCTCCCACTATGTAAAGGATAAAATGTTTTCTTATAAGACAGCATGTGTTGTTGTCTGATTTGTTCACATGTTAATTGAAATAGGCTGTTGGGACAAACAAATTGCATGTACTTTTGGAAGACTTCAATGCGTTTCATTGTATTCATTTCTAATGATGAACAAAGCAAATACATGTTTTAACCTCACTCACCTGCGTCTTTCTCCTTCTCCTTGTCTTCTGCGTTGACCACTCTCACCCACATGGAAACACTGAAGCCAGACGCCATGTGGGGCCAGCAGTTCTGCCCCACAAGCGGCAAGTGCAAGGGGGCGGCGTGCCACGGGGAAGAGCGGATGTTGGAAGCCCGCAGGTCCCCGTCTCCTTCGCGTCGTCCTGGAGACGGTTTCCCCTTCCACAGCAGACCCACACTTTTGCCCCCTGCAGAGCCGTTCTGTCTGGAGCCAGGGGTGATCCCGCCTGGAGTCACGGCCCCAAGGATTATGGGAAATGTCAGAAAGTGCAGCGGGTCGACGTCGATGTTTGCCTCTATGATCTGCTGAATGCCTTTTAGTAAAATCTCCTGTGGGGATTGAGAAAGTTACCAGATGAGATGCTGCCCAACAACAAATGAACAAGAAAATTGAGATTCTCGATTATTAAGTTAGACGATATAATATGGAGTTAAAGGGCCTGAAGCATATTATGCAACATGAGTCATTCATATATTTTATGTATTAGTTTAGATTTTAGTCCCAATCTTTAAGTTCTTTCTGCTTCTTTGAAAATGCACCATTAAACAAATGAGCCAAAAATGTTAAACGTTCCACTTCCACAACAGTTGTGTATAGCTCATCTCATTACTTCTATATAACATGAGTTTGAATATCATTTTCTAGTAGACTTATCTGAACAGGATATTGTAGACTGATAAGACAATGATTTATCTCATACAAGTTTATGGTTAAGGAAAACTGCCTCATCATCAGGAGCCTCTGATTGTTATTAAACAAATCATCAGGAGAAGGTGAAAATATTGTTGACCAAATACATATGCATCATTTTGTCTACATTTTATGTTCAACAATCTGCACTTGCTCAACACTGTTGAATATATAAAGATCAGTACAGAAATTAATGAACAAATAGGCCGAGGATATGTTTTGCAAACGATTCAGACGCGGAGCTGCCACGAAGTCAGCATATCTGAGTGATGAGAGACCGGGGTCACAAGTCGTTACTTTCACATGATCAAACACAAACTCCCCTCAGGAAAAATATTTCCAGGAAAAGTCAAAAATGTTGCATGATGGAACTTGAGTTTTTTATTTTTTATTGTAACGTCACATTCACTAGAATTACTTTGATTACATTTGTACAAGGGACCATCATGTGGTAATGAGGTACGTGAATAAACAGACTCTGGTATATTAAGAGAATCAAATTACTTCCAGTACTCTTCCACATGAGAACACTGGTTTTTGCCTCTTTCGATTAAAATTCAAGAGGGCTGAAGAGGCGTTACACTCATTCATATAAGAGTAAATAAGATTCAGAAGAAGAGTTTTTACCTCTCCACACTCAGTGTGACAAATTGACAATATATTGAAAAAGATAAAATGAAAAATCTTTAATACCAGTAATTTGTTTTCCTTTTTATTTTACTGTAAGTAGAAAATATATATATATATATTTTTTTAAGAATATTAAGTATTTGCTGTGATTTCAAACATATACTATAGTTCAAATATATTATACTGTCTCCCTATAGTAGTCCACACTTTGCCTCAGTGTCAGGGTGAGTGAATCCTCATTCAGATTATTTCCAGTATCATTTTGTGTTTTACTCCAGTTTAATTAATTAGAAAAAAGAAAAGCAAAGCTGTCATCTCATCTGCATTGATGGATGTGACCTTGATGGACTTTCTTCATAAATGTGTGTGTTTTAGAAATCAAAGAACATTTTTTAAACAAGAGCTTTAACACAGCAGCGTTTGAGGAGTGAGACATAACAAGTGTATTTACCGTGGATGGTGTCTTCTCCAGGAACAGTCGAATCAATAAAGCCAGTTCTTCCGCTGTGATTCTCTGCGTCACCATGGACACCAGCAGCTCCACCAGGACGGTCTGGCAATCTGGTCGAATAAAACTTAATGAACAAGAGTGGATTTTATAAATGGTTCGCATCAAACCCCTTTGCAGAGAGCAGAAACATCAGCTCTGGCTAAATTATTGTTTGTTTAAAAAACAAAACCTTTTTTATCATCAGGCTTGTACATATAACAACCCTATAGATTTTTTTTCATGTCAACTCCTTTCAGACACTGAAGATTCATGCAGTTGAAAGTAGATACATGAGGTAGACGGACTTCTATTTTTTAGAATTTAGAAGCACCACATCTTTTTTCCCCTGCGTGCCCCCTCACAGAGCACAAGTACCCCCTATTATACAAAGAAGTACATACCCCAGTGTCATAATCATTTTGATCGGAGGACACGTTAAAAAACATTGATTGGAGGCTACAACAATATTAGGCTCTTCTTCAAGGCATTGTTTTATGTAAAGAAAAGTTCTTTTTTATTTCTTTATTAATTTTCAATTGATTTACAAAAAATTGAGTTCATGCTTGGACTGAAAGTAAGAACCTATTAGTTTGTAATAACGTGTAAATAACTGCAGTGCAAGTTGTAGGGCAGTTGTTTTCTCAAGTGAATTAGCTTTAAAATTATGTGCAACATGTGAGACCCTGAGGTTTCTCACTTTTACCCACTGGGTTTTGTTGTTGTTCCTTCCCAATGATGAAGGGTCTGAGGACAGTGATGATGATCCAGGACATTTAACAACATGTATGGCTTAAATGTCAATTTTATGTGTTTGAATTGCCGATTCTCTGATCTGTGTTGGCAAATTGACAATTTTGTAAAGTCATAATTTAATAATAATATAGTCCCTCCACCGTGTCATGGATCTTCCCCAGGGCCCTCTCCTGGTGGGACATACCCAGAACACCTCCCAGAGGGTCATTTCAAGTACCCCCTCCAATACCCAAGCGCCCCCTAGGGGTCTGCAGACTTGAAGTTGGGAAACTGAACTGGTTTGGAGACCAGTTAAACAGCAGAAATTGATACTTATTTGTTGGGAGATAAGCAACAAAACTATGACACTCTGAAAACTATGATCACTCACTCAGAAAAAGTCAATACATTTACAAGTTGAAATACAAAGGTAAAAGGATACAAACCTTTAAAAGACGGCTCCGTTTGACAAAGTATGTTGTGAAAGCCAAACAGGATGGTTTTAACTCCATCCTGTAATGAAACAAAACAGCAAAATTGAGGATTTTTTTTGTTTTTTTTTTAAATATTGAGTGTGTGTTTTTACTTCTAACCAATTTAATTTAATTATGAAATTAATGGAGTATTTAAGGCATCCGGTGAGACCAAATTGACATTTTTAACTTCATATTTTTAATTACTGTAGGATACAGTAGCTGAAAAAGGTAAAAAAAAAAAAAAAACAAATTGGCAATAATAAGAATAAGCTGTTTCACATAACACAATAGTAGTGCAATAATAATGTAACATATTATAATATTAGATAGATAGATAATTGATTAAATGCAAGTATAATAATAGTATTGAACTTTCATGAAAAGGGCGGTTTCAATTGAGTAAATAAAATTGTACATGCACAATTCTGAAGAACGCTGTAGTTTTCCCTTACACATTCCACTAATCACCACATATTGAGTTTTACCAATTACCCAAATTACAATATCACCCCATCATCTTTTTGTAATTGAAGTTAAAACAAAAGTAAAAGCTGCATGTCAATCTGACCTGGTCGTAGAGGAGAGCAGCATTGTGGCGGTTGGCGTGCACGGCCCCCAGCAGACTGTGGAACACATGACTGAGGACCTCCAGGTCTGGGGAGCCTGAGGCGAGGAGCTGCAGCTCCATGGTGCAGATCTCGGGAAACAGCAAAACTCCTCTTCTGCATCCGTCCACCGCTGCCCCAAACTCATGCAGCGCTGATGACTCCACTTTCAGCCCTACACCAATAAAAATAATGACAAATACTTTATAAACTAAGAAATCTGCGTACAGCAAGAGGAAAGACTAAACAGCTACATTGACTAAAATGTTTGATGATCCAAGGCGGTGGCTACTTCTTTCCATTGCAGAGACAGCTCATAAAAGTGAATTAATAAAGTCCAGAGCTCAGAGCAGAGCAGGAGGGAGTCCCCACATGATTTACATGGAAAAACAGTCACTCGCTCTCATCTTCTTGCTTTAATTTATTGCACTCGTTCAGTAACCGTACAGCACAGCTTAGTCCAGTGCATGGCACATAAAGGCAACCTGAGCCTGATGAACCAAGATAATTAAATTATTTGTCAATTTCCATCTAATCTTCTGTGTAATTCGGCTGTGAATGGAGAAGATGACACAACACAGATTTCTGCTTATTTCCCCCTCATTCAAATCCTGGTAAAATTAACCACAAATTTATCAATTTGACACGACCAAGTCATATTCAACCATTTATATAAGACTCAAAACTTAGTACTTAAAGTTCTATTAAAAATAGCTGATGTTTATTCAATGAAAACATTAACAAGACAAGTTCTTTCAACATCATAACATTGGTTTAAATTATGCTGTATGTAGTATGTATCATGATCTTAACAATTACTACAGCAGTCCGATTCAATGTACATTTTGAAAAATAAGGAGGGAAGCATCTGGAGGGAAAAAGAAGACGAATCCACTGATAAACCATTGACTTCACTAACGAATACAGATTTGGCAGTAAGCAATACATTTAAATCCCATATTATCACACTATTGTACCATTAAACCATTTTAACATCTTTATTGCACTTTTAAACTCAACAAACTTCAACAAACATTTGCTGTCACAAGAAACAGAACCATAAAAGGATCATGTGTACAGATGTGATGCTTGGATTCTTCCTTTGAACGAAAATATAAAAATATTGAGCGTTTTGCAAGAATAAAAAAAGAAAGGTATATTTTAAGAACCATGAAATCACTACTGGAAACGTAAACAAACCAATTACCTCGGTTAGGTTGATTTTGTACAATTGTTACATACAAATACAAGCGAAAGTTATAAAATAATTCTGTGTGCTGGGTTGAGGGGGTTTTAATGTTGTAATAAAGCTGCTGTTCCAAACTTTAAATGCAATACAATAAACATGTTATTACTAGTAGTAGTAGTAGTAGTAGTAGTAAGTAATCTTGATTTATATAGTGCATTTTTTTACAGACCAAGATCCCCTAAAGCGCTTTACAATGTTCAGAGTTCAGTTATTATACTACTACCACTACTATTACAGCCTGTGGTAGTATGCACGCATGTTTGGCCCATCACGTGTCACAATTTTAGATCAGCTTTTTCAAACAGATAAGTGAATAAACCACATTCACTCAGTCTATCGGCTCTTAACCCAAAACATCAAATAATGTATGTATAGTATGCAAAGAATTCTAAGACTATGAACTCCGCATAACAATACATTTACATGGTTACATTCTTAGGAGACTAAGACAAACATCTTGTAATGTCAATCAGTTGGATATTTATAAATGACATTACATTCCTCAATTTTGGACAATTTTAATGACAAACTGTATAAATATCCAGGCTAAACCCAAGACTCCAAAAGACTCCAAGAATCCAAAAGAACCCAAGCAGAAAGCAGGCCCGCAACCATGCAGAACAGCTGAAGAATGCACCTTAAAGTCATAATTAAACAATAAGGACTAGAAAAACTAGGACAAACGTTTTCCAGAACTTCTCAATCAGATCCAGACTTAAATGTCACAAGATGCGGCTCATGAGTCAACAGAGTAGCAGCCCGCAGTAGTAAAACATCAAACAATGACTCTATTCTGAGTGGGTCTCATAAGGTCGAATTCATAACCAGTAGCAAAGCATTGGAAATCAGATAGAAGTGTCTGATGTAAGACACAGACTATAAATTCTACAAAGTCATGCTAAGTGGCCCAACCAAGATCATCCATTTCAAAACATCAGACAATTGGAGGAAGCAGAGTTTTGGAAGTGTTGACCCAGCAGTGATACAGCGAAAGTGAACCGTGCATAAAATAGAGTAATTTTCCAGTTCATGCAAGAAAAAAAAAATGCATCAATGCCCAAAACACTGAATGATAAATGGAGGAGTGGGAGAAGTAAACACTCTTGCTTTCCCAACAATAAATCACAGGACTTGAAGCTGATGCGAAAATATGGTCTCTCCATCATACAGGCTTTAGAGTGCTGACGTATATTAGAGGCATTGCAAAAAAGGGCAAACAAGGCGCTGAACCAGGGATTTTTGAGATTTTAGATGCAAAAAAGTATCTGATCTGTAAGGCTGGAGTCTATTTGCATACAAAACATACAAATCAGCAAGTTTTATAGGAGCAGTGCAGATGAAAATGATAAAAAATAAAATAAAGTTCCAATGCAGGTGTGTTCCCTCAGTCCAGACAAAGTGTTTCAAAAGTTTCTTTTTTTTTTTTATTACCGTTAGAACTCACAGCTCTAATTCTTTAATCAGACTCAAACTATTTTCTGGGCATTGCAAATATTACTGCTTGGAGTGTAAACACTATGGGATCAAACTTTAATGTCTTTGAGCAGTAAAACCCCTGTAGTGTGGATCGATACTGTACATCGGATCGGCTCTCCTCTCCGCAGATATTACCTGTAACTTCTCGAATGTAGATGGAAAATATAATGCTATAATACAGCATACAACATTTGACATGTGAAAAGCCTCTGTTTATTATAAACAAAAAAGATTATGTCAAATAAAGGGTGGATACATCTCAAATATTAGTTTCACATTATAAGTTTAATTACAATTATAATGACCCACTTATCTAGCTATAATAATAGTATCACAGGCCCATTTCCCAGGGTGGATAAAGTTACATAGGAGTGAGTATCCACACAGAGAGGGAGGGAGAAGAATTGAGTTAGAGTTAGTAAGGCGTGTTAAAGTAATTTGGAGTGGACCTACCCTCTTCTTGGCGGGACATGTCTTCTGGGTTACTTTCGCTGTCCGCGTCGTACCCCTCCTCCTCCCCGGGGGCTTTCACTCCGCAGCTCTGCACCTCATCTACCTCCTCCGACAAATCCCCTGCAGGGACCACCCCTTCAGCCAGGACCTGCAGCTTCTGACAAAACCGAAACAGAAAAATACACATCAAAACTGGCTTCTCAATGTCTACTTACCCATATTGTGGCCAAACACAATTGTAGGAAGGTAAAAGTGTGCGACGAGAGCGGAGGTCTGACCACTAACGCAGCGAATCAATTGCCGACTAAATGTTTTCAAGTTACAGGGGAAAAAAGATTTTGGTCATAAGACATTTCTCAGCTGACTCACACTCACACAAGCAGTTCCTTGATGTGTGGAGCCAGGTCATAGCTGCATGTAAGCAAACAATGTCACACACGCACACAGTCAATTGTAAAAATACTAGTAGTTCTACATTATACACCCTTTTCAAACAAAGACTCAAGTAAAGTAGTGGAAGCAAGTAAACATAAAGTGAACACCACACTCTGCAGGACTGATTGAGACAAGCTGTCGGGAAATAGTTAAATCCATTGTATAAAGCTAAATCCTTCTGTGTAAAAACATGATTATGCGGAAAGGCATTTTAAGACCTATACAATATGTGGGACAATTGAGTGAACACAGCCAATAAGACTATGGCAGAACTATTGCATCCAACCTGTTTAACCTCCTTTAACAAGGAGATTAAAAGTTATATCTCTACCTTTCTAAAATGTATTCATAATTAAAGGGCGCATTCACACTTGTTGGTCTGGTTCACTTGAACTTGACCAATTCTGGTTCAATAAGAGCTTTACAGACTACTAGGTCTTCACTTGTGTGGTGGTGTAACATCCACAAATAAACGCATGTTACAAAGTGGACCACATTCTAAAGTTCACAATCAGGTCTCAAATGAGCTGTAGCATATTAATATATTTGGAGTTTCTGTCTCTTAGCTCTACCTATCTATTTGGTGGAAATGTATTACTTGAAAATTGACATATGAAATGTAAGCTTGTGGAAAACATACCTCAACATCTCAAAAGCAAAGTTTAAAAAAAGACATTTCAGAGTTTTGAAAAGTGATTTTTATAATATGTTGGTTGTTATCGTGAAATCACGCTGTGAATAAAGCTTATTGGTATATATTTTGGAAAAGGCCAAAAAAAAACAATTCAAACTAATTGCAATGTAGTAATTCTATTGAAATCATTGTGCTTTTGTGCTACTGGGCAACAGTAAAATAGGACATAAAACAAAGAGATTAGCACGGGGCCATTGGTCAAGTACAACCACCTACATAAAAGAAATACCTCTCTAAATGTACTGCTATTGCTTTGGCCTCATTGTAGTGGACATGACTCATCTGTTGATAAAACAGTGAAGTGTGTGTGTGTGCGTGTGTAGGTGTGTGTCCAAAGTTAGCCTGTAATTATTTACCGCTGCTACTTTTCTGTCCATCAGGCCGATAAAGGATCCTTAGCAACGCATTGTGAGAGGTGAGCAGCAAATACACACAACGAGCGATTCGCATCAATGGAAAACTTTAGTTTCTTTGTATAGCTCGTGCATCATAAACAACACTTCTCATCATACGCCAGGCGATAGATACAAAAGAAGCACTTAGCACCAACTACGTCAATGCAATCAATAAACAAAGCCTGAATCAGAATGAACGGGGGGGATGTCTCAGAGGGGCTTACAGTGATGGGTTGTCTTGAGACTAGATTTGGTTTAATACATGAAAGACAAAGACTGATGTAAAATGGGGATGCTATGAAGGTTATTGATTCAAATATTGATTGGCTTCTGGTTTTACAACAAGCTGTAAGGGTTACATGCCAGTGTCTCAACCCAAGGGCAGCGATATTATAAATAATGAACATCTAAATTAAAGTCTCACAGTTGTAAGGGACGCTTTGAGGGAGTTTTCTCCTCTAAAATGTAGAATTATCCAGTGTATGATTTTACAAATTATTTTGACAAAAAGGCCTCACCTTCTCCGGTTTCTCCTCGGGAGGCTCGGGGCAGGACGACACCTCTGCTAAGGCGACTCTCAGCAGGGAGTTGAACAGCGGGATGGCGAGGTCAGAGTTCACCACTCCTGAACGTGTCAACTGGTCCCTCACTTCTGACAGAGTTTCATCCACAGACTGCAGCTGTAGACGCAGAAATGCATAATTACATTAAGTTTAAGTCTGCGAGGTAAGGTAACATAAATCAAATCATGATATAATCCCTCTGACTGTCTGCTATTTGAGGTCATTCTCATGTAGAAATAGTTTTATTTTTGCTGAATGGCAGCTTGATGATCCAACAAGCTGCCATTTAGCTTACGGTATGAACAAGTGAATTTTAACCACTTAGTGAGACGTGGAAGCCTCTGTGTTTTAAGAATGTTTCGCATTTTCCGAAGACAAATTTCTCAAAAAATAATTATCTTAAATTTATAGAATGTACCCATTAAACTCATGCCTCCAAAAAATCTGTACTTTGGAGTTAAGTACTGATCAGGAGTTACAGTACTTCAGTAGTGAAGAGGAATGAAGAGGGGTGAAAACGCATGAGAATAGTTGGGATACATTTTTGGCACAGCCAATATACAATGATGAATAAACACTAACTAGACACTTCAAATTCAGCATAACATCAATTATGTGCATGAATTTGTTTACATGTGAATGACATGGACCTACCTGAAATGACAGCTCCGGCTCCACTCGCTGCAGGGCTGTGTTGGCGCTGTGCAGACAAATAGCTAACAGAGCCTCGAGGAGGCGTATGCTCTGAAGTTGCCACTCTTCTTCCAGTTTTTTGGCTGGGTCTTTCGCTTTTGCCTCTGAGTGTAATTGACTGTGGATGTCTGCCTCTTCTTGGCCCACAAGAGGATTATAAGCAGTGGACTCGGGACTACCTTTACTTTTTCCATCCCGTTTCTTTTTGGCTTTTCCATCTTTGGTCTTGCAGGAGAGCTTTTGAATAACCATAGTCATGAGGCGTAGGCAAATGTCTAGCCCACCCAATCTGAAAAACTGTCTTTGGAACAGGGGACTGGCCAAGTAGATCCATCGACAAACTGACCAGACATCGGCAGCCCTGCGAACCTGCTCTTTGGAGGGAAGAGCCACACTATCAGGGGACAGATAAGGAAGTCTGCCACCTAAAGGTTCACTAGCTGTGCTATCGTATCCAGAAGTGTCCTCCGAATCATTGGCCGAATCTCTATCTGAATCGCCCTCTTTGCTGACACATAGAAAAGCTAAACATAGGAACAGGTTGATTACGTGTAGGTGTGTCTCAGCACGGCTACGTCCCGGGCCACGTCCTTGCCCGGTCCGGTTTTTATGACTGGGATAAGCTTCTTTTAGGCCTTCATAAAATTTACTAAGACTTTGTGGACCCTCACCAGCCCCGCGGGAGCCCAGTTCTTCAGCCAAAGCAAAAACAGCCTCTCTCTCCTCTGCATCAGCGCTTTCCAGCTCCTGAAGGGCTCCCTCTGCCTGTTTGTGACCAATGCCAATGATCAGAGTCTCGAATACTTTTAGAGCCAATGACCGGGTTTGATCCAAGTATACCAGCTCCGTCACCTGGTTTAGACCATTGCAGCTCACAAACAGGTCTCGGATCACCCTGTTGAAAAAATTGGATTGATTAATGTAGATTACCAACTGCTTGAGTATAGATTTGAGTTACTATGGTAGAAAAACCATTTTTTCCATGGATTGATGCTAATGTGGCCTGGCACTACTTGCATTTATTCACTAAGTGATAATGTCTTTTTTCAACATGTCTTCCAATCATATCATATGACCTTTAACAAGAATAAAAACAAAAAAGCAAATATCTACTCATATTTTCCTTTTCTCCTTAACTTTAAGCCACTTTGAAGGATTACAGCATTCTGAAATATTCATAACTTTTCCAATGTGTCATGTCTAGAACCTGTAACTATTCTGACTTACATAATCAGTTCAGGGCCCCCTATCACCATGCACGATTGTGATAAATTATTAAATGTCATCAATTAGCAATGAGCTGCAGAGACAGCTCTAATGACACTGACACTGTTCAAGGTGAATGTACTGCAAGTGGATATCTACAGTGCGCTGAGAAGAGTTTTAATGAGTTTGGCTTACGCAAAAGGGCTGGATCAGGATTGAAGTTACATTATGGTCAATCTCTCTCAAAACTTTCTAGCGTGAACTTTTCAGAAATCATGAAAAGAGTTATCGTCTTTTTGTGAACTTGAATTTTGTGACTTGTTTAAGTGAATTCTACTGCGTTTCTATAGAACTGTCATGTTGTCTCACCTGGACTTGAGCAGCGCAGGCAGCGTCTGCAGATACACCAGTAGCACCTCTATGGGCAGGCAGTGGGTGTGGTAGGTGCAGACCTGGGTGCAGACGGTGGATACGCCCAGCTGCTGTGCGTGGTGGGCAAGCTCTACTCCTCTCTGCAGCACTGGGTTGAAAATGTGAGTGTAGAGCTGCCACTGGACGACAGCATTTCCTCTCAGAGTCAGGTGACACACATGACCTGCGACCTGCTGACTGAGGGTCCAGTCCTCCCCAAACACCAGCTCCTGATAGGCCTGCAGCGCGTCCCACTTCCACAACATGTCCTCGGTGCCTCCTCCACTGGGCAGGATCCCCTGAGAGCGGTAACACAGCCCACTGGACACGGTGAGCTCCCCCTGCTGGAGAGTCTCCTCCAGCCCGGGTAGCTGGCTGCTGTCCAGAGTGCAGATGTTACAAGAGGCCAGTTTGGCCTTGTCTGAGGGCTGCCCCCCTCCAAGCTGATCCAGGATCAGCCGGCTCAGGACACTAAGGACATGGGACTGGTAACTGCGCAGACCTGGTGATTTGAAGGCGTGAAGCAGGGGTCCGACCACTGACCGAGGGTCCATACAGCAGCAGATGCCCACTGCCTGGATCCCGGCCAGCACCTGTAGGATGGCCGGCCCGTTTGGGGAGAGTCTCTGCAGCAGTCTCAGACACTGATGAGCACAGGCAGCTAAACAGCAGCAGCGCTCTGGGTACCTACCAGTGTCTCCCTCACCGTCTTTCCCGTCACCCTCCTCTTCAAAGGGGTTTCGTCTGGCTCCCTGCTTGAAGGCAGAGACGGGGAGTCCCGACAAGTCTCTGTGGTGATGTAAGAAATGGGAATACTCGCAGCGCCTGTGACGTCTGCGGGCACACACAGACTGGTGCAGCTGCTCAGACTTGGCCTTTTTCACTGCACTAATGATTTTGAAAACACCTGCAATGAGACCACGAAGCCTATCCGCAGCCTCTCCTCCAATCTCAGAATCCCGGGCTCGGCACAGACCCTCCAGACGCAGCACTGTGGCTTCGAACAGCTCCAGGCCACGGTGCTGCACAAACTCGTGGATGAGCTCTAGAGCCTGGCTGAAGAAGAACGGGTTTGGAGTGGAGGCCTGCAGGCAGCCTAAAAGCACCTGTAGGACCCCCTCCAATAGCTCAGGCAGGAGCAGTGCCCGGTGTCGATAGCGGGAAAAAGAGAAGTCATCCTGGACTTCCTGGAGGGTTTTTTTGGGTCGAGGGGCGAAGGGGTTAGTCTGTCTGTCTAAACAGCTCCTGATTTTGAGCGTGGCCCGCAGCAGGTCGGTGAGGCTGCGGCGTAAGCTGTCAGGAAGTGTTTCACTCTGACTCACATCCACAGACATCAGGTGCAGGATGGTGCGCAGGAGCATCCTCTGCACCAGAGCTATGGGCTCCTCTGTCCAGCCTCCGGCCAGCTCCTCTGCCCCCGCTCCCACCATGCCCCCGGGACCACAGCACTCCCCAAACTCAGTCAGGATCTCCGTGAGAGTGGGCACTACACTGATTGCTAGGCCTGGGTTGTGATTGATACTCATGTCAAACTTGCAGACTTTCTCCAGGAGGGACAGCAGCACGTGGCACAGGTCAAACGGGGAGTTCTCCATTCGGTTGAAAATGGAGATTGCCGCTGGGTCTGTGAGTGTTTCGGTGTCCGTCTGGGACCCGGTGGTTCGGGGATGTTGGTATGTGGTGCTCATGTTTTCAGTGATGGTACTTGCGTTGGATGTCGTGTGTGACTGTGGCTCTGATTTGTGATGTTGACAACTGACTTTTAGAGTGGCTCCATGTGGCCTCCTGGTCCGCACACCTCCGGGTCCTGGGACAGCCCGGTCTTCAGAGTTTGCTTCAGAATCGGATGTGGATAACTGGGATTTGCGAGCATCTTTTACAGAGTATCTTTGGGCTGTCCTGCGTGAACGCCGTGACTTCCATGTGCCACTGGACACTCGTGGTCTCTTGCCTGGAGTCTGATCATCTGTCCCAGCCTTCAGTCCTGCTCTGAGAGGTACGGCTTTTACCTCCCAGTTCAAGAACACCTCCAGTAATGACGGCAGGGTGAAATCTGTTAAAATAATAAACGTGTTGTTTATTTCCTCAAGAATACAGTTCATTGTAGGGGATTTTAATTAAGGTTTCTGAAACGTATTTCACAGAAGGAATCTGTGACAGGTGCACTTTATTTGTTAAGACTTTCTCAGTTCGGAAGAATTAATAAAGTAAAAATGTCTCGACTCCATGTTAGAAAAGATAACGCTAATGTACTAAATGCCAATGTGTCATTCTAAGGTCACAGAGGCTCTGAAAAAACCAAGGCAAACCTGTCAGAATACGGGTGTAGACCGGATTCATCTGGATCCCATTAACACAGAGGTACTAGTTGTGAGCAATTAGGGTTGTCAAGATGATTGAGAATTTAATAGTGTTAAGCATTAGTATTGAGCAAAATTAGCATTTATTGATACATTTTAAAGTATGGACTCAGGAGTAAAAAAAATGAATAAAACCTTAAAGCCCCCCAAAAGGATAAATCTAGTCAGTTAAAAATGACAGAGCTTTGTCCAAAAAGAGTATATAATAATATCTAATGTGGTATCGAGAAGATAGTAATTTAAAAAAAAAAAACTATTTTTTTGAAAAAGAGTTTGAAATTTTGTATCCTCAGCATAATAAAGTACTTGAGCAGAGACTTCATTAAATTGGTTTAAAATATGATACTTCTGATTATTCATTGTTTATTTGTTTGAATTATGTAATTTGACACATATATGACAATGACCTATATAGCCTATTTAACTAACACAATGTCAAGATTAAGTTGCTAGAGACAAAGCTTCTATTCACACTGGACATATCTTCTTCCGATCTACCATGATCAATATTGTAAGGGACAGGAAACGTTCATGGTTGAAATCAATCAAATTACAACCCTGAGTTATAGCGTCACAAGCTACAACTCGTTCACCAGATCAGCTGAGGTATGCACTGGTAAAATCTACATTAGTACCATCTGTGAAGGACTAACCTGGGGCTTTTTCCTCCTGAACCGGGATCTTCCAGACCAGAGGGAGCAGTGACAGCAGCAGAGTGAGAAGCTCCTCCCGACAGGTCAGCTCCTAAAAGAAAGAGGGACAAATGCACAAGATGGCAGGTTAAAAAGAGGGTGAGGGAGAGGGAGAGCGACAGAAGAGAAGGTAAACCCAAATTAGGGATGTGGTGTGGTCACAGCTTGATGCAAGTCACTCCTACTCATTCACTGTACAATCAACCACATCTTGGCACCAATGAGTAATGAGCCATTTACCATCGTCACTCTGCACAATTTAGGAACACATCAAATTTTAGAACTACCATAAAACCTTGTGCTAGTATAAAAAATGCTATTCAAGTGTAGTAAATATAACGTGAGTCTTATAATATCCACTGTGCTTTCCCTTAGTATTGGAATAGAATAGAAATTGTGGATAGGTGAAAATACTCCTGCACAGGTCTTTGTTTGTTTGGAGTTAAAGCATGAAAACTTTTTTGTTTTAATCAATGTTTCTGAATAAGAACCAGATCGGTGTCATTGTGCAATGTGGCATGTGTTGTTTTGACAGCCACACTCCTCAGACTTTGAGGTGAGGAATGCTCTGAATAGACTTGAGATCCTCTCAGAATATGCTAATTAAAAAAACAATCAACATCCTCCTACAAGTGTGTTTTAGGCGGATGTCTGATTCCCAAAAGCTTAAAAAAAAAAGCTATAGGGGATCAGACTTCATCCTTTAAAAGCATACTTAATGTATTTTACAGCACTTTATTGTAGTAAGTAAGTAATGTTTATTCATATAGCGCATTTTACAGACAAAGGTCACCCAAAGCGCTATACGATGTTAAGAATTCAGATATTTTTCCATTCACTCACAGTGATGACGGAAGCGAGACGTCCAACACACTAGCGCAATCAAATCCGCCAACACCATCCATTCACTCGTTACATTTATACCTATTGAGCATGTTTTTAGTGGTAGGGGAAACAGGAAAACCCGGAAGAAACCCACGCAGAACATGCAAACTCCACACAGAAAGGCCAAGAGGTGGAATGGAACCCAGGACTTTCTTGCTGTGAAACACAAGCTCCAACCGCTGTGCCACCGTGCCGTATGTATTATAAGAACAATGTCAGTATTTAAAGCACAAGTGCAAAGCATTATTACTATGATAACATTACGATAATAACAAGTGAATCATTGTCATCTTTAATTATGTTAAATGTCTTGGAAAAACACGGCATATTCTTGGTACCATCTTTTCATGAACTCCGAAAACAATGTTGTTTTCCCTCATTAATAATATTCAAGACGAGTGTTTTTTCCCATTCACTAATTCAATTAGTACTGATTTACCACTTCATGGAAAAACTTAAGAGGTCACTTCGCGGTTAAAATGGGCCCTGTAAAGAATCATCCTGAACACAAAATGCACCACCAAAATAATATTTTCTTGCATGGACTTATACGTGCTGAACATTCACTTTCACATTAGGGGAAAAGGAAACCTGTAGAGGATACAGACCACAGAACTGAATATTGAACATTACAAATGTTCACACTTGACATGAGCAGAAAGGTTGAAGGATTTTACATGGACATGGGAAGGAAAGGTCTGAACAAAACTGTGATATGCCTTAAGTTGGGGCACTCTGTGCTTTATTTTAGCAATTGGATATACTGTACGTCACTGGACTTTGTAGACACACTAAGGTTGTTGGAAGTATGGGATATTGATATTTAAAAAAAAATGTATGACATGTTTACAAGTTGTACAATGTTCTTTGCTGCTACTGGGTTGCAGTGCTTGAACAAAGTTGCAGATGAGCACCATTCGAGGGAATGGTAATATAATAAATAATAAGAAGTTGCCCCCCTCCCCCTTTGACCCCACTGTACTTAACTACTGAGCTCTGACAAGATCAAAAAGGCCTTTGATAAAAGCCACACAGGGCTAATTAGAACGGTATGGTATATTTAATTGTCCTGGTAGTAAAATTCCTTCCTTTGACCCATCCTTCAACGCCACTGGGGCAACCTTTCAAGAGCAGTAGTCACTGCAGTGCCCATGACGTGGATATTATCTTTACTTTGGTGCAACGCTGATCTGCTGAAGTGCACTCAAGTGTGTCTCTAACCAAAGTCAAACACTGTTGTAACAAAGAATGAATGAGAATAAGAACACGGCCCTATCCTCCACCCCAAAGTTGGTGTTTTTCACTGTGGTCAGTACTGATCCCATGAACAACACATTTGAGGAACAGTGGAGCCGTAAAAGCCTGGTGCCTTTACACAATACTCGCCTCTGTGCAGCTTCCCGTCTATATGAGCAGAACACTGCTACAGTCACACCACTGTCACTGTGCAAATGGGAGGCACTACTACTCAAAAATGTACCGGTAAATAGAAATAATCTGTTCGTCTTTTAACAAATCTTCCTGCACATTCCGTATGAATGATCAGTGCAGAAGGACCTGGCGAATACGAGTGCACAGATATTAGAGTATATAATTAACAGAATGTAAGGCTTGTCATGAAAACATGTTGCATCCCAAGTTCAAATATGTAGATTTACAACAAGCTATTATTTATTGAGATTATTCTAAAGAAAGAGTCAGTTTGCAGATTAATTAAAAAGGCAGAGTCCATAGAGCACTCCTGTGGCCCGTGTAACTACTAACATTGACAATGTGGAACATGGTTTGGCTGAGGCTGTTTTAGTGGCTTCAAAGTTAAAGTGTAAACAAAGCATAGAGAATCCATTAGAAAACAGAACAAGCATTCAGCTTCAGTGTGAAGGCAAAGAAAATCCTCCAGTTATTAAACTGTTAGAAAGTATATACATTTTATACAATACAAGCCATTACTTAAAACATGCATTTGTTTACTTTGATTCATTGGAGTTGTTTAGACCCACCATCATGTAAAATAGAGCGACATATTGATAAATAAGAATATAATTAGTTCATTGACAAACTACAGAATAATTAGCCAATATAAACATCTGATACAAGCCAAACAATGTAAGCAAACAGCTGGAATGAGACCCGAGCTGAATATAAAACTACACATAAATATAAAGTATATTTGCACTGTTTGTGTCCCATATGTCTGAACAGTTTTGCCATTATCAAACTTTTGATTAAACTGTGTCCTTTGAGCAAACAATGTGCGCAATTTCCTCTTGATGGCAGAGATTAAGCTGAGCAGAGGTCAGAGAGGATGATGGGAAACTTATCACAGGCTGCACTGAATATATTGAACAGTTACTGTAAAAAACATTAAACTGTGTCCAAGAACAAAGAAATAGAAAAGGACCACGCAATTATACACATTTCATAATCACTAAATAAAATGTTTGAGTTTCTTAAAAAGTTAACTTTACCTCGAGTGGAAGGGTTTCTAACCTTAACAGTGATCTATTCCTGTGAGATATAAATGCAATGTCAAATTAATATCAATGCAATGGTGTCGTATTTCAATAGCACATTACTATAGCAGCTCCACTCTCAGGTCTTCACATGCTCAATAACTGGTAATGATACATAGACTTCACACAGAAGCCTAAAATAAATGCTTCAGTTGTTTAAGCAACAAGTTTCCAGTAATTCAAGAATACATGCTTCAAAATATTCACATATCCACTGTAATGTTAGATATCAAAGGCTTTTGCCATGAACTTCATTAATGCATTATTCATTAAAGTTTTAGGGAAGAAGAAGAAGGACACGGAAGATTTTTATTACATGGATTTGATTGGTATGCAGCTCTTACTTCTCAGAGCAGAGTAAAACCAACTTTGCTCAACTACACGAACAACAAAATGGGAAAAACATTGGTGTATGATTGAATATGTTCAGACCTGGTCTATGATGGAGTCCAGAGTGCTGAGCAACAGGAAGCCTCGGCCCCTCACTAGGTACTCCCCCAGAGCGACCATGTGGCTCTCCTCCTCGTCTTCGTCCCGTGCCTCTGCTCTCTGTGCCACCGCGCTGCACAGCTGATGCACATCTGTCAGGAACTCCCTGGCCAGAGTGTTACTGGCCCCACTCATGTCTGAGCTGAAACAAGCAGACAAGACATTTGCAAATTAACAATTATCTCAAATTCAGTCCAATTTCACATAAACACTGTAGGGTTGTGCAATTGATCTAATTTTAGTAACACGTAAAAGGATTTGGCTTGAGTTCAGACTCTAGGGATGGATTTTGATATTAAAAGGGCCAAATTCAAAAAACAAAACAAAAAATGACCCAAAATAATAAAAGCAGTACAATATTTACAGACTGAATTCAAAGTCTAAACTCATTTACAGTTTCCTCATTAATATTTTGTAAAACCATATTTCACAAACCTTACGCATCTTGGAGTTTGTGTATACAGCAGTTACAATGAATTTATGACTAAAACAGTTGTGATGAAAATCTATTAATTGTTTAAGCTCTAAAATCTATCTTAAAAATCTTACTTTACTCTGCGCCAGTTAAGTATTCACACTTACGCAACAGCAGATAGTCAAACATCCTTTTAGTGACTAAACAAAAAATAAGTCAACAATCCAGTTTGTGGATATAGTTAGCATAAAGTAAACATGCCTTCGGTCTCTTTAACTCATGCAGAATCTCAAGGCAACCTTTAAGACACATCTCATAAGCCTCGGCATGGATCCTGTCTTTTTAAGGTTTCTTGTAGATTGACAAAATCATTGCTTTTTAATCCCCGCTTTTTGCCCCGTCCAATCTCAATGATACAAAATTGTATAAATTTGCCAACCTTCTTGTAATGTTCATATTAATGTCAAAACCCTGCACTACAGTCAGGAAATTCCCCCAGCGTGAGCCTTGCAAATCACCAAACAAAAAATTCTCCACACTTCTTTCCACACTAAATTACCATCTGGTAAAAACAATCTAAGCTTTACAAACAATATTAATCTCACCAAACGTCTGTAATGCTGAAAGTTTTGCTCCCGTCATGTTGAGTATAGTCCGGGTTAAACTGAGCCGGCTCTGACCGCATACCTCCTGACTGAATTTTCTGTTCTGCAGCACAAATTCCATTAAATTGGAATTTCAAATGGAAGCCTTCCAGATTTGCAGCAGATCAGCGTATCACATGAAGGCACATGATGTCACATGGCGAAGGGACTGGCCTCAGAAACACAACCCTCCATGGGTTGTGGCCCTAAGCTCACAACCCCAATATATTTAATAGGACAAGTAGATATTGGGGCTTCAATGTATTTTATTTATTTATTGCAAAGACAAAGAATTGTCAAAGTATCTCAATTGTAATTTTCATTATGGAAATCTGATGACTAAAAGGTTGAAGTTTATAAACACTGCCATTTTAAAGTTGCTTATTGCTTTAATTAATATATGACAATTGAGCGAGGAAGTCCAGCAGCATTTTTGTCATTTCAAAAGGGAAATTCAAAACCAGTCCATATTAGAAATCACATCAAGACAACGTTTAACAAAAATATATAATTTAGCAAAAAATACACATACAAAAATTAAATCATTTTCAAAAAAATTGTCATTTATAGAATTATTTATGTACCAGTAACAGTTCAAAACAGTACCAAACCCTAAATATTATGACCAAAAACAGGTATGATAATTTCAGAACTTATAGTACAAAAGCGCTCTCTCTGTCTCTCTCTGCTAAATAAAAGAAGCTCTCTTGATACCACCAGAAAATCCATCCTCAGAGTGCAGCAGCTTTTTATGATTGCGGTGTGTTGCAGGGGTATTGTTTAGCACTCGGGAGGGGAATCTCTCGGTCCCTCAGGGTACAACCAAATCATGACTAACCTTGAAACCTAATGACCATACAATTCAAATGTAGTTCTGCTCACTCGTTCTACCCCGTGATACGTCACTGTTCCACCCCTAAATCCCGACTTTGATTGGTTGTTTACACTGATCATGTCCTAGCAATTAGTGCCTGGGTCAATAGCAGAGTCATTTTGACACACTAGCCTATTTCTAGGGCGGTGGCAAAAAAAAAAAAAGATTAAAAAACATATTGGAGAAGCCTATTACAATGTTTTATGAGAGGGAAAGGCAAACATTTGGACACTCAGTTTTTCCTTTCAATCATTTTAACCAAAGCTGTCCAAACTCATCAGCACTCAGCCGAAGACTGTCATATTTCATGAATGCTAATGTGGCCGACTCCAGGTGCAGTGCGTGTGCATTACTTAAACAGCTCCGAGTACAAACAAGCTTGAGAGGTGATAATGTCCCTAAACTTCCCCTCATCAGTATGGAAATGTATGCAGCCAGGCTTTCTAAACTCTAATGCAGTGAGATTTGAAATACGGATACGGTGTTCAAAATAATCCAAGATAAGCTAATTCCTAAAAAGGTACATAAAGATGCCTGTTGCGAATGTGTCATTGCTAGATTGTATAGTTTGTATAAAGGCTTAGCAACAGCACTTTGTGGGGTAAACAGAGAAGTTTTAGAAGATTGATGCCAATAAACCGGTTTTGAAATGAATTGAAAAACATGAACGTACCAGAATTTCAGGGCATCTGTGGTTTGGTTGGGGAGATGCTGCACATAGTGGAAAAGGCAAAGGAAGTTCTCCAGATTCTGAAGAGTGACCTGAGACAGAAGGAGAAAACATGAAAAAGACTCCAAATGCAGAAAAACAAATTAAGAGTGAAAAAAAAACAATATTTCCCCACAACACACTCTTCAGAGAGGAAACAATGTTAGGAATTTCCTGTAAATCACTAATTGTTACACATGATGTTAAACTGATTCAGTTAGTGATGCAACTAACTGCATTATAGTTAGTGAAGCCGTTACAGTGGATGAGGGTCTGTCTATGGTGACTGTGCAAGTGAAAACGTTGATCTTTTGCAGCCAATAATGAATTCCCTTCTAAAACCATATGATAGTATTATAAGTCATCTACTGTAAATGCTGCACAACAGGCAGAAAATTAGAGCTGTAATGGAAAATAAAAATAATCTTTTGTCAATCTAGCGTCAATTTTTATTCTCTTGATTAATAGATCAGTTGTTTAGAGTGCCAAAGTGAGATTATATTGAGATTTGGCTTCGTAATAATACATTTTAGCATTTAATATTTTCTAGTTTAAAAGATCACAATAGTGAATCCTTTTTTAAATAATAATAATACAAATTATTCTGTTTCAGTAAATCAGATTCTGCCCAAGTGAACTAAATACATCAATCTTTCGACCCAAACTCCAACATTCCTAATCCAGGGGAGTGTGTCAATTTCCCGCACAGACTAGTAATGTCATAATCCTGTGCCGTTAATCGGACCACCCTCTCTCGTTTATTCTTATTTTTATTATCTCTTTTTGACTGTTGCACTGAGCCAAAGCAATTTCCAAGTCTGTGACCTCCCGTTACTTACGTTGGCAATAAAAATGATTCTGATTCTGATTTATGAGTCTGATCCGTGAAAGAGACGACAGCGATTAATGTCTGGGTCACTCACATTTAAGAAAAGACTGAAAAAGGACAATAGTGTCAAACAGAGCAGCAAGTGAAAGGGAAGGGGAAGTTTACAAACAGATAAAAGCATTGCATTCAATATTAGGAGTTCTTGAAACATTCATAAAAGATTGTATGAAAGAATGAATGAATGAAAAGCTAGAACTCTACAGCAATAAACAACATAATAATAATAATAATAATAATAATTAATAAATAATCTCAATAATACATTATTATAACATTTATATTAATGAGTATTGAGCCATAGGACCACATAGGGCAGCCACCCCCCCAACCTAGAAATGGATAGAGGGGAATAAAATGGATAGAGGTCTCCATTTCCAAAATCTAACTGCGAAAATATCAATGCATTATACATTGGCCAAAGATCAATACGTCTGGTTTGAATCAACATGTTGATGCATTATAAAACATAATATTTTACCATATTTCTGATTTAAGATGCAATGTTCAATATGTGGCCATTTTGAACCTTTTCAAGAAAGCTACGAAAAAACCAAAACTTATTGAACCAGGGCAAATCAAATAAAAATAAATATAATGTTCCTCAGTTTAACTTATAAAATGAATACAAACATCCTCACCAATATTCATTACATAAAGCAACCAAAACGTTACCTTAGAGTATAAATGTTATCTCTAGTCTTTGAGGTTGGCACAGCATTCACTCAACCTCCTTCCTGTGTCAAAACGGTCACAACTTTATGTAAAAAAAGGAAAGAATTACATAATTGTTTTTTTCATGAGTAAAAAAATCTATAAGTGCCGTTTTCGACTGAAAAATATATTAAATCCTTTGTAAACATACAAACATCACAAAAGGTTAAGCAATTTGAACCGCAACCCAGCTCCAGAAAGAGCGGAAGAAAATGGATTGATGTTTGAGGAAAAGGCATTGCTCCATAATTTAATTTTAAGGCAAATTTATCCCTGTTTTAATTGCAATGCACTCTGCATAAACTTGCCGTGGAGAACACTGCCAATCACAGAGATTAAACCCATTATCCAGTCATTTTGAAATCATATACATCTGAGTAGTTCCAAACGTTTTGACCCACCTCATTAAATTTGGTTCTTCAAAGTCAACCAAGATCAAATTTGTTCTCTTACATCATAAGTTATTTTAATGAGGTTGAAAATACTACAACCACTACCACTTCCACTTCCACTACTACTACATTACATTTCTAATGTTTTGGAATCACTGCTTGAGTGATTATTGTTTTTGCTTAGGCCTGTAGTCATTTTAGTATAAAGACCAAAATCATTTAAATAAGCTGTGACAAAGGGTCAAATTGATGCAGTGGGGATCAAAAATAGAGAAAATGGTCAGGATGAACAAACCAGACTATGCAAATACTGTCAAAAATAACCAGGGAAAGAAATAGCCAAAACCAATGTAATTTTTCTAAATAGAAGACATTTCATTTGTAAAGACTATAGCTCAATTATTGATGGAAATATTTAATAGGCAGGCACTATAGCCCAGTTTAAGCTTGATAGGGCATAACTGAAGTAGCTAAGCTAATAATTCTGCATCAAGATGCAGAGTTCTGTAAATTGCTGTATATTCAATGATGTATCTGCCCAAACGAGGAAATCATTGATCAAGGTCAAGTTTATTTTGTCCTGTCATATACAGTGGGGCAAAAAAGTTTAGTCAGCCACCGATTGTGCAAGTTCTCCCACTTAAAATAATGACAGGTCTGTAATTTTCATCATAGGTACACTTCAACTGTGAGAGACAGAATGTGAAAAAAAATCCAGGAATTCAAATCACAGGATTTATAAAGAATTTATTTGTAAATTATGGTGGAAAATAAGTATCTGGTCAAAAACAAAAATACTTTGCATTATAACCTTTGTTGGCAGTAACAGAGGTCAAACGATTACTATAGGTCTTTACCAGGTTTGCACACACAGTAGCTGGTATTTTGGCCCATTCTTCTCGAGAGCAGTGATGTTTTGGGGCTGTCGCCGAGAAACACAGATTTTCAATGGGGTAGAGGTCTGGAGACTGGCTAGGCCACTCCAGGACTTTCAAATGCTTCTTACGGAGCCACTCCTTCGTTGATCATTGTCATGCTGGAAGACCCAGCCACGTTTCATCTTCAAAGCTCTCACTGATGGAACGAGGTTTTGGCTCAAAATCTCACGAGACATGGCCCCATTCATTCTTTCCTTAACACGGATCAGTCGTCCTGTCCCCTGAGCAGAAAAACAGCCCCAAAGCATGACGTTTCCACCCCCATGCTTCACAGTCGGTATGGTGTTCTTGGGATGCAACTCAGTATTCTTCTTCCTCCAAACACGATGAGTTGAGTTTATACCAAACAGTTCTACTTTGGTTTCATCTGACCACATGACATTCTCCCAATCCTCTGCTGTATCATCCATGTGCTCTCTGGCAAACTTCAGACGGGCCTGGACATGCTCTGGATTCAGCAGGGGGACACGTCTGGCACTGCAGGATTTGATTCCCTGTTGTCGTAGTGTGTTACTGATGGTAACCTTTGTTAATTTGGTCCCAGCTCTCTGCAGGTCATTCACCAGGTCCCCCCGTGTGGTTCTGGGATTTTTGATCACCGTTCTCATTATCATATTGACCCCACGGGATGAGATCTTGCGTGGAGCCCCAGATCGAGGGAGATTATCAGTGGTCTTGTTTGTCTTCCATTTTCTGATAATTGTTCCCACAGTTGATTTGTTCACACCAAGCTGCTTGCCTATTGTAGATTCACTCTTCCCAGTCTGGTGCAGGTCTACAATTCTTTTCCTGGTGTCCTTCGACAGCTCTTTGGTCTTAGCCATAGTGGAGTTTGGAGTCTGACTGTTTGAGGCTGTGGACAGGTGTCTTTTATACAGATAACGAGTTCAAACAGGTGTCATTCATACAGGTAACAAGTGGAGGACAGAAGAGATTCTTAAAGAAGAAATTACAGGTCTGTGAGAGTCAGAGATCTTCCTTGTTTGAAGTGACCAAATACTTATTTTCCACCATAATTTACAAATACATTCTTTAAAAATCCTACAGTGTGAATTCCTGGATTTTTTTTTCACATTCTGTCTCTCACAGTGTACCTATGATGAAATTACAGACCTCTGTCATTATTTTAAGTTGGAGGAGAACTTGCACAATCGGTGGCTGACTAAATACTTTTTTGCCCCACTGAATCTCATACAAATATAGAATGTCTATTTTTGGTGGTCATGAGTTGGCAAGTCATGGAAGAGTGTGGGCTGAGTCACCCTCACTGGTCCAGACTTCATTTGGAGTTCATTCTGGACGAATGGGTAACGATCAGAATGAGACAGAGCGGTGTGATGTGGTCCTCGTGAGATTGGACTGAGAGTGTGGTTATGCAATGTTATGTTCCGGTAAGAGTTCCCCACTGATCCAATTTGACATTTGGGTGATGAGCGTCATGATGTTTCACATTTCCTCACAAACAACATGTCAGGGGTTGAATTTGTTCAAATGGAAACACAAGCCAATGTAATTTATGTAATTTTTTCAAAAAAGACAATCAAATGGGATGCACAAATAGGGCTGGACAATTTTTACATTTTAGGAGGAGGGGTGTATGAGTACTTGAACAATATCTGACTTATGGTGCCTTTTTTTGTATTACTTATAGGATCTACCAAACCAAAAAAAGACCTGTTTTTATTCCACCTTGAACTTTTACATTTAAAACTGTACCAACTCCTATCTACATAACCCTTTCAAAGGGATGTTGGATTTAGCAAATCAGGTCAAATTAATGTATAGGGTAATGTTGTTCGTGCTAGCCAACCATTAACCGTGGCCAAGTGACTGTCTTTCTGAAATATCAGTCAAACTTTTTTTCAGCAACTATGAAAATATATTAGTATATTCTTGGAGTCATTGTATACATTCACTTATACTAATGACACTTGTAAAAAGCCTTCTCCTTTTCAGTCTTTCTTTCTGCTGTAGTTTACTGTCAATGTGTAAAATTGTACAAGTGATCGAAAGAAACTTAATGTTCTCGTTCATTGTTCTTGCTTTTGACCAATTTCACATCCATAGAAATATGTTGTTGTTATTGGAAAAAATAAGAGGCAATTCCACAATATTGTGGAGAGGACCTTTAATTCAGGATTATAGAAATGACTGTAAGGGGCCAATAGCCCAAAAAGGCTAATTTCTTGGTTGGTGTGAGAATCATGTTCACAGTTTGTCGCTGACTGAACACAAACCTTTGCAGCCACATGGTATGAAGAAAGTGAAAATCTCACTTTCAATGAATCAATCACAAAAAAAAATTGAAATGTATAGTTCATGAAATATTTTTTTTATCAATAATTTGCTGTAGACAATAACCTGTTTTATAGGAAAAGGTCTGGTTTTCCAACAAGTCAATGTGGAAAAGCAGAGACAGAGCAGCGGGTGTAGGATGAGTCACAGAAATGAATAATTCAACCATTGAGCCATAACAGCCGCGGATAGGAACAGTGCAAAATAGACTTTGGTTTAAATTTAGAACTTATATTTTACAAAACAAGATTACAGAGAAGAAAATAACCAAGAAGTGAAAAACCCTGTGGTTAGACAACAGTCTGTAAACAGAAGTAGCAATTGAACTTGAGGCTCTGTGTTTTCAACTGTAAATAGTTATCACAGCAATGTTTTCACTGCTCCTCGGAATCTGATCCAGACTCATTAGATTTAATTACGTCAAAGATTCAGTCCAATGTAATGCAAAGTTTTGACACTGCAAATGCACATGGATAAAGCCTTCAGAACCTGCAAGAGCAGTTAACTAACATACCAGAGTTTGTTAGTGAACTTCATTTCCAGAAGTGAAATACTAATATGGACATGCATTACTTTTGCCAATACTTGTCAAATAGTGTGTTAATGTTATCAGTACAAAATATGGTATTAGTATTCAGCCAAATGTTGACACAACATAATTTATTTTTTAGGTAAATAAGGTTTAGATCCAGTGTTACAACATCCTCAATGGAACATTTTGGGAATATGGGTTGTACCAAAGAATGCATGACAGATGACCATAGCTCTGGATTAAAATCCATTCCTATTTGGTTAAGAAATATATAATTAACTCCATTAAAAAAAAATCAATTCAGCAATGTACTACCATCAAGCCAAACATAAACAAAAAGGTAACTACTTACAACAGACGCAAATCAAAATAGAAATTTGTTCATGGTAGCAGTTAGAATGGAGACAGTGATATGAAAGCACACCGTTCGAAAACAAAGCCGTGTCCGAACACGACTATAGTCTTTTGAAACATCCTGTTGGCGCAGATTGAAACTGAAACAACCACAACTGTAGTCACAAGTCTCTGGAACATTTCCAGGTAACCTTTCTGATCAATGAACCCGACGAACAGTGACTGCAACAGCGGACCAGAGAAAGTCACATGACGCAGTTTGGTCTGGTAAGAAATCATTTCAAGTGGTCAAAACAAGATATTACTTAATAACAGTGCTTGGCACAAACAACTCATCTTTAAAACCGTGCACACTATTTCTTATAGAAGGCTATGGCTCATTTTGAAGACAAACTTTGGGGGGCCGTGTGAATTGCCTCTGACACATTGGCCACATTGCAGTGGTTAAAATCGAGTTTCAGATATCCCCTTACTTTTGCCCACAGTTGATCAAAACAGCTCACAATGGCTGACTGCCAACTTTGGGTGTGGAAAGGAAACTCCAAAACATAACAAAATAACATTTTTGTTGAGCATGGGCAACTAAATGACTTAATTTTACATCCCAACTCTGGGAAGTGAAACATTAAAGTGAACTTTTAACAAGGACAGACACACGTTCAAGAGCTTTTGTATTATAATCGCTTGAGCCAAATAACAAATAGCGTAACATAAAGAAAGTAAAGAAACCCCGGCCAAAAATTGAAATCAATCATTGTCTTAACAATGCAAAAATAATGCTGGTATGGAATAATGTAAAAGAAAAGAGGAGGTGAGATGCAGTGTGCAGGTGCAAAGAATAAAACATGGCTATATATATTTGCAAAGGAGATCTAGGCAGCAGCTCTGCGTTCACACATTATCTGTGAGACTTGGCTGATTAGTGCAAAAGAAGGTGTCTTTTGCCTCCGCCTGAGGCTGGTGTGATGACGGGAAGGGCTTGAGAACATGAGAATATGCAACACGATCTAATGAATGCCACCACTACTTATAAAGGAGACATATGAAGTCAAATCTTCCTTTTTGAGTTTCCAATCATGTTACATAATCACCAAAAATGGACGTGGAGTTCTTTTTAACCCCATACTAAAATTTGGAGCACAAACTTGCTGTTGCTTTGCTCATTTAATCTAAAATCTAAATACTGGTACATTTCATTCCATCTTACAATGATGAGTCATGGACAAACTTTTTTTTAAACAAAGTAATGCGTCAAAATTAGTTCCTTTACACATCTTCAGAACGTCACATCTACCACCAGAGGGAGGTGTTTTATTACTTTTAGACTGTCATTATACATGATTATCCATACAGTTTCTACATATTGTTTAAAATATAAATATTCTCAAGATCATGTTTTAGGGCTAATATGAATATGAAAGAAATTACATGTTTTCTTTAAGAACTAAACTCAAAATCTCACACAGGACATCTTCTAATCCTCAGACATTGTGCCGAAAATACTCACTTACCCATGTATAAATATATAACTATAATATGCTATTTATTTTCCCACCACTTAACTCGAAAAAGTGAAAAAACCTAGCCTTCAATTAAACATTTGAGCAGAGAGAGGAAAAAGCTTGCGGGCTCTGATCCTAATCCAAGTCTCGTGATCTGGCAGCTGTTAGAGGGGGGAGAACAGATTTCATTGGATATACCCACATAAATGAAATGGCGCTAACGAAACTATAATGACATTTGTGGTGGGTTTACGGATGACATGAAATCAACAACCAAGTAACAGAATTGGTGTCTTTTCCAACCTGCTACATTACATTTAAGCATCATTTTGATAAAACAAACCAAAGCAAACTGGTTTTTGTCCCGTTTTCTGCTAACATGTATTGACATGCACTCAATGACTACCTAGTCATTGAGTCATCTAGTTAAACTGACAAGACAAACAATGAATCCAACACAACAAAGGCTGATTGTTATAGTTTTTTTTCCATTTTACTAGAATACATTTAAGTTACTTTTATATCAATATAGCAGTATGTCTTTTGCTCGTGAATGTGTCAACATGTGCACAGAGAACTGAATTCAAATGTAATCCCTAAGTATTTTGAATAGAAATGTGTTTTAGCAGCTAAATTAAAGCGAGGAAAAAAACATAAATCCAAAACCATAATTCTTTCCCCATTTGTGGACATCACATATCACTAAACAAATCATCACAGACAGCTTGAATCATACAGTCTTTCCATGAGAATGGCACACAAGTAAACAGTGAAACATGAGACGCAGCATCAACATGAGCAGTCTGAAGAAGCACAGGCCAATCAATTGTGCGTTAGAAACGTTATATGTAAACAATATAATAAATTAAAAATGTTCATCGACAAAAGCTTAGAAATGCTTTCACTGTTTGAATCCACTTTATATTAAAAAGTGGATTTCATTTCTTGTAGCTATTTTCATTGACCGCTGGCACCCAGTGTTGTGATTCTCAGCAGCCCTCTGTGTTTTCAAAAGGAAAGCCTGCATTTACAATATCCCTTTAATTAGAACTGCACAGACTAATGAGGCCTGTGGGGGTTTGGTGGGCTAGTGAAGCAGGTGAATGACTAGTAGCAGCAGGGCATTTGAGGTCGTCATGTGAATGCTTAAATGGAGTCATGCACACTGGATTAATTACATTGCTGTTAAGAATGAATAATCAACTTATTTATAAATGAGCAAGCGGCATGCAATATGAAGTACTATACTTTTTGGCCACACAACTGGCTATTATTTACTATTTCAAACATCCAAAATAAATGTATAAAAACAGACTTGAAACATTGCTGAACATTAAATATGCAACATTTTTCATAGTGGGGCAGTAGTTGTTGTGTCCATCAGCAATACACTACACACCTTTCCTTGTACTGAATGAATGTGAATACAAGAGAATGATGCCAGAGTTCTGTCTGGCAAGTATACCACATCCTTACCCATTAACAAAATGCATGCAATACATGTTTCAAAATATGGATCATAAAAGTCACCACAGTCTCAACAAAAATCTAAGTACTTTTTTGTCAAGTCTACTGTTTTAATCAGTGGAAAAACTTCAACACTGTCTGTAAATTTGTCAAACACCACCACACATTCTAACAGTAGATTTCACCATACAGTAAAGAATCAACTCCATCCTACCTGCAGATCAGCTCCTTGGAGTCTGCAGTCCATATACTTTTCCCAGGCATAGGACAGGTCTGTTTGCAGGAGACTGGCCATCTCACACAGTCATTAAACCTCACTGTGCGATGAGAATGTCAGAAATAAAGCAAGTGGTCTATCCTCTTGGTGGCCCGAAAAGCACCAAACGCGACCACGATTCTTCTTGGTCATCTGGGTCAGTCATAGCAGCTCCATGGCACTTTTATTATTGTGACTTCTCCCTGCACGAAAATTTAATTAAGTCAATGGTCAGCAAAAACAGACGCGTTGTGGAGCCCGCAGGCGCTGTGGTCATGTCAGTCAGAGTATAAAATGAGTCGGAACGTCATCGGAAACTTAACCCACACAAAAGTGCGCTAGCATAACAAACAAACTGAATGGAACCAGAAGCTAACCATTTAGCCGCGGACAGATGCATGCTGCGTCAAGGCTGCACCAGGACACCAACACACATCCGGTTTATATCACATTCTGAGTTTTACTGTTTCATTTCTTCACTCTTTTAATGTCAGTAGATTTATTTTTATTTTTTTACAGTTTATGGGCGATGACGTGACTCACGGCGACAATATCTATTACACGGTTCATACATTCATTTCATTATCAAATACTCAAAAGGATAATCCGTTTTCATCTATAATAGATGTGTGCATGTATTATAATAAGAATAATACGAATAATAAGAATAATTTACAACACACTAGTACGTTTCTAGTTGAATGTAAACTTAATTATTGTTCTCTTACTTTGAAAGAACTGCGGATCTTGTGTTGACGCAAGTAACAATTTGATCAAAGGCAAACGATTTTATTGCTTGATTCTTGATCGCTTTTATCAATGACAATGACACAATGACGATTTAGTTTTAAAGTAACTAAAAGAGTGTTGATCAATTCAATGGAAGAAACTATGAATACTGTGTCGTGAGTATACCCTCGCTTCGCATCCTTCCTTGCAGAGCATCAGCTCAGGCAGCTGTCAAAATAGAATTTATGGAAAAGAAGCAGCCGCATTGTCAACCCCATCACAAAAATAGTCAAGCGAGCGAAGTTCTAATAACAAAATATTTCAACACAACAGTCTGGAATGATAATATAAACTTACCTGTTTATATCTTGAAATAAAGCGGCTGTAATGTTAGCCTTCGCACAACAGCGACCAGTGAGTGAGATTATTCCCTGAACCTTGACTGTCAGGCACACACAGTCCCTCCCCTTTCACAGCAGGAGTCACGGGGATCCAGGCACAGTGCCGTCTCTGTTTTTGCTTTTGCTTTATTCAGTGTTCGATATTGTAGTCTAATATTGTTTGATTCCAGGTAGTTTGAATGTGTGTTTATAACTGAAATGGGGAACCTTATTGCAGACTGCTTATCGACTAAATGACTGGTGTTGAGGCTTATGAAGAGCTTATGAATGCAAAGTGGCGTATACCTACTCGGTGGCCATTTTCATATCGGTGTCGCTGCGTCAATATACAAAAACAGGAATGTCAGCTATATTTCATGTGATATGATTCAGCAGTTGATTGATCAGCACCGTAACATTGTCCTAGGCAAGGCAAACTATATGGCAATGAAATATGTTTGTCTCTAACATCTTTCTTCATCAATATAGCTCATCTATTAGCCTGTTTTAATCCGTGAGACCTTTTGGAAAATCTCTCATTCATTTATCACTGTATTACTTATCCTGACCTGTTCAAGTTGCGCTCTTTTGGCTCCAAAACTGTAATGGTACTTTGGTGCCACCTGGTGTTCCTTACTGTGAAAGGGTGTAATTTAGTCTATATTCTCTAGGGGTCGCACAAGTGGAAAGTATGGATACACACTTCCATGGGATACACGAATAGATTTTTTACAGCAACATTCCAAGATACTGTTGTCCTATTTAGTAGACTAATCCTTTTGATTTAAATTGTATATGTACTTTTGACCAAGTAATGCCAAAAAAGAGACAACAAATAAATACTAACATTTATAAATTATATTATTCATAATCCACTCAAGAGACTGGGCACACAGTCACAATATTAATCATAACAAAATTAGAAAAAGAAAGTTTATTCCACTGCTGTTCAGCACATAATCCAGCCCAAATGGCTCGATAGACACTTTCTGTCTTCCACATTTCAAACTTTTATTTCCAACATGTCACCCACAGTGTAACACAGACGACATGAGATAATGTCATATACATTGCTGTAATAATTTCACATTAAAATACATATCCCTTGAGCTTTATTCTCAGTTCATGTGCACCAGGAGACAGTAAACATATAGTGTTTTATTTACAATACTAAAAATGTGAAGGCATTTGTTTCAAAAGGCACCATAAAAATACAAGGCACGGTAACATTTTTCAGTGGTCTTTTCAGCAGTTATAGTTTATTTATGCTGAGTGGCTCCTAATTGGTGGTAACATGTCCAAACAGTGTTATTCTCATTTAGTAGCCGTCTCTTTCACTGCATCCCACGGTGTTGCTGGGACATTTACAGGAGCGGCCATTCGGTGTTGCTAAACAAAGATGAGTGCAGCCTCCGTTATTCACACCACAGTAGTTTTGTCCTGTAAAGACAGATTGTGACATGAATACAGGATGGAATGGATACAATTTCCCCAAATCATGCAATCTCTTATCATTAATGTCTTGCAAAACATTGTGCATACAACATGGGCTATTGAATAAAAGTTTGGACTGGAGGGATGAGATGCACCCAGAACAGAACACATTCAAGTTATTTTCGATTCCTATTCGATTTATTATTGAACATTCTGTTCATGGACTGCCAAGCACAGTGCTGGAAAGCAGGATCCCTAGAGGTTGGCTGCTGTGGATTTGTGAGGCACTCCTTCATTGTCCAGCTGCAGAAACAACAAGGAGTGGCGCAATCAAAGATATGACCAGAACAGCAGAAAAACCCCGAAGAAGATTCTGGATCCACAGAGCAGAACATGGGGAGTCTGATCAGCTGATTGTATTTTAAGTACTTCATATATTGTATTTCCAATTTACCTAGCACAGTTGAGAACACAAGCTGTAAACTATGAACCAGTGTATTTTACATTTGTCTGAGACTGGATGCACAACAGTGGTATGGTTTTATAGAGCTTAAGTTCCTTTTAGAGTATAGAGTAACAGGGTTACTTTGGAGAGAAGACATTGGGCTGATGGGTCTCTAAGCAAAATTAGAGTTAAGCTTTTCTCTCCGGCTAAGCCACCTTCAACTACATCAGGGGAGTCCAAAGTTAAACTAACATTTTTCAAAGCCACATATACATAAAATCATGAAACATATTCAAAACTATGGACCACGGCGGTCAACACATGGGGTCATTTAGAAAGATTCCTTTTTAGCTTCTGAACTTTGATGAAGAGCAGGCCACTTTACAAAAACCAAGGTTATTGTAAATTGGCCTGTTTCACTTTACAATGTCATTTTCGCTGTAAACAAGAATAAACCTTGATCATAGGGGCTAAATTAAATTGGCAGACATAAAGGTCTCACCTCAAGGGGTCAGTATTTTCCTTTTCTTTTTTGTAGTTCTGATTAAGGCTACACTCGGGAAGAGCAGAACAGTCCACATAAACGTTTTGGTTACATTCTCTAGATGTACAAGCTGCTCTGATCCATTTCAGTTAGCCGTGTTGTAAACAGATTTCTAGCTGTTGAGGCCCTCTCCTCTGCTTGATACTCCCACTGCTCAGCCTTATCTGAATGGGAGGATGATGTGTTGTAGCTGCTATGGACGCAGTAACATCACTCATTCTCAAGCGTATGCATACACAAGTTAAATTCCAGCGGAAAGAATATGTGCTGTACTTTCTCATGATGGCAAAGTGCTCTCAGAGTGTTTAACCGCGGATGCAGAGGTCACCACACCAGGCCTACTCTTTTACGGCATGGTTCAGAGAGTTAAGCGACTGGATAATAGGTCTAACTCAGTGCTAGCCCCCGAAGGGACAAGGGTCAAGCTATCTGGAGAGAGAACTTTGAAGTGAAGCTAAGCAGTATTTCTACACAAATAAAGATAGAAATAAATAGATTTTTTGTCTAATTATTACGCACAAAACCTACCGAAAGATTAGTTTTAGGTGTAATTTGAGAATGACCTAATCATGTTTCTGTTGCATAGAGTCTTCACTGGCAATCATGTGAATTCTATCGCTTAGATAAGTGTGCATACCTATTATACAAATCTACTTATGCAGTAATTCAATGTGATACCACCAACATGATTCCAAGGACATTTGATTTTACCTTGTAGACACTGTGAGTAGGCTGCAGTTAACCCATACAGCTTGGTCCTTTTCTGAGGCTGGAACTCCTCTGATTCCTTGCCAGTGTAGCGGTCCACTGCAACCACAGCGTCCCTGTAGCAAGCAAAGAAAACATGTTCAGAAACCAGGGACTATCCCAAGATGGAAATGTAACATCCGGCTCCCCTTTGAAATGATTAAAGCAGTCACATCAACCAGAATCTAACTACAAATTAGATTCTTAACTTTTTGTAATCCATATGTTTTAATTCAGAAATGTGAGATTATAGTAATAGGACAGAATGCCATTCAAAGGTCTATAGACAAAGAATTAACAAGGAATAATAATCAAAAAGTAGAAAAGAATTCAGTTGGTTCTCAGCTGTCTGTATATATTCTTTCTTTCTCTATTTCTATTTTTTTTTTTTCTGTCTTTCTGTCATTTTCCCTTATAAAATTAGCAAATGTAATGACATTTTCAGTGAATCTCAGCACAAAAATGGAACTGTACGTCTTGGCAGAGGTTTTTACTCAACAAGTATGTGTGCCACTAGTGGATTAGTTCAAACACTGAAGTTTCAATGCAACTAGCAATACACATATTCAAAAATCCCATTCTATTTAAGTAGTTTAATTAAGAATGCAGGGTCTAAATGGGAACCGAGGCTTGAAATGTGAGTATTGTTATAGTTTTGTGAACTCTTGTAAAAGCTTGTGGACATAAGTTAGTGGACACGGCTGTTCCTCCCCCACTGCTCTTCCTCTCCGGACCTGGTAAGATCAGAGCCCCGGGTCACTGCTGAGAAATTGCAAGCAGCTGCCAGTTTTTAAGATGCCTCCCTCCAACTCTTTGTATATGGACTCCTAAACAGACAGCTCGACCTTCCCCCACTCGCTGCAGTCACTAAAAACTTACAAAATCAGCTCTACATGAAAGTGTAATAGGTGTCAAAGCGTGTCAGGGGTGGAGTGAGCTGCCATATTTAAAATGTCAGTAGCCATTTGACTTCTGACCTATTTCCTCCCGTTGTGCAAGCTTCATCTGTAAATCATCAGTGACATCATACATGTGTAAAAGCACAATTGTGTCTAAAGCCTGGCCAGCCTTTTCATTTTGGGCTGATGCAGTTGCTTGTAACTTTATAAAGTATGGATAATCAAAGAGTTAAAGAGATGGTGCATTACCCAGTTGTTCTTACCTGCAACCCTTACATATCTGTCACACTATAATGGCATTTTTAATTAAGTTTTATCACAGGGGCTAGAGTCGAGCTTTATAGCAAGAAGGTTATAGGTTTGCTCAATGGGCCAGGGATCTCAAAGTCTGTGATGGTTTCCTTCCACTAACAATATGTACAGTAAATGTGTGTAAGTTCTCAGTTGTACAGGGACTTTGTACAGAACGAAACGTCGGAAAACCTGCTAACTGAAGTACAGATGATGGGTGAGCAACCTTCCTTAGTTTTGAACATGTACTGTAGCAAGGAGAAGGAGTGTGTGTTTGTGAGTTCATCTGAGGACTGTGGGAAATCAGCCTATTTGATCCAGAGAGGGGTGTTAAGGTACATAACCATGCAACACACTAAACAATCCACTCATATACACACAATGAAGGGATTTATGTCGACAAATACACTAGATGCTATTATCAATTTACAAAATATACAAAACATACAATCTATATGACTAAAAGTAAAATGATTTATCACTGAAAGACTTCAAAGGTTACAGAGATGTTTGATGGTGGTTAAAGAGGCAGCCGCTGTGGTATCACCCACCTTTAGTGACTACTAAAATGAGCTTACTCAAAGGCGTATGCCTGTAACAACAGAAGAATGACGCTATGCACCTTCATGCATCTAAATCAGGATTAATTGCTACAACTATAGCTAACTGTTTAAAATTCTATCTAAATTTTTTGTTTGTTTTTATTTAGATCCCCATTAGCTACAGTAATATACAGTTGCTATTCTTCCTGGGGTCTATATTGAATAGTGAGATAAGTATCCAAAATGGTCAAACCTCTTCCAGTCAGTATAGTAGAGATTTTTTCCAAAGTTTGCCATCCCAAACGGATACTGAAGGCCGTCCAGGAGCTGTCTGCGGTCGCTGCGGCCAGGATTCATGCACTCCAGTTTATGTGTGGCTTGAGGGAAGATCATGTCTGAGTTAGACTCTCGACACAGACATCATGTCATCAGTGACTAATCCCTCTGAAATGTCGCGTACCTGCGTCGGCCCAACACAGCTGAGCGGTCTGAGAGTCGTACGTGAGGCCATTGGGTAAACCAAGGTCATCCTTCACCAGCACTCTCCTGTTTGAGCCGTCCATGTACGAGGCCTCGATTTTAGGGGCCTCTCGGTTCCAATCGGCCCAATATAGATAACTGGGGAGAACACGAAAGCAGATAATTTTACCATAGCATTCATTGTCATTGTTCATAATTTGAATATTCCAAGCACAGAAATGTAAGGTCTCTTCCAAATTGTCATGTCTTTTGTTTAATTTATTATTGGCTGTGGTCACCTCCAGATGAACACTTGAAACCAAAAACAAAGCAATGTTATCATTGTGTGGTGAGTAGTGTGATTTACAAACAAGAAACAACATTTCCTATGGATGTATTTCAAAAACAGATTTATCCACACAGATAAACTGCGCAGTGTTGAATTGTTTGTCGAATTAATATTAAAAGTAAAGGCAAATCATGCAGTTTGCTCATTCAAACTAGGGTACCAAAGTTTGAAACAGCCAAAAATTGCAATGTAATAAAATCCATGTAACTATGTAGTTCCAAGCTCTCAAAAAAGTTTGATCAGCAGTTTTCACATGCATGCATTTTTGGCCTCTGCATCAGCTCTGTCACATCAGCTCTCATTATACATACAAGTTAGGTATTCCAGCTTTGATAAGCTCTAATTAACTTAGACAAATCAAAGTGAGTGGAGAATTAGACAACATTAAAAAAAACATTTATCTTGCTTTTTTGATATATGGCTTGGCAATATGGCTCAAATCTTATATCTTAGAATTATATAAATAAGTTCAGACAAATTGGAGAGCACCATATCAAGGCGCCTCTTGTCCAGCACTGGCAGACTGAGCTCTCTTGTCCATTGAGGTAAATATAGCACTCACCCACTGGGAGGGTCACAGACGATGGCTCTGGGGTTAACCAGGTCGGTGTCTATGATGACCTTTCGCTGTGCTCCGTCCAGAGATGCCACCTCAATGCGGTCCTTCATGGAGTCTGTCCAAAACATGGTCCGGCTCAAGTGGTCTATAGTGATGCCCTCTGGACTGTCGATGTCTGCGAAGAGAAGGATTTAGAGATACTTTCCCACACTTGTCCCCTACCTGTCCCACAGTGGGGAAATTTCAATGTTGTTGTTATTGTGTTTATATTCTTTTTATGCATTATACAGGCCGGGGTAAATAAAGACATTAAAGAAAAATGCCTATTATGAAACATTTTGAACTGAACATATTGAGGCTGGAGATGATGAGACATTGGGCGAGATAGGTGAAGGTAAATGGGGATTTTCGAAATACTGAAGACTCAAATTCAGAACAATATATTTATCTCAAGAATATAAAAAAAATCTAAATAAAACTTTGGGTAAGATAAACAACAAATATAATAGAAGTTAAAAAAGTCTCATTGGCATTTCTGTACCACAAGACAAATAACTGGGTAAGAACGGAATTGAGAGTGAAATCAAAGGGACCAATGATGAGTTTACCTGATGTGATCACCGGCGCTGGCTCTCCTCCCTGGATGCTGGCTCTGCTGATGGACGGAGACGAGATTTCTGTCCAGTAAACCATTTTGTCCACACAGTCATAGGCCACCCCGATTACGACCTTCTCCTGTTCAGATGGAAGCAACAACAACCTTTGAAGTTATCTTTGCTCAAACAACAGCGGTCAAAGATTAAAACATGAAGCACATGTGTTTCGGAACATTAATGCTTGGACATGAATTAGCTCAGCCACACACAGAGCAGCTGCTTTGGACCAACTAATGCAGATTGTAATTCCTTACCTAGCTCCGTCTGATGTTAGTGATTAGCATGAATGTCAACATGTGCTGCAAATAAAACTCATATGGGAAATGAGCAGACAGAAAGCCAGTGTTATTGCAAACAGGAAGCAGATGGTCTGAAGTGTTTGCAAAGGATTTCCAAACAAACTCGTAGCAAATGATGTAATGACCAAATCTAGATATTGTGAGTCCAAAAGCAAATATTATAACAACATAAGCATACTCTGGGCCACTTTTGCACTCAATAACAATAAAAATGCTCAAAACAAACGTCCGACTTTTGAAATAATCTCAGCAGAGGGCACCCATGGCCCTAGAGAATTGAATTATATTGTACTTTGGCAAGCGTATCATCCATGTGGAACAATACAAGCTGTTTCAAACATATCTTTTACAAGGACTACTTTCTAAATGAAAGAGCAGCACATGCAAAAGCCCACATTGTAATAACAATAACCTTATTGTGTTAAGGTTTATAACTTTTTTCACCTGATCCACATGCAAGCAACAGGCTCTTTCTTTTTAAGTTTCTGCTATATTGCCACACCTCGTCAGAAAGACTAGGTCACGAGGCAGATTAAATGCAGAGTCACTCCGACACACCAGCCCATGTCACTCAGGGTGTAAGGAATCGCCAGTCGGGGGTTTTGGGCAAACAAAAACATGTTTTTCCTCAGTGGGAATGATCCTTAAAGCCTTTTGGGGAGGGGGGAATAAGAAGAAAGAAAATATTTGGCATGAAATAGGTGTTTTGTTTAAATTACATAGCATTCGAAGGCCAAGGCAAATCAAACCTTTGCCATGGTCTTTCCAGCGATATGTTCTTTGATAAAATGAGATAAACAGATGCTGTCCAATGGGGGAAATCCAATATTTTGAAAGTCTCTTTGAAATGAGTAGATCTCAAAGATTGAGCCCCTATTAAAAGGAAAAACATCCAACGCAAGTAGCCTCAAATTCCTGACGCTGACGAAAACACTCAAGTTGTTGTTATTTCCCTCACAGCTGCATGACTAAACTGCTTTTCTAAGAATGTTTATTATGTGTTATGGCTGGGGGCTTGTTTTGTTTATGTTACAAATACATTAAATACAGGACGTTTTCCAAGTAATCGCAGTCAGACCATACACTGATGTCTATTAAATTGCACATTTATTCATTTTTGAGGATGTTTTGGATTAGTGAAGAGTAATCTACCTATTCCAGATCAGCCTCACTACATGTTGTTTTGATGGTATGCACAATGATTATATTGAGAACCTTGTTTATGGTAAAAAACTATAAAACTATTAAAAAAATGACTGTGGAACACAATGTTACAAGAAATATGCATATGGAGTTCAAATTCCTGCACTTCTGAGGTTAGTTTTATGTTTAATATGAATCTTGAACCTCAGTCATTTAGAACGTTTTAGCACAAATGTGATGGAATTACCACAATATTGACTGAATTTTGTGATAGAAATACTACATCTTGATACAACACATATCTTTGGTCAACATAAACCACTCCTATTGGGAACTATCCATTACTTTGTGGAAAATCATGTACTTTTGCCAACCCCAACCATAGTGTGACAAATGTGCGCATTCTTCACATTTTTGTCACTGATATCTCGCACTCACAGGCAGATGCAGGAGCGTCTTGGCCTCTTCGCGCTTCATGTTGTAGCCTTCTAACGGGACGTGCTCGATGCGGCCGCTCTGCGCGTACAGCAGGTGGGTTCCGGGTGGCAGCGGCTGCACATCGGGGCGAGGGGTGGGGCCAACAGGGGTGCCATGGTCATTACCTGAAAAGACAAAATAACAATTTGCTGTTCAGGTTTAAGCAGGAAACAGTTCTTTTGTATCTGCAAATGTCTTGATGTGATACAAAAGAAAACACATTCATTATTAAATTCATCCAATATTGTGATCAACAATGTGAAAATACACTGTAAAACATAATAAGAGATATGGTAGATAAGGTAGTGTATACAGGTTCTCTTAAATTGTCTTATAACAAAAGCTATTTATATAATGCATTGTAATGTCAGCGGTAGCAGCAGTAATAGTGGTAGTAGCAGTATTAGTCATATTTGTATTTAGTGGTGATAGAGCTTCTAGGCCAGGATCTCAGCTGGACAATCCTGGTAAAAAAGTCAATGAAATAGTAGTAGTAGTAGCAGCAATTGTTGTATATACCATTCCTTTTATTACAAGGAATAACCCTTTGAGGTGGATAATCTTGTTTTTGATTAGCTCCTCTAACAGTGGTTATAGTAGTAATAGTATCAGTATAAGTTGCAGCAGAACCAGTAACAGTTGTAGTTTTGTATTCTTATGTGTGGCCTTGTTTCATTGCTTAGTGAAAAAAAGTATGTTAGAAGTACTATTAGTAGTAGTACAGTAATGTATTTCACATGTATGTTTATCTCTTGGCTCAGAACAGTAGTAGTAGCAGTGGCAGTACTAGTAACAGTAGTTTATCTCCCAGCACAGTGCAGTAGTAGTAGTAATAGTAGTAGTAGTAGTAGTAGTAGTAGTAGTAGTAGTTGTTGTAACAGTACTAAAAGCAGTAGTAGAAGCACTAGCAGTAGTAACAGTAGTATATCTCCCAGCACAGTGCAGTAGTAGTAGTAGTAGTAGTAGTAGTAGTAGTTGTTGTTGTAACAGTACTAAAATCTCATGTTCCCAGTGCAGCAGTAGTAGAAGCACTAGCAGTAGTAACAGTAGTATATCTCCCAGCACAGTGCAGTAGTAGTAGTAGTAGTAGTAGTAGTAGTAGTAGTAGTTGTTGTAACAGTACTAAAATCTCATGTTCCCAGTGCAGCAGTAGTAGAAGCAGTAGTAGTAGAAGCACTAGCAGTAGTAACAGTAGCATATCTCACATGTGGGTCTATCTCCCGGCTCGGTCCGTGTCCCTGGGATCTCGCGGCCGCTCTGGTCCACACACCAGCATTCCCCGATGCTGTGGTGACACTGCATGGGCACATATCCTCCCATCTGGTCACATGTGGGGATGTACTGACCCACCGGAGGACGCGGACCCCTGGGGCCGAAGTGAATGCTGTCTCTGTGCAGCTCACACGGGGTCTTCTGCCTCTCTGAATGGAAGAATAAAACAAATACCACATGTCACATAAACTGTGTAAATTGTGTAAAGGTCTGTTTGTGGTGACTGCTTTCTTTTACTGTTGCTCATTGTATCCATTGGTGTGGGTGGCAAACTTCTTGGCCCAGTCACCCTTTTATATGAGATCTATAAGGCTTAAATGATAAATGATAGAAAAAATATAATATAAATGATAAATAAAACATATAAACTCTGATTGTAAGGTTAGAATGAACTAATACGTGCAAAAACATGGTTGTTACCATCTGTTTTATAGGGCTTACACATATTTCTTTTAACTGTGTGCGGGAAACACAATGGAAACTGAACAAAGAGAAAGGCTTGTAGACTACAAACCAGGCGTGCCCAAAGTGGAGTCCGCCAGCCAAATTTGGGCCACCTCATGATTCTCAAATGATTGTTAAAATCAAAGCTTTGATGGTAAATTATAAACTACCCTGACGTGTTCACTTTTATATTTGGTCCAGCTTTGGTATAATCCCAACAAAACCTTTATAGCAGGAGCGCAATACAAAATTATTTATAATCTTGTCAATGGGCTCTATGCACGCACCACTTCCACGTTTTAGCAAAGCCCCACCTCACTTCCTGTTCGCGGGAAACAGCTTGAGTTTCACTGGAGTTCAGCAGTGGTTTACACGAGTTTCCCAAATAATGCTCAAACGGGAATTATACTGTGAGGATACTGGGCATTTTTGGGACACAACAGTGCTCTTTGATTGTGCCGTCATTGTGTTTTTATAAAGTGTAAAAATTGCTCTGAGTGACCACAGTCGAAGCTCTACCTCAGAGGGAAAGCACAGCGACACTTTTGGGTCAGTCTCACAGCTGAGTGTATCAATCTAATTACTAAAAAACGTCACTAAACTCACCTAAAAGCCATAGGATAGCATAGACAGGAAGTGGACGGGCTGTGCGTTGTTAACAGGAAATGACGTCACGCCTCCTCGTGCATATAGCCCATAGTGGCAGTAGCCTGATGAATGATTATGCACTCACCAATGTCATGACAGGTTTTTAGGATATTTTCTTTTAGGATTTCAGTGTTAGGCCAATTGCTATTACTGTACATATTGACTGTGTGTCATATGAACTATAAATCATTTTCCTCCATGTCAATCTAGTTTAGAATCAGAAAAACCCATATAGTTTTATGGACTGAACATGATCCATGTCACATAGATTACAGTTCCTCAGATCCTGTAAAGTATCTGACACGATTGTGGTTTCATGTTTTCTGTTTTGCATTAGCAACTTATAAAGTGCGACAAATTCCTGTAGCTTTAGGAACTTAAACGAGGAACAGACTTCAGCTGGTAATAATAGACTCAACACTCGTCGAATGTGTGGGAAAACATGTTGTGAATAAAAATACCAGGATTTCTGTCCATTACCAAGCTGACGGTTAAAGATCTATGTTTTTTTAGGGAGGGAGAAATGTATAATTGTCATTTGACAGACTGACTTGCGTACTCAGTAAATTGTGATGTGTGCATTCAAAATTAAATGAATCATAGACAACTGTAAAATTATTTGTTTGTCTGGAATTTTCTGCCTTATAGGGATTTACACAATGTGATACTGGGACATTATCATTCTTTCACAGGAATAATGCACTTATGTCAAGCAATTTCAGATGATTCAAGTTGATTATTCAAGTCAACAATTTCAAAACCTCTCAATCACTGTTTTAATTGCAAACCTGTGTTTTTCAAATGGCGTGTCGACCCGGGACAGCGTTTTTTTAAAAAGCAGTAGTAAAGTCTTTAATAAGCGCACACATTATTAAAAGAAAACCTTGTGATAAATGAATAAGAACAATTACATTTCCTTTGTAATAATAATAATAATGTAATGTAATAATAATGTGTGCGGGGCGATAGTAGCCTGGAGGGCCTGGAGGTCGTGAGTTCGATTCCCACCATGGGACCTACTCCAACTGCTCCCACTGATGACTGCTGTCGTTGTGTCCTTGGGCAAGACACTTAACCCCACGTTGCCTGAAGCCCCCTGTTGAAAGATCAAGGCGGTTTCTCAACTGATGAAGCAGCCATCTTCCTGTGGACTCACCCCCTGCAGAAGATCAGCGAGGGACTGGTGCTATGAGCATTGGGTGGCAGCTCTCATTGCCACCCCCCCGACCCAGAAATGGACAAATAAAGGGGTTGAAAATGAATGAATGAAAATGAACATTTCCTTTGTCACATGACTGTTGGAATTAAATGCCTCCTCCCACTCCAAAAAGTTGGCGGGAGAAGACAGGACAGTGTCAAAACAAATAAGTCAAAACAGACCTCCAACTTTTAAAATGTGTTTTCTTAAATCACAGCGTACTGCACCCAAGATTCCAGGGAAAAACTCTATAATGGACTTAGGCAAGCTCGTCATCCACATGGAGAAACATAAACATTTTCTAAAATATTATTCATAAGGACAAAAAGCCCAAACCTTAATGCTAGGAGCTTCACTCTTGTTACATGGCTTATTGCACTGTATTGTTGTTGTAAGTAGTTTTACATAATTCTTCACCTGACCAACAACGGGCTACAAAACAGTTTGAATGCTGAACACGATTGGGGAAAAAGACTACCTCGCGAGGAAGGTTAAATGCCAAGTGGTTTTGACACATCAGCCCGTGTTGCTTAGTGTGTAAGGAAGAGGCAACCCAGAGAACATGTGTGTGAGAAGTGTGGATCGTGCAGTGGAACATCAATTACTATGTGCACAATGTGGACAACTGGCAAGAATATGCATTTTCCATTGCTTCCAGCTCTTCTGCTGTTTTACTGAATTAATCATAAACTTTACCTGGCGAGCACTGGAAGCCGTCTCCATGGTAGCCAGGGTTGCACTCACAATTGAAGGAGCCCTGCGAGTTGTAACAGCCGGCGTCTGGGTGGCACCTGCCGAGCTGACATTCATCCACATCTGCTCACATAAGCCAGAAAGAGGAGAAATCATCCAATAAGTGTGAATTAGGTGATCGGGACTTAAAGCTGGGGTCCCAGACTTTTCTTGGTCTTTCTCTATGAATAATACCTTTTATTCAACTTGACAGAAAGAGTCTTGTAAAAGTAAAATGTTGGGAACAAATCAAACCACAACATTCGGCTTTTATCTTTTAATTAAAACACTGAATAAGATGACATATATTGAATGCTTTGTAAGAAAGGGCTCTGTGAGTCACTTTTTGACGTTTTGGGCTGAGAGCGGATTGGCTGAGTGAGAAATGGGCCGCTGTTTTTAAATTTCTTAGTCTGAAAAAGCTGATCTAGAGATGTGACAAAGGCACAAAATAATTGCATGTGAACCAAACTGTTTTAATATTGTGGAACTATTTATATGGATTTTATTTCATATTTTGTTGTTTGAAATTCAGGCACACCAGCTATACATAAAGAATGGGAAGTAGAATTTATTTTGCAGTTATTTCAACAGGATTACAGTAATATCAAGCTGTATTTTACCACAATAAAAATGATAACTGACCAAAGACAATGCACTCCGAATTTCATTAAGCTGTACAGCATTATCCTGAAACATGTTCTTCAAGTCGACTACTCCAATCTCAGTCACCAGAGGCCTGTTAAACGGTGAGATGTCACGGGAAATCTAGTATATGATTGAAATTGTAGCTTGATTTGGGTCAGAACATGTCTAGCACCATGGGAAGAAGGGAAACTATGAATGATTGTAATTGAGCTGCCAAAAGAAAAACATGTGTTAAACCTGAACTTGTACAAAGCATCTGCTTTTCATGCCTCTTCAATCATTGAAGGTGTGTTACGTAACTCGCCTCCCCCGGCCCAAACACATGCTTTTGACATTAGAAGAGTATGTAATGGCTTTAAAGGACAGCATAAATGGTGGCTCTGTCAGTGTCATGAATGGACACATTATGGAGAATTTTTCAAAGGAATTCACAGAGGTTAGACATCTCATTTATCAAACATTTTTACTGCAAAAATGTGATGCTCTCAATTGTATAAGGTGGATGGATGATTATAATACAATGTATAATGTTATAAATGCCACCACTGTATTGAATTGTCTTGTGTCATGTGTTGTATGAATGAGAGGGGATTGGATCTTCAACCAACCCTTTTTCAAACCCTGTATTCCATCTGTGTGAGTTATGTTTGTGTGAAATAATGAAAACACCTAATCTATCTATATTTATTTTCTTCCACCAGGTCACAGAGGAGAGAGGCAGCAGTCAAATTAGAGATGAAACTTTATTCATTAATCAGGGGAATAATGAGCCATCGCCAGACCGGCTGCTTGTGGGCCACTGGATCTGACTACTCTCCCAATGATGTTGAAGCAGGATAGAAACTACAAATCTTCTGCTCAGAGGACACCCACTCGGCTCGTAGTGCCACCATTATTATTATATTATTGATGTATGTGATGCTTTACCTTGGCAGATGGAGCCGTCTCCCACAAATCCCTCTCGACAAGAGCAGATGTAGGCAGAGCCCCCAGTGTAGGTGCACTGAGCGCGCTCTGAGATATCACAAGTGTGACTCCCATCTTCACAAGGATTCACAGGACGAGCCGCCCCTGCAAAAAGTACAATACACGCTGTACTTGAAAACACATTTTCTCACAGGTTAAGTATAGTTGAAGCCGCTTCTATTTTTCTGGGTTTTTTAATCTCACAAAGCCAAAGAAATTGTTGGTGAAAGAAGAGAAGAATGCATCTTAAATTTGGGTTAAAGAGTAGGAATAATCATTACAAAACATTGACAAATATGTGGATAAAAATTTTCACATTAGAAAAAGAAAAACATGTTTGCACATTGGAGGCTCCTTGGAGACTGATCCCATGACTAGACCCTCGCTGTGAGAACCACTTCAATATCACATGTTTAATTATAAAATCCCGGTCTACTGAGCCCAGTTCATCTTTGTAATGACTGACTTAGGGTTTGTGTGTAGAATAAAAGATTTAGACTTGATTAAATGCTCTCGTAACTCCACTCACCCACACATGTCCGCCCATCGCTGGCAAACTGATATCCATCTACACACTCGCAGCGGAAAGTCCCAGGCTGGTTGTTGCAGATGGCGTGGGCTCCACAGATGAGGGGGGTCTCCACACACTCATCAATGTCTGAAACATGAGAACAAACACAATGGTATCCTTCAACAATTTACAATTTAAGTTGTCAAAAATGTCTTCATCTAAATAAAAATGATCACAGTTACAGAAAAGCAAACTAAATATAGCTCTGAGGTGTGAAAGTAAGACATTGCAGGCCACAGAAAGAGCAGCTTAAAAGTGTATTCAAAAGAATCTTGTCAAAAAAAATTATCTTTTAAATAGAGTAATATTAACGTGATCTTATATCTTTTTGTATCTTTTAGTGGATTTGTAGACTTGTGCGTTGTGATGTGTTACTTTTGTTTCTCTGCAGCACTTCAGAAACTTGTTTGATAAAAAGGGAAATGGGATGGCGTTAGATAAATGGTAATTTCTGTTTGGTTTTTGGGAATTTGTTGTATGATACTCGAACCCCAACACAGACACAGAACTGTACATATTCCTATGGATTTCCATATGGTGTATTGATATTAATTGCCAAAGCTCTCTGGCTCTAAAACTGTTTGATTCTATCACTAGTTTTCACATTCATATGTTTTGCCCCTGTCACATTTTTCAGACAGAAAAGCTCAAGTCAAAGTAGTGACTCAAAGGGATCTTTCAGACATGAAAGCCAAGTATGTTAAGACAGGATGTTGTATTTGTTTTTACAACTATATTACAAAATACAAGACCCTTTCTTATAAACAAGCAGCATGTATTATCTATAAAGAAATGTTAGGTACCTCAGCTTTAAGTCTTGAAGGAAAAGAGATCCTTTTTGTTGTTCACCAACATAAAAGCGTATTGTTGGGCCATCACTCAACAAAAAGTAGTCTGCTATGACAGAGTTGGTAATTGAAGAGTTTGACATTGAGAAACCTAATAACTATCTGCACAACATAAATCTTCACTATCAGACTTGCAAAGATCAGAGGGGACTTTAATGAAATCTACTAATTGCACACTGATAATATCTCGTCTGGGGCGCATCCTTCGTATGTCTTTGTGCCTTTGGGGTCTTCCTGTCTGCGCACTAAAGCATAGAGCCAGTCCTACGCAAAAGCTCCGGCCACACAGGGGCACGGGGAGGACTGGGAGTGCTGGCCGTCATTTGTTTATCATGTGGGACTCCTTTATGTTAATTGCTCAGATTGCCCAGTTCCAGAGGAAGGAAGACTTTAAAGCAATTAGTTAATTAGAAAACCCAAATAAACGTGGGAAACTGAAGGTTGCAGGCGGGGACCCAAAACTGAATTTTCATGTGACAAGAACACATCCATGTTAGAACTAGTGATAGACCAGACTTGTCAGCTAGGAACTATGGATTTTACAACATTATTCCATTTGTTTGTAGTTTGAAAATTACCAGCAGCAAAACCGCAGCTTTAAGAGGCTCAACAAACATCTCAAAATGTGTGATTCCCTTCCCACCATAACACTGTCGTCCGTCGCCGTTGAATCCAGCCGCACATTCGCAGCTGAAGTCTCTTCCGGTTCCTGGTCGACACACAGCGTTGTTGTCACAGCCGTGTCTCCCGGTGAAGCACGGGTTCTCCTCTGGCTCTCCTCCTGAGGGGAATATTATTACAAAATATTATGCAAAGAATAAAATCAGCAGAGAATGCACTGTTTCATTCCACCCACAAGCTTGTACAAATGTTATCTTTTATCATATTGAATAGCTTTAAAGAGGACATCATTTCTGTGGGGAACATTGAAAACTGGATTATGGAGTTACAACTTTTTAAAATGAAAGTTTCTTGATTTTTATTGGTACTAATGTAATATTGACTAGAGCATAACCATTTGGGCTTAGATTGCTACCTGTTCTGTTAGTTGAGTAGAGAAATATAGTTAAACTCTTTTAAAATGCTTTCCACAAGACCTTCACACATGAAGCAAAGACAAAATAAATGTAATAGAAATATAGATAAAGTTCATAAGATCCATGTTTTCTTATTTTTAAGAATCCTGAAATGCTTACAGCCCATCTAGCAGCGAGCAGGAATAGTGCCTCTGTTTGTAGAGCTTGGTATCCTTCTAATAGTTAATTTATCTGGTAGAAGCTGACCAACTGGATTCAGGCAGTTTAGTGCTTTGGGATGAGGTATGACATGATCATACAGATTTAAATGTTTTCAACTCAATTATAGTAACTTATTTTCTCATTCGAACCGGATCGTAGAGGTTCTAAGCTTTAAAATGATAAAGGTCTTGAGTACATTAGCAGAACTGAAGTTGGCTGGATGACAGTGGGAATGTATGTTCATGATTTCATACATTGTGCCAGTGTTATTATAATCTTTTGCTGATTTTGTACACTCATCAATAAGAATAAGAGTGGATTGTCTCACAGCTTAAAAACTAGGTATGAGGATTTTTTACTTTATTTATTAATATTTTATTTATTGATTAATAAATATAATTTAACATAAATATGAGGTATTGAGATATATACAAATTGGCTGAAATTGGTGAAATCCCTTGCCAAATACTTATGTCAGCTTCTATTGGGTGTGACATGGGTAATAAATGCCAAAACAACCTTTCATATGATTTGGTGCGTTCACAATAGAGACTCAGGATGCTGCGCTGCATTGATTGACTCTGTGGAGGAAGTGTACAATCCCAAACAGGAAGTCACATAAATAACCCACGTCCTCACCGTTCACGTCTCCAATCTTGTTGCTCATGGCGAATCGCGTAAGTTCGTTGTTGACGTCGTACATGACAAAGATTTGCTCCACTCTCAGCATCTGCGAGGGCTTCACGTCCTTCATGGAGTCTCCGTGCTGACAGCTCTGGAAGGTGATGGTCTGACGCCACTGGTACGTCCTGGTCTCCGCTGTGCCGTCGGGGTGGGTCACTTTGTAGTCACGGGTCGAGGAGGATGTAATCACTGAGAGGAGACAAAACATGGATGTTGAGAGAATTTCAAAAACAAAATTGCAATTAGATTGGCACCATAATCAATTCATGTACTGCATTTACTGTCAAAAGCATTTCAATGTAATTGGTCAAACCATCCTGTCATTCAAATTGTTCATACACACATAATGCCCATAATGGAATAAAAACAGTGGACATTTTTGTGACCCTCGATACCAAAAATATAACTATTTATGGTAACGAGTGTTAATTATATTTAAGAGAAAGTTTGTAAAGGAGAAGTTTGTAAGGACAACCCCACATTCACAAACACCAATTTTGCTGCAGCACTTTTATCTACATATATACAAGTTTATGTTTATCTTTAATTGATTATTTGTTTTATGAGATCTATTGGGTTCACTACATGTTCATCCGCTGTGGTGCTCTTAAAAGCACTAATAGGACTGGACTTACAATTGGCAGAAATATTACAAAACCAAGTGTTTGGTTTGGTTTCGTCCTGGGTTTTTCTAAACATAACTATTAACATTGACTGAAATGAAAATGCTGCTTACAGTTGTTGCTGTACTGGTAGATCTCGGAGTAGGGCTCCACCTGCACCGTGGCGCCGGCTGGGACCAGGGGGATGCGTCCGTCCAGATGGGTGCTGACCTCCAGGTGGTCGTGCTCGTCGATGCCTTTGAACTCCTGTCGGATCGTCAGCTTCTCGTTCCCGGGCTGAAAGGTCACCTCAGCCTGCCGCGTGAACACTCCGCCTTCAGCAAACACACAGAGAGCTTCAGGAGAACTATCGCCATGCAAGACCAAATGCATCTGCTTTTACAGATGGACTCATCTAGAAATAATCGTTATTAATATTACAGTACACAGCTAATAAAATCAGATAGCCCAATGGAAAAAAATGTAAATGTCCCTTTTGAACTTCATAAAAAAGGAGAAACATTTTCTACTTCCGGGTGGATAATCAAGACTATTGGTCCTCCCAATTGTCAATCATTCTTGTGGTATGTGCTCGTCAAATAAGACCAGAGAGTTTTATTCAAGAAGTGGAGAGGACGGTTTTTTCCAAAAATTTGGGAAAATCCTCCTATATACCTTTAAGCCTACTGGTAAATGTTCTAATGGCAAATTTTACTTACTTAATTCATTTTATTTATTATTGATATTTCTCTACCAGATCATTTGTTACTGCCAATAATTTCAGTTCACATTCTTTAGCTGAAAAATAATAATTTAAAAAAAGTATAAAAACATGTGTCCTAACTGTGAGTGGGCTTGCAGCTCCTAACAACAAATCTGACTCATACTTGTCCTGGAGGAGGGTCCAGAAAGTTTAGTATTTATGGCACAATTTCAAGATCTAAGACTCCAGGATTCACTGATCTGTGTGGTATCTTAAGACTTTACACCATTCTTTTAGATCATACACTCTTCTGTTATACTTCTGATAAAGCTTACATAAATATTTGTGGTCTCTCATACGCCACTGTTCACTGAATTCAATAACTTTCTGACGATTCAAAAAGCAAAACAACAAAACTCTTGAGACTCTTGGCCCTGGCTGAACTCTCAGTCCGGGGGGAGTCCATCTGGAGAGCGCCAAACTGCAGCTGCTCCACACTCAAGTGGAAAAATGTGTCAAACTTTACAACAATCTCACCGATGATCCCAAAGCCGTTCTTGAAGCCGGGTTGCTCCAGAGCGAAGGCCCAGCCGATGACCCCTCCCAGGGCAGAGAGGGGCATCAGCGAGGGGCCGATGGACTTTGGGATGTCGCTGATGGCCACGTAGGAGCGCCCGTCGTTCACCACCACGTACGAGTGCAGGTCGTTTTTGTTGAACTGAACCGGAGTCGAAGAGCTGCCCACGTAGACGTTACCATTCATTTTACCATTCATCCTCTGGGGCTTCCCTGTGGACAAAACATAGCTTTAGGGAGAATGTTTTTAGATATAGCTATGGAGCCTAGAATGGAAGTGCTCCTGGGTGAAATACTGCTCCTACATTATTTGGCTTCATTCACTTACATCAAAAAGTCACACAAACCATTTTTGGAATAAAAATATGTGGATTACTCTGTATGATCCTGGTGTTTATATTTTGATATTGTCTGTAAATTCAGAGATCCTGTAACAACTGGTTAATCCGGTGCTTTTTACCTCCAAATAGCTCAGGCAGAAAAGGAGAACCACTGATCCTGATTGGCTCTTTAGTTGCTACCTACAAATTTGGCTCCAGATTCCAACCCATGGAACCTCTTTTAATGATCTCTTCCGCAAAAAGACACAGACTACAAGGGTTATCAGCACTTAGTTCACTACTTCTATGGTGCAACAGTTGTTTACATTGGCCTAAACGTTCTGTAATATTTATTTATTTATTTATTTATTTGTTTCAATTGTGGACAAAAACAATACTACACATATTACAGTTACATTTCAAATAATTGTCGTCTTGTCTCACAAATGAAAAGGAGCAGAAAGAAGAAAAAAAATCTTATGTTGCCTGCCCCTTTCTTCATACATGTACAAATTAAATTTTAAAAAAATTTAAAAAAAGAAAAAAATAAGATGGCCTTTAGCACTTCTTCAAACTGTTTTTATTTGATGTGTTTTTGTTTTCATATTTTTTTATTGTTTTTTTTTCTAATCATTCATTTCGTACGATTTCACTGTTGTTGCTTTGATTTTTTTCTTAAACATGTGGATGTTTGCGGATTTTTTTAATTCATAGTCAAGTTGATTCCATAGTTTTACTCCGACCACTGATATTCCCATGTGTTTCTGGGTGGTTCTGGCAAAAGGGACGGAGAAGTGTAACTTCCTTCTACTGTCCTGGTTGATATTGAGAGAGAAGAGCTGTTGTACAGCTGCTGGCAGCAGAGAGTCTCTGGCTTTGTACATCACAATGAGTGACTGTAGTTTGATCAGATCCTCTAGTTCTAACAGTTTTGATTGTATGAATAGGTTGTTTGTGTGTTCTCTTGAGTCCACTTTATGAATGATTCTCACTGCTTTTTTTTGTAAGAGGATTAGAGGATGTATGGTGTGTTTGTATGTGTTTCCCCAGACTTTTACACAGTAGGTGAAATGGGGCAGTATCAAGGTACTGTACAGGAGCCTTAGGGCTTTATGATCAAGTGAATGTTTCACTTTGTGCAGTACCGAGATATGTTTTGATATTTTTCTTTTTACCTGGTTTACATGGGATTTCCAATTTAATTTCTCATCCATTGTCACTCCCAAAAATGTTATTTCTTGTACTCTTTCAATTTTTGTGCTATTTATTGACACCTGGACGTCTGTGTTACTGTTATTGTTTGAAAACACCATGAATTTCGTTTTGCTTATATTTAATGATAATTTATTCTCATCGAACCATGTTTTTATTTTGATCATTTCCTCTTCCGTCGTCCTTGTTAATTTTTTTATATTATCTCCTGATAGAAAGAAATTTGTGTCATCTGCAAATAAGACTGATTTAAGTTTTGATGAGACAGAACATAAGTCATTGATATATAAAATAAAGAGTTTTGGCCCGAGAATGGAACCTTGGGGAATTCCACACTGAATATTTAGTTTGTTAGAAATGTTGCCAGCAAACTGTACAAACTGTTGTCTATTTTCTAAATAGCTCTCAACCCAATTTACCACCCCTCCTCTTATGCCATACCACTGTAGTTTTTTTATTAATATACTGTGATTAATTGTGTCGAATACCTTTTTTAAGTCAACAAATACTGCCAATGTGCTTTGTTTATTTTCTAGTGCTGCTGTTATGTGCTCTGTGATTTGCAGTAGTGCTAAAGCCGTGGATCGTTTTTTCCTGAAGCCAAATTGGTTCTCATTAATCAACATGTTTTTTTCTATAAAGGAATCTAATCTGTGAACAAAAAGTTTTTCAATAATTTTTGCAACTTGTGATATCTAAGTAGTTGGCATAGTTATTGCATAATATGTAATTTATATATCTGTATCTGTAAGGTTTATGACAACTCTACAATCAACCTGTGAAGGTTTGGATCCAACACAAAAAGTGTGCTGCAAATGCAAGAAATACACATAATATGCAACTCAAGAATGATAATGATAATGCAAAATGTACAAAAAGTGTGTTATGATCAAACTCAGAGCAGCTTTACCTTCTGCCACACACTGGATGCCATTTCCGTAGAATCCGTCTCGACAGTGGCAGCAGTATCCTCCAGAATAGTCTCTGCAGTCAGCAAACTGGGAACATTTATCCCTGTTGTTCGCACATGCTCCAAGGTTGTATGAAAACACTATAAAACAAACAAGTAAATAATCACTATTTTCAATACTGCATAAGAAAATAGCTGAAGGTGTAGAATTTAGATGGCCTATTTAGAATTTAGAGAGATATATCTATCTATCAACGTAATGTATCAATATTAACACAGACAATAGAAGAAAATCTAGTCAATCTAAGTATGTTCTTATGGGGAAGAGTAGAACATAAAGGCCAATGCTTGTTTGATTGTCTTACCATCTACATTGATGTCTGAGTCGTCCACCACCACCACCTCAGGGTTCTCCGGTTGGTACTGGACTGGGTTGATTGGGATCTGTCCCCCCTCCGGCAGGTATGGGGGGTATTCCAGCTGCTGCCCACCTGCTGTATCCTCCTCTGGGGCCTCTGTGGGAAGCTCAGTCACCTCTCCCGGAGCCACGTTTGTGAAGTAAGGAAAGGTACCGACCTCAAAGACATGGACGCCACGCAAGCCAGAGTTGGTCTCCCTGAAAATGTATTTAACAGTATGTATGCAACAGTGATCCATGTTATCCACAATACTCAGTAAAGCCAAAGCCATGTTTTAAAATGGTCATTAATTATGTGGCTAACATAAACAAAGTTACAAAAGGGCATCTGGAAATTCAACTCAAGAAAACAAACAAAGTGAGTTTAAAGCAGATCTTACTCCTCGCTCCTATCGCAGGACCAAAGCACAAAACTAGACTTGCTTCACAGACCATCTACTGTGTGATTCAAAAATGACTTCTGAATGAGATAGGACTTCAAAACGCAGAAAAACACAAGATTATTATTCTTTCCTACCCTTAGCATCATGGAGAATATGAGTTAAGAATAATCCAAATATTAACCTATTATACTCCATAAGCCTAGGAATCTTCTGGATTGTATTTGTTTTTTCAGCCATTTGAGAAAGAAACAGTTGGTCTTTCTACAGTCGACCTTCCCCAGACACAAGCAACACCCTCTTTCATATTTATCAAAGAAAATGTAGGTGGACTATTGAGAATTTTTAAATCTTTCTCTGTGCACATTCATTCAGTCATTAAAGCGAAAATATGTAAGGAGTGTAAGAGATTTAAATAGGTTGAAGGCATGATGGAGACTTCTATGTTTTAACAATGATCTACTGCACAGTCGTTTTCTAAAATTTGGAGAATTGTGACTAGCCCGTGAGCCAGTTGCAAAAGGCTGTGGGGAAAAATGCTGGGATGTCAGAAAAGAATTGTTGAAAATGAACAATGTCTTTGATACAGGCCTTTACATATGATCCATGAGTTGATTGACTCACTCAGCCAGCGCTCTGACAGACTCCTCTTCGTCGGTCGTGATGCGGTAGTATGGGCCCTGACTGGAGAACAGAAAGCCTCGCACAAGGCCTTTGCTGAAGCCGGCGTGCATCACTGCGCTCTTGCCCTTTGCTGGTGTGGAAGAGAACTGTATTCCATCTCTGGCATAGAGCACGACAGCATAGGATGCAGTCTCCAGGGAGGCCAGGACCAGCTGGAATGTGTTTCTCTGTCAAAAGTAAAGAGAGTGACAAATCCCAACAGTTTACAAGATATGAGTCTTCCAAATCCCTTCATTTTTAAAAATGAACTCTTCTTTTCTGTAATTTTATATTTGGACGGAATATTAATCTAGAAAAAAATTAATTGTGGGAAATTGAAAAGCCACAAAATAAACACAAGGCACCAAAACATCAGTTGAATATGTCTTTTTCTAAATCATCATATTTCATATCGTCCCTAATCTTGGCATAACCACCACCACTAGTGAGTTTAGCTCGAGAGGAATAATTAGACCAATTGCAAGGATATTTGCTGAGGGGGTGAACTTGGGCAGGTATATACCTTCTTGATGCCATCTCCTCTGCTGTACTGCTCTTGCGTGGCCACGTCGACCCATGTGACCACAACAGCATGCGTGGGAGTCACTTCGTCGTCCTCTGGAAAAGCCCGATTGATGTGTTCGGCCGCTTGCCGAAGGAGAGCAGGACTGTCGTCTTGGCGGAAAAAGACTTTTCCCACTCCGTCGCTGGTGTCCAGGTCTCCCTGTAGCGCCGCGACCATGCCGTAGCTGGCGGGCATTTTCCCCAGATAGGTGGCCTCTTCGGTGGGCTCTGCTGTGGCGACAAAGCCATTGGTGTTGATCTGAGGAAAAAGGAGGAGTTACCGTCTTTTCTAACTTCAGGAATCAGGGCAACCCCACACAGCCTGTCTTCACAGAAATACATGATGTAGTCCTGGTTTAGTCTACTACTGTGGGTTTGTGTAAGCCCTCAGTCGTACAGGGATTAGTCAAAGCAAAGGAAGGTTTCTCACCCATCATCTGTACTTCTTAGCAAGTTTTCCCGACGTTTCGTCCTCAAACTAGCGGACTTCTTCAGGGAATGAATTCTCGGACCGCGCGTTGGAGATTTAGTATCAGGATTAGGGGGTGGCTAACCACACCCATAGGTTATAAATCTCCAACGCGCGGTCCGAGAATTCATTCCCTGAAGAAGTCCGCTAGTTTGAGGACAAAACGTCGGGAAAACTTGCTAAGAAGTACAGATGATGGGTGAGAAACCTTCCTTTGCTCTACTACTGTGGGTTAATCATAGCTTAAATCTGGTATGTCCATCTAATTCAGGTTCAGGGTTAGCCAAGCAATGTTGAAGAAGACATTTTACAGTTATTCTCTCATACAGCTATAACAGATGGTGTCAAGAAGTCACTTTTGGATCTAGTTATAAGAATTAAAAGTGGAGACCCATGTGCAGTTCTGAGACCATGGTCCTTGAGAATGTGTATTATAAATTAGTTCATGTTTGCCAGTAATTTTCGCAATGTTTGAATTATTACTCTATATTCTATGACTGATTCTATGTGTGTGTTTAGTGAATATTCTGGTGTGGGTCTTTAAGTAGATGTAATATGGTCATGACTTGGTTAATGTTCAATTATTTTAGTTAATTTTGTAACTAAATGTGTTCTGCATTTGTCTTAAAACAAATAAACTGCCCAAAAAAACTCCTGAAAGACCTAAAACCAAAATGCTACCAGCACTAGAACTGCAAAAGTGCCTCCCTACTGTATATCATCACCAACACTAACAACGTCTCAGATCACTACTTTGAGCAGAACAGAAAAATGTACAAAATACTTCTACATCTTGCATCAAAATTAGTTTTAAAGATGGGCTGCTCATTTTAAGTAAATTCACCATCATCTCGTGGCTGAATGGAAATGTAGCTGCTTGGCCTGGAATGTTTCTCTGTATATGGCATTTCACTTATTTATCTCCAAGGGCCCAGAAGACATGGCCAGACCATTACGTTATACCTAATATCTGGCACGGCTGGTTACAGAATGAATATAAGACAAGTTTGGCTTTCAATATCTGCTGATAACTGATACGAACGATGTTAGTAAAGGGAATGAACATAAACTCCCTTCCACTGATTACAATGAAAGAACAACATTGTCTGAGTAAAAGTTAAACTAACGACCTTATCAGTATCCATCTGTGCACACAAAGATGGTGATTCTGGGAGATTCTGTCTTGATTATAAGTAAGTAAGTAATCTTTATCTATATAGCGCTTTTCACAAACCAGAGTCACAAAGCGTTTTACAAATGTGGGCATCTGTCTCTCACTCCACACAGAGATGGGAGCCGGACGCCACACAAGAAGGCACATGCCAGACCTATTGTACATGGTTTTAGTGGTAGGGGAAACCGGAGCACCTGGAGGAAACCTACGCAAACACAGGACATACAAACTCCACTCAGAAAGGCCCTGTTCCAACCAGGTTTTGAACCCAGGACCTCGAAGATTGAAGGTGAGGTAAGGTATTCTGTATTGTTGCTACAAGTCGGACACAATTCCACAAGAGCAACCTGTAAGGAGGAGTCCAGCGCTCAGCAACCCAGCCCCAGATGTGGATGCACGGCAGGATTAGGGCTATACCCGCAGCTGGAGGGTTATTCCTGTGGTGCGTGTTTTAGTTTCTAGCCTAAAACACAATAAAGTATAGCTTAACCTAACCTTAAAGGGTCTGCAGTCATCTGATCATGAGAGGAGAGATACTCAAAGACAATGGCGCCTGGAGATTAGAGGTTTACTGTGGCTATTTCCTCAGACTGATCATTTGTAACAGCAGTAAACAACTGAAACGCCCAAATCCTGAAGGCTGTTTTTATGTGAGGTCACAACATTCCACAGGTGTATTCAAAACCTGGAGAAAATGTGCCGAATCAGCTACTTACATACAGAATAATAAAGCATTTGTGTTGTCCATTTGTACTCAGTGCACTTGTATAGTAGTAGTAGTTTTAACGAATATTATTTAGGGTTTTTTAATGCATGTCTTTACTCTTTTATATTTTTATGCATACCTTTTTAACATGTTCTACGGTTTGACACTTCCTGTCTTTTTGCACAACCTGAGTGATTCTATCTATGACAAATATGACATGTACATTTCTCGTAAGAACAATAAAGTTTTTCTTATCTTATCTCACTCTATTTTTACCTCTAAACTTGTTTGGACATTCTCGTTACTAACATGGAAATTTACAAAAATCTGATTCTGATTTAACCCTATCTGATATTATAGATTTGATTCAAGATTCAAGAATGCATTTGCCATTTGCAGTAAAACCACATTGGAAAAACTGCGCACCAGGATAGTACACACCAGTGCTCCTGCCACAATGTGTATCTAATCTGCCAAATTCCTCTACTAAACACTGGATAGTTTATCTGGTGATCAATTATATGGTGTGGGATCTTGTGACACCAGAAAAATACTGAGATAGAAGCTGTTCTGAGCCCGTTTCTGTATATGCCTTATTCTCACTCATTTTATAGCAAATGATCCAAAAGTTGCCCGCCATGTTGCACAAGCTCCTAATAGACAAACAAGATGCCATTTAGCACAGACCTCTTTACGGTGGACACATGCCGGGCTCGTAAAGAAGAAATGCAGAGTTTATGTCAAAAACACTCACACACTCTACACTAGGGACTCCCTCACTTCCTGAAAACAAGAACACTATTCCTGGCCTGACTCGCTTAAGTTTCCTGTCCCGTCCTGAACACGCAGTACTACAGAAGCCACTGATCAAAATCACAGAACCAAAGACAACCGGATAAATGCAAGGTGAGGGCAACAGTCCAAGGTGAAAAGATTATCAATAACACTTAGAAGTGATAGAAGTTCATATACAAAGGAAGTAGAGGCACAAGGGAACAGAGCTGAGGGACTGCAGACCTCCTCATAATGACTCAGGGCTTTGTTTTCTCCTTATGTGGTTTGGAAAGCTCTGTTCCCTGCAGGGCTCAGACAATTCAGGTGTGGAGTGTGTCTGGGTGGACGTAGATCAAGGCCAAACCGAAGATAACATCACGTCATGAGAAATAATAGATGGCTCCCAAAAAACAAATAACAGTATTAATGTTTCTATTACAGGTGTCACATGTGTACCTTTGTTCCATGGATGTAAAGGTTTCAGTGAGATGTATTTACTTTTACACAGGTCTCACTACTGTGACCTTCAGACTCACATCACATGTTCAAGTACAAGAAGAACATAACATTCTAAGTTTGAATCAGATAAAGCCCACTGAGGGAAAGAGTCATTTGAGTGAGATTAAATTCACTCAGAAGATAAGCATCTCTCGAGACCACAGAATGACTTTACATATTTACTCACTGTGGATTTTCTGGGAAATCATGAACATAACTGTCCTCTACATCCTTGTTATTTCGGGCCACAGTAAAACGATAACCTCCAGGGAAGCTGCACAAATCTGCACATGCAGCTGGCCTGCGATAGGTTTATCATTGTGTGGCCCTAAATTCAACAATCAACGGGACAAACACCAACGTGTAACAACAAAGTTGGGAAATACTGTTGAACTATAAACTGTTCAGAAATCTGCTTGTTAGCTTGTTTCAAGGGTTGAGCGCAATTGCGCAAAATCCATCGGAATGAGGCAACTTTCAGTTGATGGATTGTAGCAAATGATGGGATGCTACTTACAAAAATGCTGTTGTAGGAGGAATCATAAAACAGGACAGGTTTGTCCAGCTGAAGTCGGTGCGTGTTGTCCGTCCCTGGCTCCAGTGCTTGGTCTCCTGCGCTCTGACCAAAGGGGAAAAAGTCTGCTCGTTTTACGCACTGACCCTTTGACACAAAGCCGATCAGAGCGACACACAGCAGCCATCCGCGCTCTTTCCAGCCCATTGTTCCGATAGTTCCCGTCTCTGGGGCAGCTCTGGGGCAGCTCTGTGGCAGCTCTGTGGCCCGTTAGCTCCGTACAGGGCAGAAGAAAGTCCGGCTGCAAAAGTTCAGTTGGAGTTGAGGAACTCGGGGCGGAGTTGCGCTTCAGCTGCAGAGAGGAGCCCAGCCTCAGCTTTGTCCATCAAGCTCTGACTGAAGCCTGTCTGGAGGCTCTTCACGCCAAAGGTTAATCTAAAATGAAAACACGTGCCACCTTTCAGTTACGATTACAACAGTCGATTAGATAGCGGAGTTGAGTGATGACACGTGACATGAGACAATGTGTTGACTTACAATATGCAAATGAGCAAAAGGTGGATCATAGGTAATGGGGGCTGTGTTTGGGAGGTCCAAACTGAGCATCCGCGTTTGGAGATCAGCGCACGGGCCACTTATTGGCAACAGAGCCCGGGGCTCATGACGTTATATAAAGGACAATATGACCGCGCAGTGCACCATGGCCTCATTATTTTAGGAATGCCGCAATCAGACTCTGCGCTCAGGATAATGATGGTTCCCCATAATGAGAGGCACTGGTTTGTGGTAGACCTAGATGGACAATGGCCAAGTTATAATAATCAGAATATAAAGAGTTAAGAACAATTTAATTTAGTCCGCAAAAATCATGGAGTCAAAGTCAATCAAAGTCAAAACTCAATAAAACAGAGCATAAGACAACAAAAAGCCCCGGTGCATTCCTGACATCAGATCCATAGAAAAATATGATTCTTGCCTCACAGAGTCTGCCCCACAACAGGCTGGAGAAGGATTCTTCCTTCCTCTTCATGAATTAATGCAGGATTTAATCCCTTTCCTTTCCCAGCTCCAGAGCTCTCGAACATACATCATTTGCCAAAGAGGAGTGTTTAAGAAATAGAGAAACATCTGGAAAACTGGACACGATTAAGTATCAGCACGTAATACTGCCATACTCTGCATGAGCAGCCGGCCCTTCAGCTTCATGACACTTGATTTATTATCATTGATAATGATTGGAAACTATTGTACTTTTGTTCCATATATGCATGTGTATTCAAACGTTCCTACTATATTCTATTCAATGTAAGGATACTTCATTTGAAAAGTATAAAGTGATCCCAACACCTTTATGAAGACATATTTATTAATATAAATCACAATTGAAAATGACCATTTATGAATTTTCCTGTTTCCGGCTGAGAACATTTAGCTCAAAGCTGCCCTCTGCTGTTGGAGATAAATACAAAGTAGCCACAATGTAACGCTGGATTCCATGATATATTAATATTAGGGATACATATTTCGGTTTCATATTATTCTTTTTTTTCCGCCGAAACTCTCAAACAGTTCGATTTTTTACCCTGAAGACATGCACGAAAGTCTGCACATGGGGGGGTCTAAAACGACCGGTTCGGCGAAACATTTAATAAAATGAACGTTTCAAGATTGTCCGACAAATGGCAACTCGATAGTGCCCTCTTGAAAACTCAAATTTGCAAGGCCTATGGAGTCAGTCATGCATATTTTGGAGTAGGTACACGAAATTCAGATCAGTGATAGATCTGTATTAGCCCGGTTGTACCAAACCTTAGTACAAATTACATTTCATACTAAAATGATGATTGAGTGTACGAATGGCTATGGCCAGGCTAGATCTGTATGAGACGAGCAAAAAACTCTCTCTGTGCCTCACTCTGGGACCAACAGGAAGTCGGCCATGATGGGCTGAAGTTTCGCCGCTAATTTGACTTCTCATTTTTAACTTCGAACTAGTCCCTGGTTTTTTACCGCAGTAAAGTGGGCCGCATCTTTCACCTCCGAAGTAAAACGGCCCGCATCGAGAGAAAAGCAGTGCGCGTTTTGTTGACTGCTTACGGTAATAGCAGAACAGCCTTTCGCAGTCAGCTTTTCTCCTCGAACAGAAAGCGCGCTTAGGAGACTCGTTTTGTGAATAAACCCTTATTTGGAAAAGCATGTAAAAACTTAAAATGTTCGACATTTAATTTGGTCAAAAAGTGACATTTTCAGCTGCTGTCCATTTTTACAGTAAAGACTTGAGTATCTTATTCCACTGGGTGTATGACCTCACCACTGCCTTCACCGCTGTGCCTACAACCACAAACCTTTACTTTGGAAATTGTGGGTAAAATTGAGACAAATTACACTTTTTCGTCCAAAATACACAAAACTAAGAAAATTCCCACCTTTGATCTACTGTAACTTTTTTACTGTAAAAAGGTGTGAGACTAATTTCACTGGATTCATGACCTCAACATTGCCCTCTACCACTGTACCAAAGACAAGAAACATTTACTGTAGAAATATTGACAAATATTGATTTAAAGAAGCCATTTTGGTCCAAAATACCTCCAAAATAGTCAAAACATGTCACTTTTGATCTACTGTAACTTTTTACTGTAAAAAGGTGTGGGACTGATTTCACTGGATTCATGACCTCAACATTGCCCTCTACCACTGTACCAAAGACCAGACACTTTTACTGTAGAAATATTGAGAAATATTGAGGTAAAGTAGCCATTTTGGTCCAAAATAGCCTAAAAATGGTCAAAACATGTCACTTTTGATCTACTGTATCTTCTTACTGTAAAAAGGTATGTGACTAATTTCACTGGATTCATGACCTCAACATTGCCCTCTACCACTGTACCAAAGACCAGACACTTTTACTGTAGAAATTTGGAGAAATATGGAGTTAAAGTAGCCATTTTGGTCCAAAATAGCCTAAAAATTGTCAAAAAATGGCACTTTTGATCTACTGTAACTTCTTACTGTAAAAAGGTGTGCGACTAATTTCACTGGATTCATGACCTCATGATTGCCCTCTACCACTGTACCAAAGACCAGAAACTTTTACTGTAGAAATATTGAGAAATATGGAGTTAAAGTAGCCATTTTGGTCCAAAATAGCCTAAAAATGGTCAAAAAATGGCACTTTTGATCTACTGTAACTTTTTACTGTAAAAAGGTGTGCGACTCATTTCACTGGATTCATGACCTCAACATTGCCCTCTACCACTGTACCAAAGACCAGACACTTTTACTGTAGAAATTTGGAGAAATATGGAGTTAAAGTAGCCATTTTGGTCCAAAATAGCCTAAAAATTGTCAAAAAATGGCACTTTTGATCTACTGTAACTTTTTACTGTAAAAAGGTGTGCGACTAATTTCACTGGATTCACGACCTCATGATTGCCCTCTACCACTGTACCAAAGACCAGAAACTTTTACAGTAGAAATATTGAGAAATATTTATTTAAAGTAGCCATTTTGGTCCAAAATAGCCTAAAAATGGTCAAAACATGTCACTTTTGATCTACTGTAGCTTTTTACTGTAAAAAGGTGTGCGACTGATTTCACTGGATTCATGACCTCAACATTGCCCTCTACTACTGTACCAAAGAACAGACACTTTTACTGGAGAAATATTGAGAAATATTGAGGTAAAGTAGCCATTTTGGTCCAAACTACCTCCAAATTAGTCAAAACATGTCACTTTTGATCTACTGTAACTTCTTACTGTAAAAAGGTGTGCGACTAATTTCACTGGATTCATGACTTCATTATTGTCCTCTACCAGAGCTGTATTTGCATTGCCGGCAGGTGCAGGCTGCCCTTTTTCACCGCTTCTGTTTACTGTCATAATGGACAGAATTTGCTGTCCATTATGACAGTTTGCCGACGATGTTGTCCTGTTGGCTCCAAGGAACCAGGACCTGCAGCATGCACTGGGACGGTTTGCAGCCGAGTGTGAAGCGGCTGGAATGAGAATCAGCACCTCCAAATCCGAGGCCATGATGCCTGACCGGAAAAAGGTGCCTTGCCCTCTCGAGTAATGAGTAATGATTAATGAGTAATGATTATTTATATAGCGCATTTATATATATAAAACAAAAATTATATAGCGGAAAAAAAAGCATCTGCGCATGCGTCAGCCGGCGCAAGCTCCATTCATTTGAACGAGAGACTTAAAAAATTCACAGCGAGTAAAGTAGAGTGGTCCAAAAAAATTCACCCCCCTCAGCATTGACACACATGTGGAACGGAGCTTTGGGCCAAGAGCCAACTTTTGGACCATCCTTTTCGAGAGGTCTGCCAATGCTATACGTTAGCATTGGCTAATTCTTTTGGCCACTTTTGAGCCGGGACCCGCCCCCACTGATCAGCCCCCAATCTTCATTATCCATTAATACCTATTAAGCATGTTTTTAGTGGTAGGGGAAACCGGAGCACCCGGAGGAAACCTATGCAGACACGGGGAACATGCAAACTCCACTCAGTAAGGCACTGTTCCGACTGGGATTCGAACCCAGGACCTTCTTGCTGAGAAGCGAGAGTGCTATCCACTCAGCCACCGTGCCGCCAAAGTGGAGAGGTCCTTCCTCACATGGAGGAGTTCAAGTATCTCGGGGTCTTGTTCACGAGTGACGGAAGGATGGAGCGTGAGATTGACAGGTGGATTGGTGCAGCGTGCGCAGTGATGCGGCCACTTTTGATTTACCGGTCAATTCTTGTTCCCTCCATCACCTCTGGTCATGAGCTTTGGATAATGACCGAAAGAACGAGATTGTAGATACAAGCGGTGGGAACCCCGGACTCAACTTAGACTTGAAAAGCGTCAGTTTTGCACTGAAAATGAATAGTGAAGCGCGTCAGGTGACGCTGAGAGGCCCGGCGTCACTTGAAGCGCTTCAAAAGACGCGAGCATTATGCGCGTCACTTGAAGCTTTTGACACGCGTAATGCTTGCGTCTCTTTTGTCGTAAAAAAGTCCCTTAACGCCGAAGTTGAGAAAAGCTTTTGGAGCTTGACGCCGGGCTTCAACCAATCTGGAGACGAGGAGCAGCAGCAGCAGCAGCAGCAGCAGGACTGTCATGTACAGTAGCTGCTACTGCTTTTTCATTGTCATTATTGTTATTTGTAATATTATTTGTATGAATAGTAACGTTCTTAAAAAGTAAGTAACAC